TGATTTCATCATCCGATGCGGTCATCGGGATTTGAAGGGCTGTTCAACCCCATCTAGCACGGGTATTTAAAGCTCGAGGGGCTGGATGCTTATCAAATGTCTATTCTTTTTATAGATGAATGTCTTCCATTGAGATATTAATACCACTGCTCTGTACTATTCATGATTCCCAGGATCAAGCACTATTAACTCCGCCGAGGGATTTGACCGAGGTGCTCCACAGGAACCGAATTTGTCGGGAGAACGGTAGAGTAGAATAAGAATAGCACTGTTACAGAATAGAAAGAACAAGAGGATATCTTCCTATGGGATATTAGATGCCGTACGGTTGTTCATAGGGTTAGTGATGAAGGCTAGAGGACTGCTGTCACGCCATATAAAATCCAGAATGTTAACAGTAAAAACGGTTCTCATTATCAATCCAGGACTGGTAGTGAACCCACAAAGCATAACCAAATCTCTCCTCCACTTCCATTTTCCCCCCTCGTTTTCTTCCTTCGTTTCTTTCTTTTTTTTTTCTCTTCGTCTTCTTTCCCCAAAAGAACCACTGATTCACTCCTTCTTTTGTCTTTTGTCTTTTTATTTCTATTTTTATTATTGATTTTCTGTTCTGCATAGATATACCCACGATACCAGATACGCGATCCAAGGTGGGATAATTCCATTTTGCATCTGCCCCTCCTCTCGGTCTCCTTTTTTCCCACTCATCAACCCACTACTGGCTGCTCACTTAACAACGCTTACCACCACTGTAAAATAGACTGACATTAAGCAATCCAGATTGTAAAATCGCTTGTTTTCCCTGCCATCTTCCCTAAACCACCCCCGTGTGGATCTTGCCTGACTCGAGCGACATCCCAACGCCCGTATCCCAGCTTCAGTTCCTGTTGATCAGGTCGACTTTGGTGATATCGCCTTATTTGCTACCCCTCCACCACCACCACCAGCACATCCATCTCCACCAACAATAACGACCGCCATCAATTACCACTCACCTCACAAACACACTACACACCATGGCTCCCACCACCACCACCAAGACGACAGAGGAGACGGTATGTACTCCGATAATTCGACCCCGACAGTTCTCACTCGCGATACTGATAGTCCCAGACCAAGGCCGGTCCCCCTAAGCTCTCCGACATGGCCGACTCGATCGACGAATCCACTTTTGAACAGATCCTCGAAATGGACGATGACGATGACCGCGACTTCAGCCAGGGTATTGTATTTGGGTTTTTCGAGCAGGCCGGGAGTACATTCGAGAAGATGGAGAAGGCTCTGTATGTTTTTCTTTTCCTTGATAGAAAATGGCGCTAACGTCTGCAGGGAGGAGAAGAAACTTTCTGATTTGTCGTCCCTGGGTCACTTCCTCAAAGGATCGTCAGCAACGTTGGGCCTGAGCAAGGTCAAGGAAGCCTGCGAGAAGATCCAGCACTACGGCGCCGGCAAGGATGAAACTGGTACCGTTGACGAACCTGACCAGAGCATCTCGCTGAAGAACATCGAAAAGACCCTGACTCAGGTCAAGGAGGATTACCAAGAGGTTGAGGAGTTTCTCCGCAAATTCTACGGTGTAGAAGAGTCTTAGCGGCCCAGACGTACAGCGTACAAAGGAATACATGGGGGACGCCTTTTCTCTCTTCTTTTTCTCTTTTTCTTTCCCTTCAAAAAATGGAATGTCACTTATGCATGGAACGATGCGGTAGATGACAGATGATAATATTTGCTTTTTCTCAGCCTCCAACATTACCCCCTGGTCTCTGGTTATGGATAACGGCGGCTGTCAAGTTTTTCTCATGTTTATTTCTTCTTTTTCTTTGAGCGTGTTTGACATGATTTTCTTTTCTTTTATCTTTTGTTTCAACAGGTCAGTTGGTAGAATTTAGCTCAGCTCAGCATTTGCTATGAATCCAGAATCAACAATTTATATTCAAAGCCAGCGACCAACAATTCTGTGTCTTTGTCTATCCTGGCCGGTTGACAGGTTGACAGGTTGACCCACGACACCCGACACCCGTGTATGTACCACAATATCAAACAGCTACCTGCACAGTGCCACCTAGTCATACGTAGACAACTATCCCGAGCCTGGACTGCGGACCACGGAGTATAATAGATGATTAAATACACTCTAAACAAAGCAATATAATCTCACACCGCACACCGAGGATTCCGTCCCCGGAAAACAGACATCCAGTAAAATCACCTCCTATCCCTCCATCGACCAGTCTGTATCTGTACCCTACAACCCATACGCACCCAGGCCAACCTACCATCCATATCACACCCACAGAAAGTGACACAAACGGTTTGCGTTGAACGGAGCCGGAGCATGGACTGGGTTGTGCCATTTCCTTTCGTGACCGTTCCTGTTTCTGCGTCTGCGGGTGAGATTGAGATGAGATGTACGATGGTATGTTTGTCGTGATGTGGTACTTTCTGCTCGGTTTTATAGGCAGACAGTCAGATCCTGAAAAAAAAAAAGAAAAAAGAAAAAAAAAGCAATACTGTGACAACGGGGCAGGACATCAGATTAACAAACGTATTGTTTCGCCCACTGGATCTGACTCCGGTCCGGTGGTACTCGGGTATAGATGCATCCTGCTAGCTACCAAGCAAACAATTCAATCTTCCATATAACTCCCGGACAATTGTCACGACAACACCATCTCGCTACACAGGCCAGCAGATAAGTCCAACGGTCCTGCATTACGCCCCTTCCCATTGTCCACCACAGATAGCGGTGCTAAACACAACCGGCGTCGTGAATCAAACGGTTGTACAACCTTGCTACCCGGGTTTGTCGGGAGAGGGTGGGATAGGTTAACGTAGGGCAGGGGTTGTTGACGTGGTTATTTATTGTCCCTCTCGCTGCTCTTGTGTTCTGATTGCGGTCGATTCGTTTGTCTATTCAATTTCTTTGGTTTGTTTGTTGAGTTTTAAGATTTGAGATATATTTGTTTGCGGTTATCGTTCGTCAAGATGGCTGTGGGACCACGAGTCAACAAGGAAGAGTTCATGCGCGCTTTAGGTCTAACCACCTCCTCGCAAGATGAACAGTTCTATCGAGCCATGCGGGTACCTCCCTCCCTTTCCCCACCCACCTCACAGTCCCTGACAAAGAAAATAGGATGAAGCAATCCAAATCTACAACCGCATGAACCAAGACCGCACCAACCTCCTCGACTCCCTGCGCGACGACCCCCGCACCCAACCCCCTTTCTACTGGCACCATATCCGCCCTGAGTGCCAGCGTTGGGGCATCCTGGAGATCTGGCGCACTGCGTCATCGTACACGAGGCCGTATTTCGATCGGGGGGCGACGAGCGGCGAGTATGGGCCGAATTGGGTGGCGGGTTGGTTGTTGTATAGTGTGTTCAGGTCGAGGGATGAGAGGAATAATCGCAATCGAAGGAGGGGGAATGAGGCTGGTACGTTCACTATATCTGAGTTCTGGGATTGGTAATGCGTTATGGGGGAGGGGAAGGGGTGATGCTGACGGTGAGCTAGCGCGGAAGCAGGTGGATTTGTCGCATCAGTTACAGCAGAATCAGCAGCAGCAGCAGCATGCACTTGGACATGTACAGCAGCAGGAGCAGGGCACGAAAGGGTACTATGACCCCGTGCGGAATGGAACGGTGAATTGATCGACTGTGGGAAATACTTGGAACAACTGTACTGGATTAGAGCTGATTGATATGGATGACTGTTTTGTTTCTCTTGTACTACTGATTGTTTCACATCCTGACAAAGACATACAGGAATCACATGATAAGATATCTAGGTTGGTTGTTTAAAAGGTCTTTATGTACTAGTTTCTTCTCTTTCTAATCCATCCCTCTGCTGTCACTTTTACCACTCATCCTGTAATCCCCAGTAGTTACTTCTACGACTCAACACTCTCATTACAGGTCCTTTCTTCACCCTGGCTAAAATGATCGGCCCAGAACGCAAAGCACAGGTACGACAAGGCTACCCACACTTCGTCATTGAAGACTCCTGCAAAATTGACTCTATCGAAGGACTAAGGAGTCCACCGCGGCTTCGACCTAGCAGCAATCCAAGGAAAAATCTACCCAGAACATGAAAATCTACCCGACAGGGCTCTCTACTATGCCTTTAAGAAGGAGCACTCTCCGTGATGAAGCACCTTTTTCAGCGAACACCCTGAGAAACCATCTCTGGAGCACGTCGGTCCAGATCTGGTATGGCCAAGCTCTTCTAGACCACTACTTGGCATTCTGATCCGGCATGGCTGGGACATCAACAAGCACTCAGAGGGTCGAGGAGAGCGGGGTTGCCAGAGTCGCTTGTTGAACCTGATCCGCCACGACGATGAAATGATGTATTGTGCCTTGGAAATGGAGCAATGGTGAGCTATGAGTTTGAGGATGATTGTGACCGATACAAAGATCCATACCGGGACTGATACACAGTATCCTCCCTGTTGGACAGCGTTGATTTGCTTGGAAGTCTAGAGATGATGAAACATCTCTACATATTAGGCGCTAGACCGGGACGGTTTTTACACTTCACATCGCTGTCAGCTGAGCAGGTTCTCATCCGACACATATCAATATGGAGCACGTGCGGTATTTGCTTGAGCATGACACTAGTCCTATCGGAGAGGCCTCTATGGCCTAATTTATGCTTTTGATAGAGCGGGAGGCAGGTATTGGAGGAGTGGAAAGTGAGTAGAGGGTTGTCTCATAATAGAGAGATAAAGCTATGGTGCTGCCGGGGATGAAAATTACGTCTAGGGTCAATTGTTATTGCTGCAAACATAAAGCGAAATACAAAATAGCTGATCATATACTTTTCTGGAATTTTCATGGTGTAAATACGCAACCCTCAACAGATGGATTCCATCGGATCCGATAGAAGCCAAGCTGCGGAACCGACGGGCCATATAAGTATCTACACGCGCTACCCCCGTTGTTCCTGAGAAATATCCTACCAAATTTTCTTTATTCTATTCTTTCTCAATCTCGTCAAAAATGTCCAACCCAGCAATCATAATCATTCCCGGCTCCTGGCACATCCCCCGCCACTACGCGCGCCTTACCACTCATCTCTCCAATCACAACTACTCTGCCACAGCTGTAGCCCTGCCGTCCGTGAACTCCAGTCCACCCCTGCAAACATGGGAAGAGGATGCACAGGCCGTACGCCAGGCTATCATGGAGAAACTCGGTCTCGGACAGGACGTCGTCGCCATTGCGCACTCATTCGGTGGAGTTGCCATGTCTGAGGCTGTTAAAGGTCTGGGAAAAGAAGAACGCCAGAAGCAGGGCTTTGCTACTGGTGTTCTGCGGCTGGTTTACATGTGCGCTATGGCGCTGCCAATGGGTCAAACGCATGTTGGCCAGATAAAGCCCGTCACACCGGAAGAGGAAGAACGGGAGAAGGCACAGAAGGAGCTTGCGGAGAAGAATGGAGGAATGCAATTCACCAATGTACAATCCCATTCCCTTAGCCATACCTCAAACATGCAATGACTAACTGCTACAGGACGGCGCAATCCTCCTCCCCAAACACGCCATCCGCGACATCTTCTACAACCGCTGCGACCCAGCTGACATCGACGAGGCATTGACTCACCTGGGCTCATTCCCAGCTGGTCCATTAGCTGTGCCAGTCACGTATACGGCCTATCGCGAGATCCCGAGCACGTACATTGTCTGTGAGAACGACAATGCGTTGCCGCTTTCTATGCAGGAGAGGATGGTTGCGCAGGGGGAGGGTATTTTTCATGTGGAGAGATGTCAGGAGGGGCATTCGCCATTTTTGAGTAACCCGGGTTTTGTGGTGGGGTGTTTGAGGAGGGCTGCTGGGGAGGATGTTTGATTGTCTACTTCGTATAGAATGTAGCAATAGTGATGCTTGTTAGTTATGCAAAAATGAGTCAGTATTTATGCACAGATTTGTGCATCTGTTACTCGAGCCTCAGGCATTTGGTTGACATCGTTCTTTCAGAAGACCATCCAAGCTTGTCATATCACTTTTATATTTTATCACTTTATCGGTTTTCTAGATCGCTTTACTCTTTTCAATTGGCTTTTCACATGCTGCCACAGCGCCGTCAAAACTCGAGCTGCGATCCATGTCGACGCTCTAAGCGACGCTGCTTCTTCTCATCTCCCCAAATCGAAGGCACAGATGTAGCCTGCACCCATTGCGAGCGCTTAGGACATGCTTGTACGTTTGATTTTGTGAGCTCCAAATTGGGACAGAAAAAGCGACCAAGACAACTTCACACACGAACGAGTTGCTCAGCAGGTGCTGCTGAGGCATCTCCCAGCCTCGCCAGTGGCGACTTTCAAGCGGACGCTGTGGCTGGCCATGACGTCTTGGAATCATGGCTAGACTTTGATTATCTCGAGCAGAACAATGAATGCTTGGAACTACCTGGTTTTCTCGCGCCTGATGCTGTAACGGCAATTGAAACTTCTGAGGACCGGCTTCGTGTGCGGCCAAATCTACAACATCTCGTTGACAGTTCATTGAATAGCCCCATTCGTCTATTGAACTCAAAACTAGATGCAACTATTCTTGACATACGTCTTGCGCGGATTCACGATGTCATTGTCACGGGATGTGCTTCTAGATTTGCAGATTATGAGTGCAATTTATATGCAACAGCGAGTCGCTACCGACTGGGGGACGGAGACTCAGAACATCGTCTTCTTTCAAGCAATGCATCACCCCAACCACAGGCCTTAATATCACGGACGGATGTCTTTCCATTGGATCCTGGGCTGGCATTTAGAGATGCCAGCTGCATGATGACGGTGCTTGGTACCGTTCGATTTCTGGACCATTTCAGCGATCTTTATGGAAACCGGTTGACTACGGTAGCACGGAGACAGTCAGATGCTGTGCTGAAAGCGGTTCTTCGGGCATTCTCGCTCCAGTGGCTGTCTACAACCGAGTCTACATCAACCCTTGCTGATAATTCATTTGCTAACAACCCCGATGGAAACCAGACAGCATGCGGCCCACTCAGAAGTGTATTCCATGACGCTTGGTTTCAAGCACGAACACTGCTCAGAAATTCACAGTCAGTGAGCTCGTTCAGAGTTGTATATGCAACCCTGTTATTTGACGGCATTGCTATTCTAACCCAAGCTCACGGGGCAACCGAGTCTAACGTAGCGCATGAATTCCTTGATGCGGGTCTGCAAAAGCTTATTTCTTTGGATGAACTTGTGAAGCAATACTGTGCTACTCTTGGATCACATTCCGTATATAGTGCTCTGTTAGAAGCGAGTCTGAGTGTAGTGCGCTGGGGCGGATATATCCGTGATATTGGAGCAGCGCTTACAACGGATCATCACTGCAAATTGCCGGGTATTTCGTGCCATGCAACAGGTAAGTGCAATTGCCTTATCAGGAGGGAAATGCTAACAGAGAAAAACTTAGACCAAGTAGAATCTTACGATTCAATTCGGTTCGATAATCGGAATTTCCATCCAGAACTGGATAACAGTGTTCCAAGCATATGTCAAAAAGCTGTCGCGGAGGCATTCTACGTCTGGAGACAGATTGTTGATATCAAAGGCTCCGTGTATCGCCATGTGCGAATTGATAATTGCATCCCTTTTGGGTTTCCTGAAAATATTGCGTCAACTGTGACAGCCGTTGGCAAGTTCAACCAATTGTTCCGCCCTTTCCTGGATACCTGTATAGACAACCTTGAGCGCCTTTCTATACGCTCCAGAACATCAGCTGGTATGTTCATAACACACGTATCGGGTCCGATACTAATAACGCCGGCCAGTTTCTATTACACTGTACTGGGATCTCAGTGTCCTCATACTAGCCGAGTCGTTGAGAGTTTGCGGCTTTTTTACTGAACCCCATATAACCTCAATCATGCGCGCCCACCAAGAAGAAGCGGTCTCATCAGTAGCCCGAACAGTCGAGCACGTACTCTCACTACCTACGGAAGAGCTTTTCAATCTCGAGAACGGCCTTGGTGCCGAAGTCCCCATCTTCGCTTACCATATTACTCCCAGCTTAACTGCAACGACATTCCAGAAGACCATAGAGAATATAGTCTTTTTAAAATATTGCGAAGAGAGCGCACCACACGGCGCCGACAACATCTGGAAACAGCAAATTGACATCGTCATGAAAGGCCTCTGCTCACTGGATGTGACTGTTGGCGGCTCTCAAGTTGCAAGCACGGCTTTTCAGTCGTTGATGCGACAACATGGGGATATTCTGTCGGAGTGCTGGACGTCTGATTTTAACACGTAATTGTGATTGAGCTGGAGTGGTATATCAAATTATGCCTTCTTATATCTGTGGCGGTCCCAACCCGAGCCTCAGGAAGTCGATGCTACATGATTAACGGTTATAGGCATGGCATACAGGGTCTTTGTTATGTTATTCCAGACTAGATTCTCTGGCCCGGCAAACATGGAGTAACAACCGAGATAGTAAGAAGCTGGAAGGATATGAAGCACAGAAGCAATGTAATAGAATAACAAAGGAGAATTTGCGATTTGTGGTATCTATGGAATGTCTCGGGCTGACCCGTTGACAAAATCATAATTATGTATTGATAAAAACAGATTGCCTCATTAGACATGCCCCATGGCATCAAAGAACAAGCACTCCAAACAAGTTTCTTTGCTAAGTGTGACTTGTGAATTGATGCTGAACCCTATTATTTTGGTATGGTCAAGGGCACCCAATAAATGTTTTGATACGCTCTTTCTTCTTGCCTGTAAGGCCCCTCTTGTATCCTATACGGGTCCCAATTTACAATGTTTCCTCCAACTTGGCAGTGCGTGTAGACTTGTTGATCGAAGTCCTGCGAGCCGCTATCTGGGCACTTTCGTAACTAAAAAGCCCTGGTTTCCATATAAGCGTTGATAGACATAATTTGATATAGACAAACATACTTTTTTTTTTTTTTTTTTTTTTTATAAAAAAAAACACGACCGACTGCTTATTTCCAGTTAGATCATTAAGCTAGATAAAAAGCAAATCCCATCCCTGTTGACAACCAATTCTACATACGTTCTATCAAGTAAAATGCCACTCTATATACGGCAACCGGCCCCTTCAGCTAGGCCCCCGGGATCAACATGGAGCGCTCCTCGCGCAACTCAATGCCAAATTGTACTAGGATGATACTACGAATCGCGCCCTCGTGAAGATCACGACGGCACTGCCCCAGCTGGCGAGGCTACAAGAAACGCACCAGACAAGGCTGAGAGCCTGGACTTAAAGAGGGAAATTCTCCAGTGATTTCTTCTCGGTTATTCCGTACAGAAACCAACAGATTGATTATCGATAACTCCTCCGGCCTTATTTTCTTATACTCCTGTGAGGTGCAACACCGAACACCAACAGGATGGCTTCCGAGCTGCCCTAACACGAACCGCACTCTACGTTGAGAACCCTGCTTTACCCGCTCATCCAGTGTGAAACTACCAGGAGTCATCCGTAAAGGATGCCATTGGAATGGCTGTATCCATCCTGCAAATGGCAGGTATGGCGACGATTACTTCTCTACAAGTCTATCGGTTTATCTCGGCGATAAGAAATGCGCCTCGTGGAATCAGAAACCTTGGTCGCGATATCATGGGCTCCCATAACCTTGTGGATAATCTGAAAAATGCGCTGGATTCGCAAAATATACAGGAAATGGTTAATCGGGATAAACAGATTAATCAATTGATGAAGGATTTGCTTGTTCCGATGGCTAAGTGCCAGATTACTTGTGATCAAGTGAGAAATAAACTAATTATACATCTTCAGCTTCAAAACGAAGATAGCCCAAGTCGCAATGAGAATGAAGTCTTCGGTAATGGAATAGAACAGAAAATTCACATCTGAGTTCGGGATTCGATGTGGCCGTTCAGGCGAAAGGAGGTTTTTGCTTTGATGTCAGAGCTGGACCGGACGAGATACACGAGATGGTCGCACCGCACTTTCACTTGCAGCGGAACTGGGCGATGTTGAGATAACAGAGAATCTCTTAAAGGATGGAGCCGAAGTGAAAGCACTTCAATACGGTCTCAGCAAGCGTTATATAGGTAATGCTTTTGATGAGCAGCCTATGTTGGTCAGTGGTCGTCTTCCAATCAATCCATTGGGCTGCGATTAAAAGGCATAGCGCGATCGTGGAACTGTTGCTGCAATATGAAGCAAATCCAAACGCACGGAATACCGCTGGATGGTCGGTTCTTCAAGCTTGTATGAAAAAGATCGGTATTCCGTCAAACTACTGCTGCAGCATGGTGCAGATGTTGACACTAGATGTTATAGTCGTGTATGACAATCCGCCTCTTTTCTAGTTCTCTGGGATTTCTGACCTCAATAGGGATGGACCGGGGTTCACAAAGCTGCCAATTCAAGCTCAGTTGAAATATTCAAGGTCCTACTTGAATACAATCATCTACTCGACGTACCCGCCGCCCGACAAGAAGCCTTCGCCCCGTTACGCCTAGCCACAAGAGCATGTGTCCTCGAAATGTCGAACATCCTGATAGATAGAGCAAACCCCAACTCCCTGATTACTCGAAGACATCATACCCTCCACCTGGCTGCAGCCGGAGGCTGGGTAGACGGACTCGATTTGCTGTTGGACAGGGGCGCATCGATCAACGCGCAGGATGCTCGTCTTCGTGAAACACCATTACACAAAGCAGCACGAAACCTCGAAATGGCGACCATCAAAATATTATGTGCGCGGGGTACAAACACGGAGCTGAGGAATATCGACGGCCTAACTTATGAGTCTGTTTTGGGATGTGCGCAGCGAAACCCTAAGGATTGGCATGTCGAGCCGAAATTGGCCTCGTTTGTAGTTTTTATTAAGGCATAAATGCCCAATCTCAATCACCCGATTCATTAATACAAATGCGGTGCGGTTTTGAGGGGGAAACTAAAGGAATTAGTTGCAATTGGTGTAAGTTGATCAATGTTCGGATCATAGCCAATGGCAGTGGAAAATATCGTACTTTTGTCACTGCGCCGCGAAATGAGGACTCTTTAGTATGAGACCCCGGTGGGACCATGCCATATCACAACAAATTAAAAAAGAGGAAAGCCGTGGCCTTCGAATTAGTTGCATGAACTTCTGGGGTTATGGATGTTAAAAGACGCACCAACCCCACCTGATCCCTGTTATGCTGCGTAATCGGGGCCATTTTGTGGACATACAAAGGTAACCATATGGCTCCCGGGTAACAATGGACAATTTCTCAAATTGTGCTTCAACCATGGGATCAATCGCCACTGGTAACGAGCCATACCGGCCAACGCCGGCAGACATCACCATCGACAACCACCAAGCCGAAGATCCATCCAAGATCCTCTTCCAGAACGTCCGCATCCTGGACTCAACCGGCCAACCCCCCTACAATGGCAATGTCCTAATCAAAAACGAGCGAATCATTGCCGTAGGCGAGTCCATTGACCCATCAACTGCCCGTGGCGCCCTGATAATCGACGGCGAGGGCAGAAAAACACTAATGTCCGGCCTCATGGACGCGCACACACATCTAAGCTGGAACAACGCAACCGACCTCGACGGCCTGACGAGCCTAAAACTTGAAGAGCACGTCCTGCACACAGCACACTCCGCAAAGACTTTCCTCGACTGCGGATACACCATGTGTTTCGGGGCCGCTGCCGCACAGCCCCGTCTCGACATCGCTATCAAGGGCGCTATTAAGTCCGGTATGATTCCTGGTCCGAGGACGCTCGCGAATACGCCTGAGATTACGAGGACGGGGGGCGCAATTGTGCCGAGCATCTCGCGGTATGCGGATGGGCCGAAGGAGATGCGTGAGCTGGTGAGGGAGTTTATTGAGTTGGGGGCGGATAATATTAAGCTTAGTATGAGTGGGGATGATATTCACCCGACGATGCCGAGCACGGAGACATATTTTTCGCTTGAGGAGACACAGGCTGCTGTAGATGAGGCGCATTTGCATGGTAAGCGAGTATGCGCGCATGCAAGAAGTGCAGATTCCGTTAAGTTTGCTGTTCAGGCTGGTGTCGATGTTATCTATCATGCTAGTTTCATTGATGGTGAGGGGATGAGTATGCTGGAGGCCGCGAAGGACCACGTCTGGGTCGCTCCGGCGCTCAATTTCTTTTACACCACATGTACAGGCGAAGCTACGCCGTACGGTCTGACGGTCGAAGAGGCCGTGAAGAAGGGTATCAAGTTCGAGGTAGACACGGCATGCAAGGCGATGCAGGAGATGCGGAGAAGGGGCATTCGCGTCATGCCCGGCGGTGATTATGGTTTTGCGTGGGCTCCTCACGGAACGTACGCGCGGGATCTGAAGCATATGGTGGATTTATATGGGTACACGCCCATGGAGAGTATTATTGCTGCTACTGCTTGGGGAGGCGAGATGATGGGGTATCCGGAGGAGCTGGGCAAGGTGGCTCCTGGGTTTTATGCGGATGTTATTCTGGTCGATGGGGATCCGCTGGTGGATCTTGAGGTCCTTCAGGATCAGAAGAAGTTGCATGCTATCGTTATCAATGGGCATATTCACAAGCATGTTGTGCCCCCGCAGGTTGTTTATGTTGAATAGCCCCTATGCTTGGTCTTGAAACCAAAATCAAGTGTGTATAACATACATACATGATATAAACAATACAATAATACATACAAGAACAACTCCTATCAGTCATCAGCATCCTGATCTTCATCATCTTTCTTCTCATGCTTCCCATTCTTTTGACGCCTCTCCTTCTTCAACGCATGCGTCACACTCTCATCCTGCTCGTCCTGAATCTCATCCCAATCCGCATCATACTCCGCCGCAATACTCTTAATCTCCTTTCTCAGTACATTGCCCTCGTCAATCAAGAACTCCCACGCACGTAAGTCCACGCCTTTAGCCTGATACAGTTTCTTCTGTCGCGCGCTGATCGTGAAGTCCAGTGCGGAACGGTAGGAAATTTCTCGATTGTGGTACAGGAACCAGAGGTAGCCTCCCATTAAAGTGGACAAACTGGCTAGGTAGGTGACGGGCTCCATTGTATCCCAGCCGAGCTCGGTTCCGAAGGTCAATTTGTAAACTAGACACCACCAGAATGAGAGGATTCCAAAGCCGCCGATGGCGACGCGCTGGGCGCCGCGGTGAGCGACGACGTCACAGTCATGTTTGATCTCTGCGATGCTCTGGATCCTCCCTGAGATCTTACGCAGGCGCATGCGGAGGAAATATGTCCGTTCGTCAAAGGATGGGACAGTCACACGGATATGGCCCAAGCCAGCCGGTGCGCCTTCAATGCTCACGACGAACTCCTGCGCGCGTGCGGCATCCCGAATGAAATCCCCAATCTCAGTCGACTGTGACCACCTTACAAAGCGCCGTTCTGGTTGATCTTGGCTTTCTTCTGATTCACGCAGGTAGCTGTAGGTGTCGTCTGAGTCGTCCGGGCGGCGGCGGCGTTCAAGGACAGCATCGCTTTCCCCTTCGCCTAGTTTGCGGGCTTCTGTATCTGTGTTTTCGTAGACGGATTTTCTGGGTTTGATGGCGTCTTGTTCTACTTGGAGGGCAATGAATGACACTGACGGTGGTCGATAGTGGCCGTTTTCGCCGCGAATCTTGGGGACTTCAGATTGGATGAGACGTTCAAGGTAGGAGAGGGGTTGTTGGGGGTGGATGAGGACGGCAATTGGCTCAATGTCTATTCTGTCAGCAGTTGTTTTCGCTTCGTCCATTTGGATTTGCCACTTACCTCGATGGTTAGGGTTGTGGTCAATGGTCGTCAATGGCATCAGGAGCTTGAACAATCTCGACGGTGTTGTCAATAATTTGCCTGCACTTGTTAGCATCCTGTTTTCCAAAGCGGCAAAAGCAGACACACCCTTGTTCATCTCCTCCAATCTCCTCCTCTCATTACTATCTTTGTCATTTTCAAGATCCTTTCCCTCCCGAATCTCCAACCGCTCCAATGTATCATCCGCCGCTCGTAGCCTGGAGAGACTGAAATGCCGTACCTCGTATTTCGCAATTGAGAATGGCGTAACTGGTGTCCGTGGATTAGGTCGGATTGATTGAATAGGTCTGAAGGGCAATCGTGTTCCTGAGTTGCCACGGAGTTGCAACGGGGTATGAACGGCGGGTAGCGAGACACGGAGAGGGCGCATATTCAGACGATTTCACAACAATGCCCGAGTGTGTAACAAAATGAAATGTCCCCCTGGTGTATGACTTAATATCTTCTCCCGGGGACAAAGTAACGAGCGTGATCAAGCCAATGTCATGACTCCGTATCTGTAGTAGTGTGACGGTAGTCCAATTCCAAGATAAGTGATTTGCCTAAGATTCCAACGGTAGATATATCCAACGAATTCAGATTAGAAGAATTTATCAGTAGAATAAACTGCATCATTCCGAGTTGTTTGCAAGTTAGTGGTTGTTTCTGGTCTGGGGATCGACCTACGTCATAGGGGCTATGCAGGCAAACAGGACAAACACCAGTGTTGTATGGTACGCACTTCTTCCAGGTTTCTAATGATTTTATAATAGAAGCAGAGGCACTGGAAACATGGTGTTAGCACAAGAGACAATTTGCTCGAGCTAGATTCCATGCAATTAAGATGTTCACGTGCTGATAAGGCACAGAAATATATATCTAATACCTCCAACGTCAGAAACAGATCCCATGCCATGCCATGCCAAATCTATCAATCGGATATAGTCATAACTCATTAATCATAACCTCCCCATCCCATCCCATCCCCGAATTTTGAGCGAAGCAAATCATGGCGAAACCTCTCCACTCCCACTACTCGCACCACTCTCACTCCCAACCCTCCCAGCTCCATACCCGTTGGCAACCCCAGCATAAACCTCCCCAAACCCATCCCCCCCATACTGAAACTGCCCCTTCCTCCCTGTCCCAATCGCAACCGGCACCCCCTGCACAATACCTCCATGGTCATGACCCGCGGGGTACATGCCATCGTTGACAGAAAAATTGCGACAGATGAGGTACGCGCGCATGGCAGCGTTTTCGCGGGCTAGTTGTTCGGATTCGCAGATCATATCAGTTTGGTATTCACGGTTATTGACGCGGACGGTGCAGGTGTAGCCTGGGTTGTTGGTGTTGGGGTTGGGACCGGTGCTTGGGCCGGGGCCGGCGGTGGGTGAGGGGGTTGTTGTTGTGGTTGTTGTTTTGTAGGGGGAGTAGAGGGGGTCGGGCCAGTGGCGGCGTTTGCAGAGGCCTGGTTTTGTTTAGTTTGGGTTCATTGTGGTTAAGATGGGTTGGTGGTGGACTGGGTTGGGAGGTATGGCGGGGGACGTACTGCTTAGGTAGAGGACGTAGTACATAGTGATTGAATTGGGTTCAAAAGATTATGGACGTGCTTTCCCGTAGAATATAGAATTAGAAGTACAACAGAAATAGATTCTTAACTATTTTATTGCTCAATTGAAACGACAGCACAAAAAACGTTGAGAAAACACAACGTGGGGCATTTCCAAATCTCGACAACTACCAAGTATCAATAAGATAACCAACTATGCTTACTGCTCTGCTAGGAGCTTCTTTTGTTTTGTCAGTTGCAACGGCGACATGATGTGCTGGCATCGCTCATGGCCATTCAAATCGAGCCCCTCGGAGGTTTATTATTCTGCGGACCCGAGTCCTTGACTCGTTGCTCGTTGCCTTGCTGCCTCGGAAGAAAATGGATATAGGCAGGTAGTCCGTTGGAAGTGCAATAGACTCTTTTGGAGCGTAATCTATTTGAGTAGATTTGGTTATCTTTTTTCGTCGCGTTCGCGATTATGCTAGATGGAGGTTGTGATTGAAATATTGACCGCTTCCTTGGACTCGGGCTCGACTCGGACTTGAGTTTATTTTTATTCGGAGGGGCAAGAGGGGCATTATTGACTCCGTATGGAAAACGGAGTACAGGTGACAATAAATACTTGTACTCGACTATTCCCCGTTTCGAGTAACAAAAAACGATGGCGATAACCAAAGTACAAGGAATCCCTGGTAAATACAAAAGGGGGAGGCAAGCTCGAGGCCGTATTGTACCGGGAAGGGGGGGGTATGCAGCGATGAGTTGTTCTGTGGAGATAAGCAATGGGATAAAAATCCATGAGCATGACAGCTGTCGCCATCCTCCATGGTCCGGACGCATCATGATCTGTACGAAGCACACTGTGGTTACCCTGCGCGTATGAAGTAAGGGGGGAGAAGGCTTCGAGGTCAATTCGCCAGAATTCCATTTTCTTCCTTTTTTCTCTCCAGGCTATATACGGTACTCCGTGAGGGAGGTATGTCGGCTATGCTATGCAAAATCCAATGGCTCCTTCTCGTACCAAAGTCGCATGTCTTCGGCAGCTTTGTGAGGAATGACATACAGCGGATGCGCTGGGTTCACTCGGTCTGTCTCTTCAAAGACGCTTACGTCTGTATCGTCGTTGACGTTGCTGGAGACGGGCGTATATTTCCAGGAAAACGCCGACGCAAAGGGCTCCTTGGAAGTGGCGCTCGTGTCTGTATGGTAATGCCGATGCTGCGTCGTGCTCAGGCCTGTCAACGTGTAGCAGGTGTGGTACGAATCGGGATGTCTGTGCTTCCTGTTAGCCACAACTAAGGTTAATCGAAAGCTTTGCTTACTTTCCGGGTTTATCCCGAAGTCCTCGCTTAGCTTGACAACAACTGAGGATGTATCGCGTCAAACCTTCCCGGCAGTAAAGATTGCCAGAGGCTTTGTTCGGGGCGGCGGCTGGTTGCATGCCATCCAGAGCAGACTGGACCAATGGCCAGCAGCCGCCCACCCAGTGACTGTAGCACCCATCTACTAATTTGTTGGTTCGCCCCGCAAAACCCCCTTCGGGGGCGTATTGACGAGCGGAGAGCCAGGATAAAAGCAGTGGAACGTCCATATACCTGAAAGAGGCAGCCTTAGTATCTGGTGGCGACATGTATGTATGCCCATTGATCTTCATCTTACCTGGGGATAACCTTTTCAGGCCGGTCCAGAATGCAAAGACACGCCAGAGCACAAAAAGCATAGGCTCCGTGCGCTTCCGTACCAGGACTTCCGGACATCCCTCCCTCGAATGTCTGGCCTGTGGTGGATCACCGTTAGCTCAGTCCGCCATCGTGTGGAGATAACGTTGCTCACATCTTGATAGATACTCCGGGAGGCCACTTGTAAACGTTTCTAGACCATGCTGGCGAGCTGGCGCATCCGGGGGCAACTCAAGTGGCAGATCGAGTAATGAGATGACCACCATGGCACAATACGCGCCCCTAGAGCGTTTTTAGCAAAACGCGCCATGCAACAAATATCAGGAGCGGAAACCGCCTACCTCACATCCTCTTCTCCATTCTCGCAGATTCTAAAGCCTCCGTCTGGCTGTTTTAATCTCCCCAACCAGCTCCACCTGAAACAATTCACGTTAGAAATCCCGCACGACCTCCCTAAACAGGCTACAGAACAAGAACAACTCACATGCCCCTCCGATCAATCAGCCGATAGGCCTCTGAGCCCCCAACCATAGCTAGGGTGAGCACGGCGGCGTAACTCGAGGCACTATGAGACATCTGGCCATGCCCCCCGCCGAAGCCCCCGGTGGGGTTCTGCATGGGTGTAAAAGTAGCAATCACCCTGTACAAGTCACGAAGTCAAAAAACGACCTTTCCCGCTTATCAGTGATGATCATGATTCCTACCGTTGGCGAAATTTACTGACATCCTCACCAAGTAGGGATAGCCCCGCCAGAGCCCAATAACACATCCAGGGACGACTAGCATCCAGTGCCACAAAGTCGTCTGGATATTCCTCCAGGGAATCGTACAGGAAACCGATATGGTCATCCCGTCCAAGTGCCGGGACCCCGTGCCGACTAAAGGGCTCCCGCTGCGATTTTTGATTACCTTGCAAAAAGGGCAAACATTTCTCGAGCGTCTGCTCTTGGAGCTCAGAGGTCTCTGTCGTAAGCGGGTCGTGGATCACTGGAGGCTCAGTAAAGAGAGCCGGGACCCCCGGGCGTACTGCCGCAGTCGTACTCATGATAGTTTTTGTACTTGACTTGGAAGCGATAGGGTTTGAGACTGCAGTGGGTGCAGGAGAGTTGCTTGTGGCTTGCAGGTTGTTGGCGTTAATACTGGTGACTGGACGGTTATTGGAAAAGCGGACTTTTCGACGCTGTTTGCCCGTGGCAGCGATGACGGGCATGGGCTCCGGGCAGTATATTTAATAGCTTTGATTCTTTGTTCACTTGAATGAAATCATAAGTGTAGATAAATTGAATTGAGATTGCTTAATATTGTTCTCTGTTTGGATGGCCTTGGGGATGAATACAGATGGGCGGCCATTGTCTTGTTTGGTGGGGCAGGAGAGCCAACTGTGCAGTTGTCCCGCAGTACTCCATACAAGATTAGAATATTCATTGAGGTGAATAACACGGTATTCTTGAATGACCCTATGCTATCTCAATGTCAATGACTTAAATCAGTGATAAGGACAGAGTAGTTGGGGTGCAGTGTTATTGAGTGCTTCGACCGAACGAGTAAGTGGGATGAAAGAATGACTCTGGTCCCGTGATCTGCATCGATCAACCCATATCTTTCCCTGCGCGAATCGTCTCACCATCACGAGCTTCCGACTGACACCCGAGAGACACTATGTACGTACGTACTCTCGCAAAGACATACTCTGCGGGCAATCGGGCAATGCATCCGCGAGAAACTAGTTCAGTCCGAAGCATCACGGTTTGACCAGCCCACACAATGGCTTGCGTCGATCCAAGTTGGCCCTATTTTTATCGGGCGAAAGTTAACGGACGATTGACTGAATCTGGCGATTCAAAGAAAAAAACTCTGCATCCCAACATTCGACCGTATTTTTCCATTGCTTGAGAGCTCATTGCATACTCGCAAATACTCTACGATATACGCATACCCTCTCAACACAGAATGTATGGCTTGCACCGCTGGCGTGTCCGGCTGCAAGTCAACAACCGATACTGACATGTTTCATGCAGGCAGAGCAGAGGAAAAGAGGGCTAAAGGTGAATTGACTCGATCTGCAGGCCCCTCAAGGTCCTTTCTTAGTCGTATTACTATGCACAATCGATATTGGCCGTTAATGCATGATATGATCTGATCTATCATTCTGACTTGATCCTGACCGGGTTGATTCCCGGTTGAGATATGGGCAAGGGATATGATCTCATCAATCGTTAGAGCACTGATGATATCGAGGTCGTAGGTACTTGTACAGACATCCGGGAGTGCATGCGTGTACTTGCACAGTTGTACAGAGTACGGAGTACAATTTGAAGCCTCATTCTAGGTATCTTTCTGGTGACGATGCGGATGTGGATGTGTGTGGGAGAAGCATTTCCGAGGCTGAGTAAGACGATACGGTAATAAATGGTATCGACCAGCACGGGTCACTGGTTGGTCCACCGCGGGGTCAGTCCGGTGCCACGTATTGACGGTATTATTTCCACGGCCAGAGACAGGATCTGGAGATCCACTGATCTCCCTTTCCGAGAATGTTCCAATGACAGGCCGGTATGTTCCAGGGTACCAGTGTTGGTACCAGTACGAGTGCCAGGGGTATTGATACTTATGGTTGGATAGAATACTTGTACAGAATACTGCCATATCGCAGCCCGACAATAATAACCAGTGTGGTTGCATAAACACCCTATGGATAGACTCTGATAGTCATGGGTCCAGCAGCGCCACCGTGGCATTAGCATTGGCTGTAATTTATCACTGTAATCTCATTACGGTAATTGACTCCCCCAACCAATCAGGGTCAACGTGGCTGCCGGGATCCCCTAGCGTGACCCGCTTTGCTGCTCACCGCTGTTTTGCCGGCGGTTCTTCCCCACCGCTCTGGACCGTGGAGAGAAACAGGCTGTAAGTGTATGTATCTCGTTTCTCTCGCTCTTTAGTATCATCTCACTCTTCGCTTGCTGGCCAATTCTCTTCTCTTTTTATCGGTTTCTTTTCGGAAACTGCTGGGTTTATTCTCTCTTATCATCCCCGGATTATCATTTTTTTTTTCATTTCTTTTCTTTGCGTCTCTTTCGTTGTTGATTTTGTATCTTTTCATTTTTGTTGTCTGTAGTCAGATTCCTTTTGTACAACCTGTGTCAAGGCTGATTTGATTCTTTGCCTTTTTCCTTTTCTTTCTTCCCTGTCGCTTTGCTGCTGTTTCATTTCATTTCTTCTGAATGAATTGAAGTCTCAGTTGTGTCTCATTTGTTGACCGGCCTTTTTATCAACAACCACAACCACCACCACAATTGCTCCGTACATAGTGTTGAACCATGTCGAATGTTGATATTTCCAGTGATGGCCTCATCGGTCTCGACTATGACTCGAGAGGTTATCTCCAGTCTCACTCCTGGCCTGTGGCCGTGGACCAACATTCACACCATCACCACCACCACCACCATAACCATCTTGCTCACACTCATCAACATCCGCACCACCAACACGCCCACCACCATCACCAACATGCTCGGGTACAACGCGATATCTCGCCCCTGCAGGCCACTACCACCACTGGTCACCCCTACGACCAGACCATCGCTGCTCACGACCCGTTGATGGTCGACTGGCAATTCCAGCAATTCCCTTCTCACCTTCAATACTCTCCTCCCCCGCCGCCGCAGCACGATGATCCTACCTCCGCTCCTCCGTTCACCACTACCGCCGCCAGTTATGGGATGCCCATCCAGTCTTCTCCTCCCATGGACCTGATGCCTGCAGCTCCCCACGGCCAGATGAGCACGGGTTTGCTGGACGGTTCCTATCTGTCCCTGTCAGCCCCCGTCGATATGATGTTCCCTTACCAGGACCTTCAGCCCGATCTGATGGCATTTCCTCAGACTCATGGTCTTCCGGACATGTCCCCTTACTCAGCACCGCCCAATGTGATTGACAGCAGCTCGCCTGCCGATACATACCTCGAGGTCCGGTCCCTGGGCAGTTCGAGCAGTGAAAATGGTTGGAACACCATCGAACGTCGTCCTATCGACTTCTCTTTCCCCGAGCAGAGCTTGTTTATCAACCCCAATCAGACGCTGCATGATAGGAGCCTATCTGAGTCGTCGTACTCGGGCTCCTACGGTAGCTGGGTTGACATCTCCAACCCCATCAACTCCCCCACCTCGGAGACCAACCTGGAGTCCCCCTTCATGCCCGTCAACCGTCGCGTGTCGTTCGACCACACCTCGCACGGTTCTCAGTCTCCTACTGCTGTTAGCCCCGTGGCTATTGTGCGGCCAATTCCTGTACCAGGCAAGAAATCGACGTCACCGACGCGCTCGGCCATGTCTCATAGGTCCACGGGGTCGACTTCGTCGACTGCTTCCTCTTCGGTGTCTCCGACTACCCGGAAACCGTCGCGGAAGAGCCCTATTGCCGCCAAGACAAATGACACCAAGGTTCGCAAACAATCGCAGAACGGGAAGCCCGACACCGAGAAGCGAGTGGGTAAGCGCAAGGGCCCTCTCAAGCCGGATCAAAGGAAACAGGCCAGTGAGATCCGGAAGCTGAGGGCGTGCTTGCGTTGCAAGTTCCTGAAGAAGACGGTAAGTTCCTTTACTATATCGAGAAATGACTGGAGCTAATAATGGATTGAACAGTGTGACAAAGGTGAACCTTGTGCTGGTTGCCAGCCTTCGCATGCTCGTCTCTGGCAGGTACCTTGCACTCGCATTGACATCAAGGAGATTGGATACTTCATGAAGGACTGGAAAGCGGACTACGAACGCCATATCTCGATGGGCTTCTCCGTGGGTAACATCAAGGGATTTTCGGAACACGAACGGACTCTCTTCATCACCCACGGCTATGGTCAGATTCTCCCTATCAACGCTCGGGAGGTCTACGTGCGTGACGAGCAATGTTTCAGTATTGACTGGGTTGAGACAATGAACCGGGAACCTACCCAGTACGAGGTGGAGACGGCCAAGCTGTCGGCTGGTATGGAGGGCATCTCACATGCTATGCTGTCCGACTACCTGGACCGCCACATCGATGGAAACGGCACCTTTGAGAAGTTTGTCGACGACTATTTTGAGGGCACACCGTTCTTAACACAAATGCTCAAGACTGCCTTCCGCTACTACTACCGCACAAAGCTGCCTGTTATCCGCAAGGCTCTGAAGTTAATCGTCGCCTACAACCTGACATTGCATGTTACTATGGTTGAGGGCCTGGGTGATGAAGACGGCTTCCTGGGCAAGATTAGGGACGGCGCCTCCAAGTTCAGTGGCAAGACCATGGCACCGGTCATGATTAACTTCCAAATCAAGTGCGCCATGGCCAACATGTGGCGTGAGTTGCAAAAGGACGTCTTGGAGGAGCTTTCTGCTCTCTACTCAAGTGTCTACAGTGGTGACAAGCTCAAGAACTGGCCAACCATCTTCATCTTGGCCTGCATTCTCTTGGCTGTGTGGGAAGAAATGCAGTTCGACTCGCATTATCGCACACCTGTGAGTTTTTTTTTTTTTTTTTTTCTCTCTTTTCGCGCTCGGATTGAGACTAATTATTCTAGGATGCGGCTTCCGTGGATAAATTCTGCAATGACATGGAGACAACACCAGTCGGTGTGATTGTGGGACTGTTCCAAGCAATTTCGCAGAAGCTGCCCGCTTTCACGGACTGGGAGACACAAAAACACCACCACTTGCTGGCATCCAACCCCGATGTGTGCAGCACTATGACCGAAGTTCGACAACACGTTACACAACACGGTATGGCAAATTTCACCACAGGGTTTTTGTGAGATGGTCACTAACACGTACCTTGCAGAGAACTACCTCCGGAGCCGGACTAGTAACTCAAAATTCGACTGCAGTGACTTTGACTGCTTATCGAATAAATTCATTTCGCGACTCGTTATCCGTGCCAATTAAGCGACAGAAAAAAAGACCCCAGTTTGTTTTCGAGGTTGAAGGTTCATCTCCGCGTACTATATTTTTCTCGGATATATAACGGCTGCAAAGATTCAACGGCATGAAGCACGATATTACTACGAAGACCCTACATGAGATATGCCGACATTTTCCTGATGATTATGAGACGTTACATAGCGAGCGCTATCATTCCTTTCGATTTTCTTCATGCCTCCGTCTCGATGTTTCTTGACGAAACTTTCTCTTTCCTTTTCTTTTTACTTTGGAAATGTCTTTCTTTACGAGTTTATAGCCTTAAGCGATGACCATGATGCTATATGTTATTCGTTTTTTTTTCTGTGTTATTTTGTTTCTTTTTACATTTTTTTATTACTTTGCCTTCTCAGTGGTATACGTTTTTGCCTCCGTATTTATATAGCGATGATGAGGATCACGAGCGTTATGATGATTTCCTAGTACAGTTATGAAAGTGCACATGAAGATGAAGTGATTGGCAGTAGGGAAGCGATGGCCCGAGTTGTTGTCAACGTTTGGTTTATGCTTTATTTCCCATAAATTTAGTTGATCTACTGAATATAGTCGTTTTGCATATAGCCTTTTGTCTTTACAGTATGGTCCGTACGGCCTCTTATCCCCACAGTTGGTATCCATTCAATGTTGATCAGGGATCAGGATTCAGGAGTTGAGCAAGTGAAGTGTAGGGATTTACCTCTATTTATAAAGGAAAGAGGCAGTGAACAATGAACACCGCCATTTCGGGGATTTTCCAGAGCTGACGAGCTGTACTCGTATCATATATGACCATTCTTTCGCCCCATACTCTATTGACTCGACTACGTGTACGGATACAGGTACTATCAAAAAGACTTTGCGATTTCAGATTTCGGAAAGCACGGATATCGAGCGTATCTGTACAAGAACGGAGTCACTATTCTGTACTCTATACCAAAATGGAATAGGGCAGACGTATCCTGCACAGACCGCTATTTTATCTGAACCACGTTTGGCAGGGAAGTGATTCCGACTATTGGATTTCCACATGGTGTTCTAGTCTGTTTGCAGTATTGTGTCCGTCCTAGGTGAGGAAATAGAGTATTTGTACGGAGCACAGAGTATCTTACAGAGTGGCTACATATTTACTGCGTATAGTTGAATAGGGTGGTGGATCTGGGTTTGGACGGAGTCAGTCAAGTAGATTGTACTCCGTAAGAGGACCGAACCGGACCGAACCCGACCCACCGGGCCGTTTGTATTTCTTTTTCCAGAGTTCACTTCTTTCTTTTTCTCTTCTTTTCTTTGGTTCGGTTGGGTCGCGTCCGGTGGCGTGCGTGGGGGGTGTTGGTTTGTACGTATTGTAATATGGGTCGTGCTTGTGGGGTGTCTACGGAGTACCGCTGCGGAGTTGTCCGTACTGTACAACTTGTACGGGGCACAGAATACAGGAGTGGGTATGGATATAGGGGGTAGACGGGGATGCGGGTGAAATTGGTTGATAGCTGAAGAATTTCTGGAGTTAATTCGGGATTCGGTATATTCGGGATGTGCTTTTTTTGCCTCTGTGATTGGTAACGGCTCTAGTGGATGTTGTGCTTGGATAGGATTAGGGTGGTGTTATTTCTGAGATAAGCGAGGATAGCGAGTATATCAATAGTACGAGGAGGGGTGGCTTCGATTGAGCGTGTGTTGTGTCAGCAACCCTAAGGGAAGTCGCATGTGCTGGATGTGTTACTATAGATTTGAGTATTCAAAGATACTAATGTAGCCACCAACTGCGTAACGCGCAAAGAAATTACTGTTTTAAATCACATCGGAGCTCGATTTATAGAAACGATGCATAGTATTAGAGAGATCTGAAGAGTCCCTGGTATGACCATATATATTCTGTACTACTCAAATTTGGGCAACAACACTTACGGAATACCTTCATTGAAGTATATACAAGCACCGCAAAGTACAACGCTTTCCATAGCTTATCTCTTTTCCCACATATGCAGGAACATTTGATTGAGTGGAATGCATGGTGTAACACGGATCTCGGGTACCAGTAACACCAGCAAACGGCGAGACAAAGCGCTACATCCAGACTAGGAGCCGAGACAGATTCAGGGGCAAGTAAGATAAAACGGCAAATTGCTTGATTCTACATCCGCATCCGATATCACGCTTCACACATCGTTAAGATTATTGTGTAACTTTCAGAAAGCCACGATTAACCTAAAAAATGCTTAACTATAAGAAAATGGTCATATTCAATTTGAGTCTCTAAACTACGTGATACAACAGTAGTACGACTTACCGAGTAGATGTGATCGATTGATGACCGCCATGAAAGCCCTCATAGTATCGAATGATCGGGAAGGGGGTTTCGTTTCTGGCGACTAGCCAAATGCAGTATCTTTACACAGGGATCATGCCTGCATTGCTCGGGCGGTTGTTGTATTGCCCCTGCAGCTTGTGTAACCTTGTTGATGCGGGCTATATCGCGCCAACTTAGGGTTATTACCTGTACCACTAATGCTCCAACGCGAGTTTGGAAAAGTAAAGTACTCTGTATAAAATATACAATTGCTAATGACGCTTGGGAGACACTAGAAGTGAGTACTAGAACCTACATAGTCTTCTTATATTGTATTTCTCATTGCTTGTTTGTGAAGTAATTCAACTAGGATCTTCGGCTATATGTATCCATCGCGGTAGCACAAACGCTCGGGATGCCACGACCCAACGGTGGCGCCGTATACTGGTACCTGATGCAAAATATGATGATCGTCGCTATATAGGGTAGAAAGATGAGTTCAGGGTAATTGAATGTTTGGATCTAGTACGACCTGCGTTGGATACCTAATAATCACATCCCAGTTTTTAATTTCCTAAGAAAAAAGCTATATAAGCACCCCAATTTTCCACATCGTTTCCCTCTCCTTAACTCAACCCATTACATCCACTTGATCCATCCAACTACCAAGTCTCTCATTCATTTCAACTCCATCACTTCAAAATGCACTTCTTCTCCATCTTTCTATCCATCCTACCTCTGGCCTACGCCAACCCCATCCCATCTCGCTGCCTCGAGCTCCAGCAACTCGACGAAACCCTCACTTCTCTCGCCGATATCGACCAAACCACCATGACGGAGAACGGAGTGAAGAAGCTCGGAGAGCTCCTGGTCGCTCAGCCTGCGGTACGCAGAGAGCTGGAAAAATGCTTCACCGAAAACCGCCGTCGAGATCTTGATGATGCTCTTAATGGATTGGGGGTAAGTTAGCAAGGACTGAGATTTCTTTTGATTTTGGGCATAGGCTGACATGCATGTAAATATAGCAATCAATTCAGGTGAGTAGTACTTAGGGCTTGATTTGCTGTGGATGATGGGGATTGCTGCTAATCACATTTCGTTGGTGAATCTAGGGTCTCATGGGACAGGAAGCAGAGAATATTGATGTTGCCATCGACCAGACCTATTTCATCGGCAATTATGGGGACTACAATCGCCAGGACGGTGGCGAGGATCAAGTAGATAGCAACTAAGACATCATTAGCTATGAAGTGGGATCGGGGTTATACCGCGGATTGTTATCTTTGGTTTCCTGGGTCGCAAGCTAATCTTGGGGCGCTCTTGAATAATATGTTACCCTGCGATTGGATTTTGGCGCATTATGGCGCAGACGGGGCTCTTAATTAATTTGAATGTGGTTAAATTATCACTTATTATACCTTTGGAATTGATGGTCTCTTCGTATTCTTGTCTAACGTCCCTGGGTGGCTCTTACCAGAAGCGGCGTAGCAATACACCGTTGAGAATATTTCATATTATCACAATTGCCTCTTTTTCAGCATTTGGCTGGATTGCAAAATACTGCGTATGTAATTACATATTACCCTGTACTCTATATGGTGTTTCTCACTGTCTGTGCGTGGTCTGCAGAGCAATTCGGGTTCTTCAACTATAGCTGGACTCGCTCGACACGGGATCCATTACATATGTCCCATAAATGGCCTGTACTCTATACAAATGCACTGGACAGAGCATAACAAACTGGATAAGCATCTCCATTCTTCTGCACTCAGTATCGTCACCACCTTGCAATCGTTCATGTCCAGATATCAGGCCCCCATTAGTATAACGCAGTTTTTCTATATCTTTCTGGTGTTTCTTCCATTGTAAACATTGTACTGAATCTTGATGGCATTGTTGCAGTACGCAACGCGCAGGAGCAGACGGGCTCCAGTGTATACTGAGCTTCAGCTACCATCGATATCTAAGTTGTGACTTCGGTGATGAGTTTATTGTAAGTGCTCAGTTGGAAAATTATCACTATGTCACAACTACAATCTAATGGTGGGATACAGCAAGTATCGCCGGTAAGTGCTGTCTATAATATTATCTTTCTGGACGATTTGTCTGATAGGCTTTTCTTATTTCCGATCCCTGCTGGTAAGCTACGACAGGGGTAGTGACGATGGCGACGATGAAGAAAATGGAGGGGGAGAGGACAGGATAGCGATGATATTGCCGGCACAAATATGGTGATGTAAAGAAAGTTCCGTTGTGGACATATTTATACCCCCCGTAAAATTATATAGGAGCTGCTTATCTGGGCGTCACATGCTCGAGAAGTGCCCTTCGCCATTAGGCATGGAAAGCCTAACACCCGTGGACTTCTAGTCTGCTTGCCGTGAATTAAAAGCAGGATTGCCATCAGATCATGCATAAAATTCATAAGAGGTCAACACCGAAGGACTGTATTCACATGACTCTAACCCTGCAAATGGCTCTTCAAATGGAAGGTCCTTGATACGTTAAGGGTGACAATAGCGTCAAGTTACTAGTGATGTAACAATTGTCTAGCCAGTTGATGAATAGTGTACAATAAGGTCTCATAGGTTCATACTGAAGGCGGTGTTATGCCCTAGAAACATCGCATATCACATCAATAGTCTGAATACCGCAGGTCATGTAGTACTATTTATACGTACAGTAGATCTGTTGTATCAGTGGTGCATTTGATGCGAGATATTAAGCACCTTCAATTCCCAATTCTCATTTTCATATACTCAAATTGCTAACATCTAATTGCTTGGAATGAATTATTATCAAGTTCTGTGACCTCAAATCTATTTTCATTTTTTAGTATGCAGCTTTCGTTTGCCATTTTTGCTATTCTCCCATTGGCTTATGCTATTCCCATCATGAACCGCTGCAATGAGCTGGAGCTCTCTTTCCCGACCTTGTGAATATCCACCATACAAGTATCCTATCACTCCCCAGACTAACATGGAGCTACAGGGTGTTGTGTATGTAAGTGCAGTGTCTGCAGAGCCTGTGTAAGTTCTGCATAATCTGGAGTCACTGGGTTGCTAGACCACGATTTCTTTTGATTAATAAAGGGCCTGCTAGGAAGCAAGAACAATGGTAACAATGAACGGGGACAGCAGCAGCAACAGTGACAATAACCCAAATATTGACCCCTAAACAAAACCAAACCAACAGCAATGAGAGTAGGTAAGTGTCACGGGCTCGGAATAGTAGATAATAACGAACTGAATTCCTATCTAGACTATTGTAGCCATTGACGAGAATATCGAATCTGGAGAAGAAAAGGGAAGAGGAAATCTATCCAGATAATGAAGGGGTTTTATAGAGGTTGTTGGCGACATGGCTGAGTAGCAGCATTTGCGATGTATCATTCATTGCTGCAGTGTTGAGCCGTCATATATGAGTCGTCATATATGAGTCGTCACAGTAAGACAGTATAAATTACGATACCAGTTGATTAGGAGGTGGGAATAGGACTTAACACTCATGCACATAAGATCAGCTGGGGTCACTGTCAGTTGGAGGGTTATCAGGAAATTAAAATAGAGTTGCAGTTGCTAACTCCATGTCTGCGGTTACAATCCCAATCGTTGACAGAGAGAAGATAGCCACAGCGATATGCTCAAGTACGTAGGAAGCCTTAACCAATCAGTATTCTTGCAAGACGCGGAGTAGACATTGTAGTAAACATCATCCACTGAAAGGCTACCGCAAACAGAGACTGTTAGTACGCACATACTTAAGTTTCCCAATTACATAACATCTTACTCTGAACTTCATACTTGATCTAATCCCAGCAATACCTTCATTATGATATGCAGCTTTTCATTATCCTTTCAGCAATTTAGGGCAGGTCTGGAATAAATTGACAGCAGGTGGGCACTCTTTTTGAGCAAGAAACACAGACCAAACTACCATCGAGCTCTTGTGGATAACCCTGTGAATGGGGTAAGTATTCCGCAAGAATCCTGATTGACGCTATATCGTATCTAAGAACTGACAAGGGAACACAGCAAGCAACCTCGGTAAGTAAAGTCTAGAATTCTAGTCTAGCACATATAATCGATCCAATTAGGTTGCTAAATCATTTCGGTCGATCAATATAGGATCTTCTGGGAGGAAACAGTGGCGCCAATGACGATGAAGATGAAGTCGATGGGGACTCAGGGACATCAAGCTCCCTGGGGTTGACGATGATGGCGAGGATGAAGAATGCATCATCGAAAATTGAAATTCTTCGAAATGTCTCATCCAGATCCCGATTTGGTGCTGATCTTGAAAAGCCGGTTGATATCCCAGTGTACTCCATTCTGACCTGTCATGTCGAGGCTTATGCCGGTGTTTTCGGAAAGTAGCCTCTGACAGCTTTTATTCAACTTTTTTAGTATGCGATATGGATTTCCTTCGCTTATCAAGAGCATATACCTCGGCCGGTGGAGAATGCTGCCTTGCTCTATCCGGGCGGAACAGTTGATCACTTCGCGAGAAAACGCGCCATGGGTATGGCAGCTGTCTGGAAGCAGGCGACAAGTAAAGTTTCAAAGTGTCTAAGTGTAGTCATGTAGGTCTATAAAAACCGTTTGTTTTTTCCTACCCCGGTCTCTGTATCCACCGCCTTCCGGAATGGCCCCAGAAAAGCGCCGGTTGCGACGATCACCTGACCCGCTCTTAGCCGACGATGGAGCAGTGATAAGGCACCACACGTCATCGGTCGGGGAAGCATCATGATAAGGAGTCTACAAGGTACTTGTAGTATAAGATAGATTCAATAGTAATTGGGAAGCAGTAGAGATACAAAAATGAGGTGAAGAAGGTGTAGAAGGTGCTCTGTCTTCTCAGGGGAAACAGAGTTACCATATCGAAACACGCGAATGGTACCCGGCCGTCCCCGTCGGTATGAGATACGGCTGGTGGCGTCATCTGGCAGTGGCGGTGAATCAGCTTAAGAATAGCACAGACATGAAGACGGCCTGATAACTCTGGCTGAGAAAGCTGGTAGAAACCAGGAATTACCGGCGCATACTTGTACATCATTCGCGGTCATGGACTGACTGTTGCTTGCCTGAGTCATCGACCAGGACCTTTCTAGTAGATTCCCCCAAAGTCATTCTGCCTTCCTATTCGGGGAAAATGGCGCTTGCATCACGTTATCCGCCCCGTGACGACAGGCGCCGTCGCTCTCGTTCGTCAGAATCTCTGACTAAGGCGCTTTGCCTCCGCCTCTTTCTCTGTCCTTTCTTCCCCTCACCTCCCAGGTACTTAAAGCTCGCCCATCTGCCACGTTAATCGTCTCTTCTTCTTCTTCCCTTCCTTCCACCGTTTGTCTTTCTACTTTCTTTTCCCACTCTTACCTCTTCCTACCACCTGTGTCTGCTCTTTGAATAACCAAAGTAACTGTCATCATCTCCAACTACTGCGTAACCTGTTTCTTTTCCTTTCGCCGTCATTATGCAGATCTTCGTCAAGACCCGTGAGTTATCCTTTTCCCTTCCAACCTTCCTCTTTGGTGGTACAACGCCACCGCCACTGGAACTTTTTCGCTAACTCCCTTTCGCATAGTTACTGGCAAGACCATCACTCTTGAGGTCGAGTCGAGCGACACCATCGACAACGTCAAGAGCAAGATCCAAGACAAGGAGGGAATCCCCCCTGACCAGCAGCGTCTGATCTTTGCTGGAAAGCAACTCGAGGACGGCCGTACCCTTTCTGATTACAACATCCAGAAGGAGTCCACCCTCCACTTGGTTCTCCGTCTCCGTGGTGGCATGCAGATTTGTAAGTCCTCAAAACAACGACACTTGGATATGACTCATTACTAACTTTGCTTTCTAGTCGTCAAGACCCTTACCGGAAAGACCATCACTCTCGAGGTCGAGTCTAGCGACACCATCGATAATGTCAAGTCAAAGATCCAAGATAAGGAGGGCATCCCTCCCGACCAACAGCGTTTGATCTTCGCCGGCAAGCAGCTTGAGGATGGTCGTACGCTTTCCGATTACAACATCCAGAAGGAGTCGACCTTGCACTTGGTGCTGCGTCTGCGCGGTGGTATGCAGATCTTTGTCAAGACCCTGACTGGAAAGACCATCACTCTGGAAGTAGAATCGTCCGACACGATCGACAACGTCAAGTCAAAGATCCAAGACAAAGAAGGGATTCCTCCCGACCAACAGCGTCTCATTTTCGCGGGAAAGCAGCTTGAGGACGGTCGCACCCTGTCGGACTACAACATTCAAAAAGAATCCACTCTTCACCTTGTCCTTCGCCTTCGTGGTGGTATGCAGATCTTTGTCAAGACCCTCACTGGGAAGACAATCACATTGGAAGTTGAAAGCTCCGACACAATCGACAACGTGAAGAGCAAGATTCAGGATAAAGAGGGTATCCCACCGGACCAGCAGCGTCTCATCTTCGCTGGTAAGCAGTTGGAAGATGGGCGCACTCTTTCCGACTACAACATCCAGAAGGAAAGCACCCTGCACCTGGTCCTGCGTCTCCGTGGTGGAAACTAAATGATCGACCATTGTTTTAGATCCCCCCCCCCCTTTTTTTTTTTTATTGTTCTAATGACTCGTCTTATGGGTTGAATGACCTGCATGGCGTTTGGATGGCTTTCCTTTTTACTACATGGCTCTTTCTTTTTTGACACGGCTTAACGGGCATACCTTTCTCTTCTATTCGCCATAGACATGGTGCTTATATAGTTTATTCTTGGAATTGAGCCCAGGCATGGGTAAACTTTTTGACATCTCTTTCTGGTAGTAGCTACCCGTAGTTATCCACCCTCTCTATCCACCTTCAACTGTTCAACTGTAGCGTTGTTTGCCACGTCGCATTCCCCACATTGTGGCTGACTAAGGGATCATCTAAGCATAATTGTTGCATAGCCGTTTTCTGAACCACTCAAAGATTTATAGAATAATCATTATTGCAGAGCTTCAGAATGTGAGCCTTGGTCGGGATGCCCTCATACTTCTACCATCTCGCGATTGAATTATTCGCCCGTCCTCTAACTGACCTCGGAGTTGCTTCCTGTTTGGACGATCAGTCGACCTCGCTATCGTTTGACTCCGCATGCGAAGCTCTACGCCCGTTCCAAAAGCCCATCCGGCACTCAAGTCGACGTTCACGCGCTTCTCCCAGCGATAAGAGCAAATGCCCTTCTCCTCAGAATCTACCTATCAGATCCTCGTCGAGCTCTGTTAGCAAAGCCCGCGTCGTCGATAACGCCATCTTTATGACCAGTAATAATACCACTGCCCCTCATCCTTACACAAAATCGCATAGCAGCGCTGCCGATATCCAACAAGACCAGCGACTGGACAAAGTCTCCATCGAATGCATTGACATGGTATCCCTATCCGAAAGAGAAGACCCCACAACAACGCCCTCTTCGAAACGAAAGGTCCATTTCACGGATAACCCCGTTACAACGGGCATCGGGACAGATATCCTTGGTGGGCTCCGGACGAAGGGGCGATATATACCACTTGATCAGGCAACGACAGATAGTATCTGGGGTATAGTGCATTTGTATCGAGATGCACAGGAGACTCCGTACTTGATTGATGATGACTATCCGTCGGAGTTAAAGGGGTCGTCGGCTGCGGCGAGGCAGCCGGGGGATCAGTTTGGAGATTATGGAGATACTCGTGTGGAGGGGGACTCGCCGGATGAGGAGTGCACGACGTTGTGTATTCTGGCTGTGCCGTCGTATTTGTCGCCGTCGGATTTTCTGGGGTTCGTGGGGGAGACGACTATGGATGACGTTAGTCATTTTCGCATGATTAGGACGGCGAGGGCGAATCGCTATATGGTTCTCATGAAGTTTCGGAGTGGGAAGAAGGCAAAGGAGTGGCAAAAGGTGTGGAATGGGAAGGTTTTTAATAGTATGGAGGTGGGTTTTCTCGATTTCTCATGTATTGAGCTATGCTAACTGTCTAGCCTGAAACCTGCCATGTTGTATTCGTGAACACGGTGGAAATCCAGGCCGTAGAACTTGGGACACCATCAGGTCTTGGTAGTTCATTCCAATCCACTCTTGCCATAAACAGCCCCAAGAGAGGAAGTGTCGCTTCCCAGAACCAATCAAACCCTATACCCTCTGCAACTCTATCTACCAAACCTCTCGCGCCACGAACACCTTCACTCATAGAGTTACCGACCTGTCCAGTCTGTCTCGAACGCATGGACGAGACCACCGGTTTACTGACCATCATCTGCCAGCATGTCTTCCATTGTACATGTTTACAGAAATGGAAAGGCAGCGGCTGTCCGGTATGCCGATACACACAAGACGACTTCCGCAGAAACAGCCAAAATCTACCCCTCGAAGACGAACCAGCCGAATGTCACGTCTGTCACTCAGATACCAACCTCTGGGTCTGTCTGGTCTGCGGCACAGTTGGTTGTGGTCGTTACGACGGCGCACACGCCTATGAGCATTTCAAAGAAAGCACACATGCCTTCGCAATGGACCTTTCCACACAACGCGTCTGGGATTACGTCGGAGATGCCTACGTCCATCGCATCATCCAAAACAAAGGCGACGGGAAACTAGTGGAACTACCAGCAGCCGATAACAGCGCCCTCGATCCACCAGACTGGACCGATGCCGTACCCCGCGAGAAACTCGAAAACATGTCCGTCGAGTATACACACCTCTTAACCTCTCAACTCGAAAGTCAACGTGCCTATTTCGAAGAAGTCGTCGAACGAGCCGCAGACAAAGCATCCCAAGCATCCGCCGCAGCCTCATCCGCCCAAGAAGCCGCCGCAAAAGCCACCTTAGCCCTCACAAACCTCCAATTCCAACACGATAAACTAAACCACGAGACACTCCCCGGTGTAGAGCGCGACAAATCCCGTGCCGAGAAACGAGCTGAGAAGTTTGAGGGTATGGCGCGGAAGCTGGAGAAGGAGTGGCGCGAGGAGAAGACGATGAATGAGAGTCTTTTGAAGAGGATTGAGTATCTGTCAACAGAAATGGAGGGGCTTAAAGAGACGAATACGGATTTGAGTGAGCAGAATCGGGATCTTACGTTCTTTATTAGTGGGTCACAGCGGTTGATGGATCAGGGGGAGGATGTGCAGCAGGGGACGGTTAGTGTTCCAGAGCCTGAAGTGAAGGGGAAAAAGAAGAAAGGGAAGGGGAAAGGACGTGGGTGATGATTCATGGCATGACCGTTATAATACAGTCCAAGCGGCGCCTAGAGTGCTACGAAACGAAAGCTTGGATAATAAAAGCACGCTTCTCTTTTCTATCGTACATACATTACATGCATAGTGAACACCCGTAAAAACCGTATCAAACACCTTTCCTAACAGCCCAGAAGTAATTCCCCCAATCCTCCGACCCCTTCACAATCTTCCACCCCAACCCCGGGAAATACATCACACCCTCACATTTCCACATCGAACCCTGCAACGCTTCGCTCCCAGCCTTCTCAGCAGTCCCATCCCTCCCCCTCATCAACCCCTCCTGCACCCACCCTTTCACTTCATCGGGGTTCACAAACTTGCTCCACTCATGCGTCCCCCTAGGCACAACACCAATTGGCCACGGCGCTTCAGCGATGACCTGATTTACCAGGAACGACGGGAACGAGCGCGCGATCGTCGACCCAACAAGCCACCCACCGGGCTTCACGAGACGAAGACAATTTGTAAGGAAAGCGAGCGGTGAGGAGGTAGACGGGTCGATGTGTTCGAGGACTTCGAAGAGGGTGACAATGTCAAATTGTTTCTTTTCATTGCTGTCAGAGAACGATTCGATAAGGTCTTCTAGTGTCCGGTTCTGGTAGCTAAACCGGCCGGTGCGGAGGTGCATGTCGACCGTAGGATCAATGCGGGCGTGTTCGCGGGCGATTTGGATAAGTGTGGTGGAAGGATCAAGTGCTGTGATCGAAGCGGCGCGAGTAGGCGTCACCGTCTTATTTTTCGTAGACGGGATTGTTCGCGCGAGCGACTCTGCGAAAATCCCCCCCCCGCAGCCTACATCTAGATAATGCAGATTCGCCTGTCCTTGTTCCGGCTGTTGTTGCTGACCATGCGCCGGCGGCCCCTCAGCTAAACAAGACGCGATAAATTCATGACGCAGCGGATTCATCAAATGCAGGACCCGCGAGGGACCCATCGGATCCCACCAGCTGCTGGCGAGCGCGGAGAAGTGGGAGAGTTCATCGGCGGAGACGGAGGAGGGTGCGGTTCCGGTGGAATAGAGGCGGTGGGGGGTTGCGGTTCGGAGGAAGGAGGTTAGGGTGTGGGTTGTAAGTGTTACTCGCCGGAAGGGTGTCATTATGTCTCTGATTTCGTTTGGGTGTGTCAATTGGGGAATTTTGCGGAGGTTGGCTGTTTTGGGGGAAGTGAAGTTATTCAAGGGTGGGTCTGAGACAAACATGCCAAGACTGGTATCATGGTATACAGATTTCTCTTGCACACATCTATCTCTATGATTCTCGAGTAATAATGTCTATGCTTTTCATCATGGCTTTTGTTCATATACCCTGACAGCGGTAGTTGCTCATTCAACTCAAGATCATCCCCCAAGAAGCTCCGCAGCTGGAATTCCGGGATAATGGCCCCTGGTTGGTTGCCAATTTACCCTGCGCTGATGGAAGCTACCGCGAGCTCCAGGGTATCAACTTAGATCTCCATATTACGAATAATGATGGGGAGCTCGAATGGGTTGTAAGTAATCTAACTATCTGTGGAGTGTTATTGGGTCATGCTAACTAACATTCACAGCCTGAAGATTAAAATCGGAGAATCAGATATTCTGGATCTGCAGTAAGGATATAGATATGATGCTATTGTTATAAGAACTGCATTCTTGTTGGAACAAAGTTAGTTCAGGGCAATCTATATGTCAATCCATCATTTATTCATTTCACCTTCGCCTAGTAAAACCCTGTATCTCTTCGGGCGAGTCCCTGAGTTTTGCGAGGCTCAGTGCTGAGAAAGAGCCTTTTTAGTTGGCTGGCCTGGCTTCCTCTTCTTTTGTCCCACGACCTTTCTTCGCCTGCCCACTGCTCGGGCCACCGAGAAAGGCGCTGTTGCACATTGATGTGCTCGATTCTCTACTCCCACTTTTTTGCCCCAACCCTATTCTCTGGACTCCTTAGCGCACGATGGATAAAATCTGCACAGCACCGGCCAGCCAGTCAGCTTATAGCTCTGACCGCGCGGACCCCAGATTCCGTGAGCATTCTCCAAGGAAGTCTCTCGACTCCGTATTGAAGAAAGGTTATGGCTAGATCATTAGGACTTCTCCCTGCCCTTAAGAATATTATGCGTCCGGTCTAAGAATATCATTCTAGCCTTGATTCGTTTGATAGCATCTTGATGAGAATGAGACCACCAAGTAATCCATTTATCAATAATAGCATGTGATAACCCCAACTCCAAGGCAAGAATGCAAAAGGAATAACCGCCTTCCTTCATTGGATGCATTTGACATAACATCCAACCATCCGGAAACATCTTTATATCCGTGTACGCCGTGAATAACCTTGGAAGGATGATATTTAGACAATTCACGGCGGATTTTGCGATGTCTTCACGAGAGGACTTAGGCCTGGTCTTCCTTCAATCATAATTCAGACAGCAACAGGCAGATATTGACACACAAATACCCCAAAGCTCCTCCTGTTCTTGAATTAATGGACCTTGCACATGGCAGCAGTCACTGCCCAGCCAACTCATAATTATCCCCCAAACGAGAAGCTCCGCACCTTTTGCAATATTCACAGATATCGAAATTCTCATTCTCGCAGATACCGCAATGGTATATATGCGTATTACCCAGGCTCTGGGCCTGGCATATGTCAATAGGCCTGCGAGGATTTGAGGATGTCAAACGTGATTGGCTGAGGAGGTTTGGGACATTGGAGGGATCTTCATTAACAATAACAACAGAATCCATGCAGCCACTATCATTGATTTTGCTTAACAGAAGGTCGGATATTTCGGTATAGCCCATCTGTCACGCTTCAGAGAGGGCCGTGTGGCCATATTTATCCTTCACATCGAGGTCAATACCTGGCGTGCTCAGCAGAACCTCAACAACCGCTCTACGACCCTACCGAGACAGCGCTCACCAGGGCGGTTCGACCGAAGATACTCTGTGCAGTTAAATTTATTTTAGTTAACTCCAGAAAGAAGCAATCTTGTCACTTCTTCATGCCCCTCCAATGCAGCCCACATGAAAGGCGTGCGTCCATGGCTGTCTGGAAGGTTTGCATCTGCCCTTCTGCGAAGCAAGTCTCACTACGGATGTCAGACTACCCTGCGCAGCTTGCGCAAGGGGAGCTCGCTCCTTGTCATCTTTGGATTGGATATCAACACTATGTGTTATCAAGTATAGCATCAAACGAGTGTGACAATTGTCTTTGATCACAAATGACATGAAACTTTCCCATCGAACGTTTAGGCTCATTTTGATTCATTAGAATTAGTGGTATTGAGCAAACTGCGTCTAGATATAGACAACGCTCTGAACAGTGGGGTAAGACCTTCTCTGCCTGTGGTGTTTGGATCAGCCCCTTATCCAAGGAGAAACTTGGCCATTTCGTCCTTCCCGCTCTGTACTGCTCGAACTAATGCCGTTTGCCCACTGTTGTCCTTAAATTGAGATAAGTATCCTCAAACTTGGCACTCAACAGCCTGTGGAAAATTGCTATACGGCCATATTCAGCAGCGCGTGACAATAGATTCGGGCCGTTGTCATCCTTTAACTGGGGACCTGCACCATATTTCAATAACATGTCGGTGGTACCTTCTCGTCTGTTGTGCATTGCGTGTAATAATGGAGCTTGACCATACTTGTCTCTGGATTTGATGTTGGCTCCGTTTTCAAAGAGCATTCTAATTGCTCGTTCGTGGTCATTCTTGATGCCCAAGCTAATGGTGTTCCTTTCGACGTGTTCTCGACATCAGTCGTATTTGATTATCAAGCAGCAGTTTTAATACATTGCTTAGCCCCCTGTGAGCTGCCAGATGCATCCACCTCATTTGTGTTACTGATTGGGGTTTCATCTTAGAGGCCCACAAGTAATGACGACCTATCGTCAATGTCTGAGAGCGTGCAGCTGTTCTGGGTATGTCGTTGAAGAGTTCAAGGGTCAATATCTCTGTTGTACCGCATTGTTGTTGAACATGATAGCCCCAATTTCTCGACGCGTATTCGTAAAATGAAATCCGATCTAATCGGGGGAGAAATTCATCTTGGGTTTCACATATTCCGCTTCCAAAAGTGTCTAATGATGAATATGTAAGACAGACACGACCTATTCCGCGATGCGCAACGGTAAACCATGAATTCCACGTCCTTTTGAAGTAATTATGCGTTGTGTAATGGACAAGCCGGGCGACATGAGTTTCCTCATTTAGTGTAATGAGTTTGGCACAGACGGAGAGTTTACCTTCGACCTCGGAAATGTTATCTACATCGAAGACCTTGTCGCCAAATTAGATGGCAAGAGTATGTTGAAATTGCAGGATGGTCATCGGCCATCTTGCGCAAATTGTCCAGGATAAGACTTGTTTTGCAAGCAGGGTTTGATCAAAAGTTCGGTCTTCAATCCTCTCCATGGCTCCATTGTAGACAGAATCGTAAGCATCGGATCCAAATGGCAATTCCTGTAAAGCAAAAGTGCACGGCTATTGGTTTGCTTTGCTTTAGCAACTCGGCCTGTTGCTCAATTAATTGCAGATATGGTCCGAACGCTACCTTTTCAGAATCATATGAAGACTAAGAATTGAAGTGTCATTTCAGGCATTTTGTTTGAGAACATACTGGCAGACATCGTCGAGGGAACCATAATTCAATAACTTCTCTTTTTTTTTCAGTGTGCTTTATATATAAGCAATGTACCTACAGAAAACATTCCCATCTTCTTCCTTTATTCGCTTCTCACCTGACTCTCACGGGTCACAGCATACTGACCTGGTCCGATATAGGAAACATACGCCAGTGCCATGAGATGCACTATACTTCGAGTACTTGCCATAGCCGTTTTCCATTGCCCTAGTAAACAAAGATATATCATCATCTATTCAAGTTGGTCTGTCATAGCTCTAGGGCTCGGTATGGACAATAAACTTGATTGAATGATAATAATATCTATTCAAGCGTTCATGAGCTTTGCAACGTGCATTTTTCTTTCACCGGGTCGGACACCAATAATATTCTGCTCTGCATGAATAGAAAACAAGCAAATTTCCATGACTCTTTACGTTAAGGCAAAAACAAGCAAGAACCTCACTTCCTACCCAACCCTCTAGCCGCCCATCCCCACTGCGTCATATCCGTGCCGCGCCAGTAGGTTCACAAAGTACATCAGGGTCTGGACCCATGATATCACACTAATAATAAGCTTACTATGTAATATGTATGCTGTTCCGCACAAGCCATGGAGACTTCGGCAGGAATCTAACCCCCGTATCCCGCTTCTGCAGAAATCCGGCCGCTATCCTAACCAGGAAGGACGCTAGAAAAGTTCTAGTTAGGTCCACTGTGGGTCTGTTTATGTTCTACGCGCTTTCTAGAAGCTTTTCGGTGAGTGTATTGTGTTGCTCGTATGATATGATGAATGTCGGGATATTTCCCGTCACCGTGCAGTGTCGAGTCAGTTAGTTATGAAGATGGAATATTTCGAATTGTTCCGGTTGATCAAGAGGTCAGAGTACTCCGTATTTACGTTACCAGCCTCCCGAAGGGTCTTGCGCATCGTATTCCTGTAGAGCGGAGCGACATTTCTTGACTCGAGTGAACCAGGAACGCGGATTGTCGAGTCAGTCGTTGGCCACCGTTGCCGTTGTTGTATGAAGGACGGAGCCGGGCGTTGACTCGGGAATGAACACAAGGTCTGTGAGAAAGGAGTGTTCCAAGATCTGGGATTTGTTTGGTTTCATTTCGGTACTGAGTGTGGTCAGGAACAACCGGTCGAGAGATCTGTCACATTGCGCAGTTGATAGAGCATAACATGATTTGCATAGCTACAACGGTAAATATCCGGCTTACGAGTAATTCAACAACAAATATTACCATATGTACTTTATACATCATAGGATTTTTAAAGGACAAAAAGTCTATCAACGCGCGAAATGGCCAAAAGTTAAAGCCCCATTACTCAATACCATATCGTCCCAAGCCCGAAGCAACCCCAAGGGCTCGGAGAACTTAATTCGCCTTGTCGGTGCGAAAAGTTTAAGCGAATCATGTGTTTTACAGACTCCATATAGTCTGACAGAAACGATGCTGTGGTGTCATGAATCGCAATGATTTCATCGGGAATTATTAGCCTTGTGATAATCGATCGAGCCATGGTTCGTGATCGCTTGAGGTCATGAGATTGATATCTTGTGCCTTGATTGTTTGATTCAGGGACGGGACTCGCTTCTGTACCAGTATGCATACTTGACAACATCTAGGGAGTACCCCTCCATGCTCGTACTCGTACTGCTACTATCTTTGTCCAACGACCCCTTTCCACAAGTTCATAATAGTAAAGCTGCTATATCCCGCGCGCGAATACCCATCGGAATATTCACCCACACCCGCGCCTTAAACGGGAAACACGCCAGAAGATTCTAGTCCAGTGACCAAGTGGACCACGTTTAAACCTTCCAGGCCTTCTACGCGCCTTCCAGAAGCCTTCAGGGGATTTTCCGTGTCCTGGCTTGTCCCGTGTGGAATGTCCTCTGTGCTGCGGTGGTCCATATTACATTACAGTAGCGCTAGGATTTAGCACGGGGAATAGCTTGGATCAGAGGGGACATGTATTTCTCTTTTCTCATGAAGATCGGCTTTGGTTGGTACAGTGTCGTGATGATCAGATGACCGGAGTGCCGTGGCGTAGTACAGAGTTATTTTACCTTGCGCTACTGTGGTAGTTATGTTATTTAGAAGGGAAGGATGAGAGAAAGGCATGAAGAAGCGGAGTGTCCGTCAATAGGCGATCAGTTTGATCCCTTTTTCTTGCTACTTGTTGCGTTTCGGGGGTTTTATGGGTTTGGAGAGGATCTTCTGGCTAGGTAGTGTTAACCTTTCGTAGACCACGAAGTACGGTGTACGGTGTACTCCGGAGTATCAGCCGAAGGGGTTTGGGGGGAATCATTATGGGTAAAGGCCATGCTGTACGATCTCCCGGATTGGCGTGTGGTCGGTGAGAGATCTGGTGCTCAATGCCGAAGTCAGGAACAGTTTGAAGCACGAATTGACTGTGAAGACTAGATTGAGATGTTTACTTCCATATTTTCGAGGCGCTCTACTACCACAAAGTACGAAGTACCTCGTACTCCAGCGTGAGGACATCCGGCGCGTAACGATATTTCGGGCGACACAAAATACACTAGTTGCGCGTAGTCCGGAACCACAGAAAAGACCAGAAAAGGGGCGCTGGGACCAGCGGTGGAAGTTTTCCAGAAGGATTATTCTTAGAAAGCTACTATTAAGGATTATTACGACTCTGTATTACCAGGTATCCATCATGTGGCTTTGCTGGTGTTGTGCGAGGCTCCTCTTGCCTCTCTGACTGACACTGACTCTCTCCCCTTAATAGCTCGTCAGGATTATTACTTTGAAACATTTCCAATGCCCAAATACCATTATTGATTATTAGTCAGTGTCATACCAATGTCTTTTCCCCTGAGAAAAAGAACTAAGAGATTAAAATGAGCGCCTCATGAAATCACGGCTGCATCATGTCTTTTCTCCTGCATGGAATAACTGCAGTCCGGGTTGATCCCAAGGCCAGCAACAGCAACAGCCAACAGGATCATCCAGGCAACGGGGCCGGATATTGTATTCGAGACATTTCCGTGACTAGTGCTCGACCTGACTCGTGATCCGTGCCTGATTTTCCTTCTAGGCGATTTCTAGGCGAGTAAATAAATTCATCCTAGCGGTGAGTGGACGAGAGGGTCTCTGCTGCCACGGCACATGGAGTGGAACCCCCTGTGGTCTTCCGGAAATGCTTCTGGAAGGCTTTCCGAAGGCTGCACTGTTCCGCACCCGGTCAGGGGGGAGCTGCAGGAGTCAATAATTAGTGTGTGGTAAGTGCCACGGAAAGTGGGGATTATCGGGTCCTTCTGGAAGGGCAAAAAAGGAGACGATGAGAGAAAAAAGAACAGACATCATTCTCAGCCTCGTCTTCGTCATTGGGCATTTGGACGTGTACAAAGGTAGTATAGGCTTATGCGGCTTCTTTTATTCCCCGTCGTAAGCCCGCATTTTCCTAAACTAAAATCCAGTTAGTCGCGAAACTAGCACCGTCAAGTAAAGTCTTGGGAGATCCACTCATTCTGGTATCATTACCGCTGTACCTGTATCACTGTATTATGTTTAATTAGTTTTTTGTTTCTTTTTCTTTTCCAGTTTCTGACCTCTACAAGGCCTCAGTCAGTATGCGGTCCAACGTGAGATATGCAGCCGGTAAGCAAGTCAAATAACGGGGGGAATTGACCAGATCCTGGTCCGTCGAACAAAAGAAGTCGGATGGGCGGAGGACGGTCAGGGATCACGGTCTTGCTTCATCTCCGGCGCTCTCGAAGCCTTCTAGAAGCAGTAGAAGGAAATTAACTTCGCACTGTCGTCCTTCGCTAATCTCCAGCCATATTTCGGAGGAGATAGTCGTTACGCCAGGCGACGGGCCAGGACAATCAGGTACCCATAGTTACCTTCCCAACTGGGCTTGCTTCTCTCTCCATAATCACCAATCCGTGATTCCTACTCCGTACACTATGAGCTCCTGTAACAGAGACATGCCATCTCCAGCACTGCCACACCGGGAAGATCCTTGTGGATCATCCAGCAGGTGGTCGTAGCAGAATGATAATGAGAAACCACCGGGGGGAACATAGGCAATTTGGAAGAGACCCTGGAGCTTGTACAACATGTCGCACGATGACCAGAGGGGTATGTACTGTTGCTGCTCCGTGAGCCAACGTGCCGTAAGAAAATATCCACCCCTTGACCAGGGGGAAGTGCAGCCTTCCAAACTCCCCGCGTAGCATAGCAGCAGTATGTCCTCCGTATGAATCGAGCGGAAGACGCCGTTGCGTCATGTCCGACTGGATGAAGGACACTACTGCTACCGTACAGTAGCGCTAGACTCCGTAGTTTAGCAGATATTCAGATCGGCGTCAGGAGGATCCACAGACCGATTATTCTCGCACAGTCAAAAGAGAGACGGGGAAAACGACGTGGTGGAGCCGAACTAAAGAAAGTCGCTACTCCGTACATACTGCTGCTAGTAGTACTATGGCATAGTGGTGGAAACTGTAAAATACCAGTACAGGAAATAATCTAGAAAATAATCAAATACATTAGACCTCGATCGTGGAGTCTTTTTCCTTTCCTTTCTTCTTACATATTCTCTTGTTCTCTCTCTTGTCCAACCGTTGTTTTTTTTCTTCCTTTTCTTCCCTCCGAATCCGATCCTTGGTTCACTCACCTGTCTCTCAGACATTTTTCCATCACTCCATCATCACCTTTCTTTTTTACTCTATTTACCACCACCCGGAGACTTCTCCTTCTGCGCGCTACTTTCCTAGCTACCAATTCTGTGGACTGTACGTTCTTTTTATCTATTTTCTGTTCCTGCGTCGACGTGGCAGGTGCATGCGCCTACAGCGTCCTCTGTCTCTGCCATCCCTTGAGACAGTGCACATTCTGGCTCCTGCTCGAGGTTTCATGCATAGATCATGATTGACAGCTTGCTGACTATCCTGTCTGTGAAACAGATTCAATCCTTTTCCACGCGAAGCCTCCGTTCCTTTTGCCGATTCGACCGTCTCGTGTCTGAACCCGAAAAGATCCTGCGCATACCTGTCGCGACAAGCTCTTCGCGATTTCACTCCGAACACGCATATTCTGCAGCTGTCCGGTTCTTAGAATTTCGCAGTTCGCAAAGCAGTGCTTCTCGGACTGTCAAGAGTCAGGGGTTTATCATTCGGATCCGAACGTTTTCTGAGCACAGCAGAGTAATTTTGGCCTGGTGCCGTTTGCTCTACGCCCCTTTTCTGTGGTGTGACTCTTTTTTGTCTCTCACCCACCTGTTCGCGTCTTTCGGGATTATCTGGTCATCTTGACGGATATTCCCTGTCGGTGTTTGCAAAGAAAAAAAAAAGTGAGTTGACTCGTCTTGAACTGCGACTGCGATAACTCCACCGCTTGTGCATCGGGCATCCAACTCCACTGTTGGTGCATCGGTCTGCATTTTTCTTTTTTTTCTCGGAAGAGAAAAAAACATTGCTAACCGGTAATTTTTCTTGTGCAGTCTTTTGCTTTCGCCCTATAACTAGCGGTCTCCGTCTTCGCTCGTGTCAGCAAAAAGTACCTGCGCTACCTCGTCGGATTCGCGTGTACGATAACTTCACAGGGAAACACTGTGGAGACAATTTTCCACTTTACGTGTAAAACAGACTATTTTTTGTTTGTTGTCCTTGGCCACCGCATCTCAGCTCACCGCTGGGCCAGGTCATGGACATCACGACTATTTTGAACAGAAAACAATCTGCTGCCCTGGTTGCTGCAGAAGGACCGTTCCAACAACAATTCGTACCTTCACCCTTCGGTTCTCCCTCGTCGCCAAGAATGAAGCCGGAGCCGGGCGTCTCGGACCCTGGTGACCACCAAGTCCTAGCATATCCTACCCATGCTCCGCTTGGCCAGATGAACCTGCACCAAGGCCTGCAATACGCACCTCGCACGCAGCCGAGCACCAGCATGCCGCTGATGCAGAATGCCTACTACCCCGGGGGATACGCAAGCACAAGTCCATTGCCGAATGGCATCGCTGCCGCACCTACAGGAAGAGCCGATCCACCACCGAAGACTTTTTACTGCTCGACTTGCAACAAGGGTTTCGCCCGGCGCAGTGACCTCGCGAGACATGGTACGTCCTCTTCTCCAGATCATGCTTTTTCTTGCATCAACGGCTAACCTGTCATCAGAACGGATCCACACAGGAATTAGACCTCATGCTTGTGACTGGCCAGGTTGCGGAAAGCAGTTCATCCAGCGTTCAGCTCTTACGGTGCATTCTCGTGTCCACACTGGAGAGAAGCCTCATATGTGTGAGCGATGTGGCAAGGTATGTGTAGTCCCTCGTTTGCACAAATTAGAATATTCTAACAAACTTTTTTTTTTTTTTTACACAGCCTTTTAGTGACTCATCGTCGCTCGCAAGACATCGCAGAATTCATTCCGGAAAGCGTCCCTACAAGTGTCCGTACGCGAACTGCCAAAAGACCTTTACACGCCGTACCACCTTGACCCGCCATCAGAACCACCATACTGGAACAATTGAGGAGGCTGCCGCGGAGACAGAAGCCAACTTGAGACAGAACAAGGACAGAGCAAGGATGCCGGGTGACATGTTTTCGGATCACGGCTCTGTTCACTCCACACCGTCTCCCGCACACCACCCCATCTCCCCGGCCGGTGATCTCCCACCTTTGCATATGCCCCGTTCTGTCAGCGATTATTACGGAAGCGGATCTATTCCCCCTCACATGCGAGGAGATTTTTCGCAACCCAGTCCCCGCGCGTCCCCGACTGCCACATCACCGTCGCTGTCAAGCTACGGCAGCGCGCCACCTATCCGTCCCTCTATGACATCACATCCCTCGGGTTACGGCCCCCCTCAGCCTCTGGAACCGCCCGCCAACAACGACCACCGACCAAACAGTGTCAATGGAAGCCCGCACATGACCAGCCTGGGCTGGGCATCTCCGTCGCATAGTATCCCGTCTCCCGGCTCTGTGAACGACTTCTACCCCGAGCCCAGTGCCCCGGCATACCACACCTCCATGCCTCCTCACATGTACTTCCCCAATTCCACGATTCGCCGGCCCGCCAGCACAGAGCCAGAGAATTATGAAATGAGGCCGAGGCTTGGTGAGGCTGCGTGGTCTACTGCGGTTTAGTTTTGTTACTAACTGCATGGACTCGTTGTATTATCTATCTCCTTTGTTCTCTCCTTTGTTAGCAAGCCTATTTGTTGAATCTTTCCCCATTTCACGAGTTTCTTGCACTTATCCCTCTGTACTAGCATTGGTTTCCCGTGTCTTATCCAGCATATTAAGGATAGACAAGTGGGAAAGGAGTCTGGGCTAAGCTTCTTATTTTGCATACGGGTGTTGTGTTTTGTTTTTATTTCTATTTTCGTTTTTGCTTTACTTCTCTTTTGTCGTCCGTTGTCCCCTTATACTCATTCACTCCCTTGATGCGATGCGAGACATGACCAGAATGAAGCATATAACATACATACACACATACATAAACATAGATAGAAAGTGGGAATGGGGTTCTATGGTTTCTGGATATGATTTGCTTGGCTTGGTCGTCAGGGGTTCTGGTCTGGTCTTGGTCTGGTGTTGCTGTGCTTTTATTATATTATAGACTTGCTTTTTTTGTTGTTTATTGCTTTTTTTTGATGTTATCGTTATTTATACCTAATACTTGTTTTTTCTGATTGATTTTGCTTTTTTCTGGCTGGTGTTGCTGTGGTTGCTCTAAATTAATGCCACGTCTTGTACATTCATGGACCTCCTGTATGATAGATAGAATTAATAGAATTAGACACATTGATGCCATCATACACCCTGTACTCAGAGCCATAAAATCATAAAAAGGTATCATGGCACATGCCACTCAACCAGTCAAGTTAACCTATGTACATATTAACCCGATACTCAAAGTAAACACCAATAACTGCCCATGAATACCACTAGCATATACTAGCAACCATAAAAACACGATAACTAATAATTCACCTCCAACCCCGTCGAATTCATAGACTCCGGAATCGCAGGACAATTACACACGCCTGCACCTGCACCCGTTGACGAACCCGACCCCGACCCTAATCCCAGAGCACGCGCGAAAACCGTAGCAGCAGACGATGACGAGGATGAAATCATACCAAAGCGAAGGAACACTTCTGATGTTGTGACGAGGATGGAGATTACGATCAAGACGATGATGATCCATGTTTGGTCTGAATACGTTAGTTTCTTCTTCGTATAAGGAATTGGGTATCCGGAGAAAGGGGAAGGGGAGGGCATACGAGAAGTCCTGGTATCAGCAATCGAATCGGATAGAATCTCTGCTAAATCCAAAAACACGCGACAGCGTTCATTAAGCACCTGAATCCGCGGCTTAATTTCCAGATACTCCCGAACAGCAATGTACAGAGGGTATAGTGTTGGTTCGCTTTCCCAGAAGAAGTTAGGTACGTCGAGCATATTTGAAGACAAGTTGACTTCGACTCGGCTTTTGAATAAGCGTCCTAGGATTCTGAAAACTTCTTCTCGTTTTAAGCCTAGTTTACCGGTGACGGCCAGACGACGGGGGACATCTTTGGCTTCTGCCATTTGTCGCGCCATGACTTCTTCGAAGAAGCAGAGTTTGGTACTCTGTGCTATACCGTGACTGATCGCTAGTTTGATCATGTGGTCGCCATTTCGTAGAGTGATCATATCGTTGTACACGCGCGGCCGCGAGATCTCAGTCGAGTATTCGAAGTGGAACTCTTCGGTCTCAAAGTCTTCTTCCTGTAAGGGCATGGTGGCTAGTGGGATCGGACTCCCTGTTAAGGACGATGTGGCGAAGGCGAGATCGGCTAGGATATCTTTTTCTTGATTCTCTGTTAGGTTCCAGAAGACGACCACGCCGTAGCTGAAGACGAACATTTCTGCTACGTCGTATGCAAGGCGGGCGGCGGCGGCGGACATGGAGGGGGTGCTTGTTGTCCTCGTTTCTGTTTGTCTGTCTTGGATATCGCTCGGAGGGAGGTGTTCATGACTGGTGCTACCCGGTGCACTCGATGGCCGCTCCAGTGTCTCCGTTCCTTCATCCATCCGGTGATTCTCATGGTTGGCGTTATGGATCATCCTGTCAATACTATCAGGAGTTTCCTGCTCATGTTGATGTAAACCATCCTCCATATGGTGCATCCGACGACCGCCAACCGAATGCTCTTCCGCCTCCATATTGAACTCGTCGTGGTAGTCCCGCAGCTCATTCCGCTCAATTTCTTCATCAAGCAGAGACTTGCCTCCAGGCTTCTTCACCATCGGGCTACTCCGCAGTCGATACCCATCATTGCCCGGCAACAGCGGCAAATGGTACGCCGTGTACAGACAGTCATCGTACAGCTTCGTCCGTCCCCCATGCTGCTCTTTCACAAACGAAGCCAACGAACTCATCTTATATGCCTGCGCCGTACAGTACGCAGTAACACGCGCAAGCTTTTCCGCACGACGAGCCTTGGGCAATCGCTCAGCATAACTCTTCGCCCGTTCAGGCGCAACCTTGCGACGACGCAATAATTCCTCCTCAGCAAGCAACGGTGCAATATCATTATCCACCCCAAAATCACCACCGAGTTTCTTCTGCGTTACTAATTGCTGCCGTATCCGCTCCGGATCCCAGCCCTTATCTTTCGCAAGTCGCGCGACCAATTCCTCATCCACCGCTTCGTCATCATACTCTTCTTCTTCCTCTTCTTCATCGACATCACCGTCTTCTTCCACTTGCGATGTCTCCGGAAGAAGGACCAGCTTCTCGCTGAGTTTCGTACTGCGCGGAGGGAGACGCGGTTGCGCTGCGAGTCGACCAACCGTCCCCGACGAACTCGCCGTTCCACCATGGATTCCCGCGCTCCCTGAGCTTCCGATCAATCCTCCGGCAGCAGATGCAAGGCGCGAACGAGGACGAGCACGCGTGTTCGGGGGTGGATGGCGCTGTTGCATAGAGGGGACATCGGAGGCATATTGGAGGACATTATCGACGGTGATGAATCGGGTTGATGGAGAGCGACGACGACGCTGTGGATTTGGTGGGTGTTGTTCGCGTGAGTCGGTAACCTAAAAACCAAACACATAATTAGCCACACTTTGTTAGACATTGCATATATAGACAAAAAATTACATACCAATACCGTAGGGCTTCTCTGGCCCACTCGGCCGCGAGGACGAGAAGACGACATGGTTTTTTGACGTCAAGTCTACCGGGATACCCCTCGACCAAGCAAAAACAAACTATGATACAGCTTGTTAATACAAAGCCCGATTGCCTTGATTGCTTCGCCCCTCAACTAAAATCCCAGTCCAAATGTCAACCGCTTATAACGGGCTTGTCGAATGGGAAATCGTCCGGGACACAACGGAATCAAATCAAACACCGCTTGTTCTTTCCCCCCTTTTGTTCAATTGTCGCTGCAGAAAAAGCAATAATATCCAATCAATATAAGGCGATGCGGCTGAGTGTCAGTGATGCCGCCATAGACGTGGTGGTGGTCCCTCGCATCAAGTTGCTGGTCTGGTCTGGATGTGCTACGGAGTACGCATCCAACATGGATTAGGTAAGCACATGGCTTACCGCCTTGGTTACCGCTGCCAAAGTAATGGCACTAAGCCTGCTGCGGTCTAGTGTCATAACCAGGAATGACGTCGCCCAGCCGTCGGACGCAAAGCCGCGGCGTAAGAGGTGGGTAATGATAAAATACGCGTATGTAATGGCAGAGACGGCGCTATTTCCCAACCCGGACACTCGGGAGCCACGTGCACGGTCTGAACTAGATCAAAAATGGCTTAGCGGGTGGTATCTGGGTTAATCCGGGGTAATACTCTGTAACAGTACGAGCATCTTCTGAACATCTCCAGGAATTTATCGTAAATGCAATTAGATTTCAATAATATATCTCTCGGGTTTCTATGTCCTAGCAGTAATGACAGATGCTAGATGTCTATGCAAATAATTATGCAAATGCTCTGCTGTAGCACGAGGGGGTCAATATGCAACCAAAAAAAAAAAAAAAAAAAAACCGAATAAACCAAAAAGATTAGAAACACAGAAGGGTGGAACAAACAACGCCCTTGATACCTGGATCTGTTGTTTCCTCGTGCTGTAATGCAATCCAAAGAATAAGCTGAAAACAGAAAGGCGGTATGATATGAATGCAATAACTCAGGACATGAATCATGTCCCGTCCACGATGAAAATAAAGGGTGCATGAAAATCAGTAACGGCATTGTTATCTTCGTAGCTCTTCCCGGAGCCGTCGATCCTCGTCCCAGATTTCTTTTTTGGTTCGTTGAAGAGCTGCGTGCTGTCGTTGTAAACTATCCAGGTCCGCCCGCGGAGGGTCTGGATGTCTTGCCATCGCCTCATACAAGGTACGGTATTTAGCATAACGTTGCTTGAATCTTTGCGACTTCTCCCGCAGCTGTCGGCGAAGCAGCTCATAACTCATGGGCGGCGAGGCGCTACCTGTACTGCCGCTGGAAACGCTTGGAGCTCGCCGGCGTTTATGTTCCAAGCTCCCATTTGTCACGGTATGGGACTGGCGAACTGAAGGCCGTTCCGGCTCCGCCTTGCGCTTCAACGGATTCGTCACTGGCGTTGACTTGGCAGCGCCATTAGTCTGAGCGGCTTTGGGGACGCTAGTGGCGGTAGCCTTGGGTGGTTGTTGTTGTTGTTGTAGTTTCGGTCGTGAGACCTGCGAAATCAGAGGCGAGGAAGAAGAGGAGGAAGTACCAGAAGGTGGATGGTTCAGACTAGAAGCACGACTATGGGTACGAATCTCGGATGCGTTGGTCGGAGGCGATGAACCAAGCGGTGATGGCTTCCGGGGCGAGTTGGATGTCCGAGACGACGGCGGTTTCTTCAATGCCGTAGTCGGTTTAGCAGGAGGCTGGTGAGAGCTTGTTGTGGTATCGGGCTTGAATGGAGGACGCTCCAACTTGTCGACTTTAGGGGGCGCCGGTTGTCTGATTTCCGAGGCATGAGATACGTCTCGTTTGGCAGCGGGCTTCGGTTGTGGCTTCTCCGTGGTATCCGCCTTCTCCCGTGTCTTGTCAGTCGTGGCTGGGACATCTGGCATTTCCGCATCTTCGTCCTCATCAGATTCGTGGACGTATTCTGCCGATTTGACCTTGGCGTCTGGTTTCGCGGCAGGCTTACGCTCAGCCTTCTTGGTGACACGGCCGGTCAACGTACTGTTCGTAGTAGTCTTGCCTTTGGTGGGAGCCTTTTTGGCAGCTGCAGAGTCCTTCTCGCCTGTCCGTTTTTTCTGTGTAGTTGCGGTCTTCGCGCCGCTAGTACTGGCCCTGTCGGTCTCATGACCCGTTGTATCACCATCCTTGTCGTCTGCGTTCTGTGCTTGGACACGGGACGTGGCAGGCTTCTTGATAGGTCCTGTCGACAAGTTCAGTCGCGAAAGACACTTGCCTTTGCCTCGTTCTTCCTTGGGGAGCAGCATCTGCCATTGTTTGTCGGTGCGAGAGATACGCATCCGATCGAAGGCAGAGATGGCGTTCTCAATGGCCTCTTGTCGGTCTTCCTGAGACGGGTAGGGGAAATTCCACACATCAAGATCCTTGTAGGCTTTGTCTTTGAGGTCGAATTTGTCCCGATTGTGTCGGTTTTCAACACCATACTTCTGGGTCAGGGCCGTGCAGTCATCGAGAGAGGCGCAGGTCACGCGGGCGAGGAATTTGACGGAGACAGCGCGGACGGCAAGGAGGTGAATGAAGGGGACCTTGAGGGCATCGAGGCGAATTCGATCTTTATTTTGTGTCGCGGGGGCGGAAGTAGGAGTGAGGGCAGGGATAGAGGCGGGGGAACGGGAGACGCCTAGACCAGGACTAGAGATGGACCGATTGACGGATGATGTTTTGAGGAGGCGGTCTTTTTCCCGCTCGACCTTGCTGGCAGGGGTGCGTAAAAGACCAGAAGGTTTCCCCCGGAGGGATTTGACTTGATTGATGTCATCAATCATGTGCGTCTTCTTGGATTCTTTCCCTTGTTCATAGGCATTCAAGCTCAGCTCGAGGTTGGCCAATGCCTGATCGGTGGCCGCAGTAGCCTCCCGAGCCTTCTGGACCTCCAAACTATGACTCAAAACCCCAGTAAAATATGCGTTCTCTTTGTCGGAGGTAGATCCACAGGTGTAGATCTCGGATCGGTGAGCCTCGGGGGCGGAATGGAAGTGCTGAGATTTGGAGCCGTAGTAGAGGGTCTGGTGTTTCCCGAAGCGTATTCGAGCCGGTTTATTCTCACGCAGCGACTGTATCAGCTCATCGACGGTGTTCTGAGCCAGATTTAGCCGCATAACATTTGTTGGTCTCGTTGTGGCGTCGGTACCAGGGGCATGTCTGCAGAGAGACAACCCGGCCTCGGGGACGTCTAGGGCCGACATGGCGGAGGACAAAAGGAGGTAATCGTTTCCTTGCGGGAGTTCGTCGGGGGAATGTTCCTGAAGCGAATACAGGAAGAGAGAGTGAAAAATCGAGGTAGAAGAGGAAGGGTTCGAGAACCGGGCGTAGGAACGGATGGCAGCGTGACCGCTGCAGGTTCACCGAGTGAATGCACGGAAGGAGCGAGGACCGTCTGCCATATAAAATCGGCGATCAAGCAATGACAATGAAGTTATGAGAATTGCATGCAGAATGGCAAGCAGACGGATTTCGAGAACCACCAAAGCCCATTGCAGAACAGGTCAACAAGTGGTGGATGAGAGCAGAGAAAGTAGCAGGGAGGGAGACATGCAGAACAATGGAAGAAAGAGAGAACAAAGAGAATAAGAAAGACGAAAGAGAAAGAGGAGAGAGAAGATGGGAAAGAGAATGAGGGGAAGAGGAGAAAAGAAAGAAAAAAGAAAAGAGAGAAAGACGAGAATGAGAGAATGAGAGATGATGCCAAAAGGAACGGCGAGACTCTGAGCAAGGCGGCTTCAAAGCGGAGAGCCGTATGTATGGTAATACGTGCGTAGCACAATACATACATACATACAAGTACTCTACCAACACACTACTACCATGTACTGTGTTTCTATTTTACACTTCCTACTTCTTACAATCCTACTGATACAATAGATTGGCCACTGCATCATGCTGTTCTGGGCGCAGTAGTGGCGATGCAGAATCATCACCATTCCAGCAAGTATGTATGTACGGTTGTTCCTCAGCCCACTGTACCTAATACCTAATACGTACAAGTAATACTAGCTCAAGACCGTCGTCTGGGCTGTTACATTCGTCCATGGGATGATTGGCTCTGGTTCTGAGAGACCCTGCCATCAATCTGACTTCATCTGTGCTCTACCGTATAATTCCCCTCTACTCTATACTCTGTACAATACAAACAACTAGAAACGCCCAGTTTTGATCTTATTCCTTCTGTTCTCCCCTTCATTAATTCAGTAACCACGGGTAATAATACCGTACAACACTGGGACGGACGCTAAACCACCTCCCCCGCTGGGCTGGCCTATGGGAACCAGAAATTGGAACCTGGTGGGCCATCCGAGCCTTTTTCCGAAGTCCTGACACGCCATAATAGGGCAATGATCGGCATTTGGGTAAGAAATAATACTCCTTGGCGTATTACTGTACATACTCTATTTAGGGGCGCAGTAGAGGCTGAGCGAGTCCTCCGTACTCTGTAGAGTACGGTCTATTTTTCTTTTTGTTACCATCTATGTAAATAGATACCATCCATGGGTTTGAGAAACAAGGACATCGGTATCAATCCATACCTTGCAGAGGACAGTTGAAGCAAGATCAGCGTCAAATAGATCATCTTATCGTGGGCGGAAGATCATCCCGTTCTGTCCAGTTTCACAAGAGCTGCTATTGACGGAGTATTCCGTACACACTCAGATCAATCACATCAGCAGAGCTGAAGAGAGCATCAGCTGTGATTTTAGATACAGTGGTATGAGGATCTCTGTCACTTTACACATCGAGTCCCGTGATTCAATATTTACCGACTTAAGGTTACTGATCTCGAAGATGTACCCTGCATGTACTCGATCTAATTGTACTGTACGGAATATGCACACATGACCATGTACTTTGTACCTATGGCTGGCTGGAATGCGCAAGGTTTCCTGCCACTTTTATTCTACGCAGTTTTCATACAGGACTCCGTACCGTAGAAACAATCAAGAACATACCGACTTCCATGCTATATTAATCCAGACACTAGTCCGGCCTAGCTCCAAACTCCCTGCTGATCAGTACTCGAAATATGTACTGGTAAAAATGCCCAATTCAATCCATGCTGAGCCACGTACATACAAGTTAATAAACAACAATTTCTCGCTAGTGGTACGGAGTATTGGATATCAAAACAGCCGCGCTATGCCTGGATTTGCACGCTCCACGGCTTAAGCTTATGTCGGTTTCTTTCGCGGGTACTGAGGGCTCGGTTATGATACTGGATACCGACCGTATGATCGGTATTCTACTTCGATCAAATGGAGGTCAGCATCGCCCGGGTAACAACGATACACTTATTATGAACTACTGTAGCTACAAGTCAAATACATGTAATCTCTCCAAAATAGTATTCTTGTGTGTTGGTCAGGCATGCATCTGGGAGGCATGAACAATAGGAATAAATACCCTGCATGGACATGGCTAATACCGACAGAAGAATAATCGGCAGTCGGGAATCATCAACGAGCGGGATCGGAAAATATCGCTCGTTGCTGCACAAATCGCAAACAGTAGTTCTTAATAGTCCAATATTAACGAGAAAACTTCGAGACAACACCCGACTTCTCGCGGGGACAATCTCCGTCTCTCAATGTGAGCTGCATCGGAGTAGACCGCGATGACCACTGCATCTCCGCTGTTTCGCTTCTCAACCAACAGCTACTCGTACAGGAAGGAATATTTTTACGCTGAAAAGATGCCAACATTTTCCTCAAGTGACTGGAGAACCTTTTCAAGGTCTTCCACTCTGAACACATACACATTGGTCAGTGATTCAGTTTCTTTGATAGGCCAATCAACGCTTGCTGGTTTGGGCATTTGAATTATGCAGGTCGAGTCGGGGCTGAAACCAATCACGATCATGTATCTTACAATATGTACTTTTTACAAAAATGTTACTTGATGGATAATAAAGTTGAGCTATAATGAGGGGCTTCACAAACATGCATCTGGACGCTTCGGATGCCCTCGAGTCAGTGATCATGAGACTTTTCACATTGATAGCCTGTCGAAAATACTGTCCGGTAAAAAGGTCGACTTGGTACAAACACAAAAAGCTTCTTACAGTGTGATATCCGAATCACGCGTACGAGTATTCAAGCCCGATTCACATCCAAGAACGAGTAGACGAATGCCTTTTTCTAATGACTACACGCCATTACTCGCATTAGAAATGTCCGATATTTTATTTTCGATCAATCAGCAAGTAATGCAGTGTAAGGAGCATGCCGTACTTTTGAGGAACTGAATGTCAACAGTTCCAGTCCTCGAGGCTTTCCCAATGATAAGCACCTTGGTATACAAGCCTGCTTCTCGGAGTGTTCAACACTTCATCTTCATTTTATATCCAAAACTTTACTTTTCCACCGTCGTCCTGGGCTCACCCGCTTGTGATGTCAATCCCACGACTGACTAGTAAATTGAGCGGTGCCATTCGTCTTAGAATTGAGTGTATGGTGAGCTGAAAGTCATTTCAGTGTACTCGTCGCGTGACCCCGTGAGCAGGCTCTTGTCAGTAATTATGTGGAACACAGCTTCACGAAGAATCGTGCTGTCCCGGGCCAGAAAGTCGTACGAGTATTTGTATCCTTCGATCGACTTTCGTAATCTTTTTCAGTACTGGCAAGTACTTATAGATCCTAGCCATATCTTTGTAACATGGTATTATGTCTGAGTTTCATCATTTATAAAACTAGTATAAAGCTTCAATGAGTTGAACGACCTCACAGAATCCTTCTACCAGACGGCTTTGTCGCACTAGGTTAACCTACCATAAACAAACGGGTTTATGTAAAAACTCACCAATGTTGTCTTCGTGGAGGCTAGGGCTCCTCCGACGTGAACAATGTATTGCTTGTCCAACATGCCAGCGGGCTTTGTCCGTGCTAGCACGTGGGAAAATGTCAGAGCTCCCGTGTGGCTGGATGGGAAGCTGAGAAATTGGCTTATGAGAGCTCAGATGAAGTTTCACAGCATGGGATTAGGTGTGGCAACCTTTGTACGCGAAACTAAAACTGCCAGAAGGTTATAATTTGGATTTGGTAGGCCAAACCGTCAGAAGCGAGTGCCCTTCAAATGTGTCAGATCAAACCTGGGCCATAATTTAGCGGCTCGGAATATTGAACAAAGTAGCAGTAGTATTACATGTTCATCAACTGCTCTTAGACCAAAGCCTACCGGTTAAGGATTGAATAGCGCTGCAATATTGGAGTGCAACCATCCCTTCCAACAACAATCTCAGTTCCCGGGTGGTCAGCAGAATGGCGCTATATTGGGGAAATTGGCAGTATGTCAGCTGGCATGGCTTTAACTATATTGCCCTCCCTGAGCACTTCTTGTGGACCGGTGTATAGACTTTTTTGAGTCACTTCGTCTTTTTTTTTTTTTTTCAGAATGCCATATCTTATTGACTGCTCATGGTCTCAGAAGATTGGCGACGGCAGGAAAGTAGACTTATATTAGTAGATATAAGTATCCAGTGCATTCACCAATTTAACGCGAGTTACTATTATTGCACAATTCATCATTTTGGAGAAGATTCAACTAAACTACGTTCCTTGAAATCTCGATAGATTTATCAGTTTAAGGATGTGATTATAGTGACAGCAAGTATCATTGAGATAGGCAATCTATCTGGCAAAAGAGTATCTTTCCAAACCATATGTGACTACTAAAGTATTTCAGTTAAACTGACATCTTCCTCGACCGAAATCCCACCAAGGAATCCGAGTCCTTATCAACAGGCTACTACAAACCACACTACCTCTGCTTAGCGCCATAGCCAAGCTAGACAACACCGGAACCAACCGCACATGGCTCTATTACTGACAATGGGATAGAAGCACCCGCAGCAATCGGTACAGCAACGCAATTATACACCAACGCCCATCCAAAGTTGATATGTCGGAGCACAGCCCGGCTGAGATCGATAAGCGTCAACAAAGACCCAAGACCCGAAGTAACTAGCACGGATTAAACAGAGGAAATGGCAATATCGGAACCAGATCCGATGGCGATGCCCACGTCGGCCACCGTCAGCGCGGGGGAGTCGTTAATTCCATCGCCTACCATGGCGATGAGCGCGCATTTGGAGGTTGGTCCAGTTTCGTGGAGGGCCTTCTAAATGTATTTGATCTTGTCGGCTTTTTGCTCGGGCAGGACGCCGGCGATGATGTTCTCGGGTGGGATTCCGACGGTCTTACCTACTGCGTGTGCTGTTGTTAGGTTATAGCCGGAGATCATCAATACTGCGATTTTTCGGTCTCGTAGGGTCTCGTAGGGCCTGGATAATGCCGCTTATTTCTGGTCGAATGTAATCGGCGACGGCTAACATTAAGGCGAGTTCCCATGGCGCTGTGCTCATGGTTGTTGGACTGGTTGGGGTTCTTGCAACAACGAGGACATCGAACTTCGCTTCGCGCTTTCAGCAATACAATATCGCAGCATTGGGGGAGGAAGTTAATACATGTGGCCCTGTATAAAAACCTCATTTCCTACGATCACATCGAGTCGCGGTGATTCCGTGCTGGCAGTGGCTGAAAATGAACCCTTCATCCCTTTTCCTGGTATTTCGTCCACAGAAAAGTCCCGGACAGGCTGGCTTATCGAAGCAGCAAAATAGACCATTGCTCGCGCAATCGGAAGGCTACCATTCTGCTCGAGCTCCAACAGCGCCCCCCAACCCCACCCCCAGACCTTGTCGATTTCTCCTCCGAAGGGCGTTGATGATCAGTAACCGCCCGCTCCCCACCTTCAGTAATCATCCCTGTCTTGCCGAAAACAATGCAGTCGAGATGACTCGCTTCTTGAAAAGCTTCACCGCCGCCCTTGACCAAGATGTCATATTTCGCCGCGAGACCACCGCCAACAAACAAAGCAGTCGGGGCAGCGAGGCCGGTACCACAATGACAGGCCACCACAAAAACGGAGATTGCGAATTGCAGCGACCAAAACAGCCATCCACCGACGCTATTGTCTATCCAGTCCTCGGGCAGCCTGCCAGAGACACTGAGACTCAACCAGATAATCCAATCCAAGATAGCGATTAGGGTTATTACAGATACGGGAAAGGAGGGTTTTATAGTTTACTCGGCCTGCCAAGGGCGCTCTTCTAGCCTTGACAAGGAGCCTCCCTGGCATAAATGACGCTTTTTTTTCTCCTTTCCCTTTCCTCTTTGCACTATTTTGTCACTTGCCATATGACACATACCCGGGAACGGAATGCGACATTTGTGCGTTTTGTACCTCTGGGGGTATAGATTATGCAGCATACAACGGAGATTAGATTTTCTATTTCAAGTTAGTCTCCGCCATGGACCCATGGATGTCGTTCAGTCTAGCCATATGAAGAAATTCTTGACATCAAAGCCGAGTCGGCGTTGCGCGGTTTTTGCCTCTTTTCTTCCCCATTCTTCCTGTTACTGCTTCTTTCGTCAGTGTATATTTATTATATGTTAGTAGAAAATTAAAGATCAAAGACACCCAGAAGCTGAATTCGCCAATTTTTACCAACATGTATCGAGCGTATAGTTTGGTTCGCCCCCAATTGGGTGCGCCTCTACATCCTACCTTCTTTCGCTCGCATTTTTTCTCTTCCTCGTCTCCGATCCAGGCTTGTTCTTCACATCAGCACAAAGAGTCTCCCACAGTCCAAGGTGTAAGCTGCCACAGTCAGGAAACTGCAACAACGTCCCCTTGGCAACTCCAGTTCTGGGCCGATCGCTCCACATGGAAACGAGCCGGTATCAACACATTGCGCTGTCTGGTCGGTTGTACGACTGGTGATTTTTCGGCAATGTGGTTACTTCAAATGTTATATCCAGAGCTCGGGATGAGGACCATCATGGCCGTGTCTAGTAATCCTCTCATTTTTTCACTGTATACACGAAATGATAGCTGATGATTGTTCCAGTGGCATCCGGGATCACCACCTCGATCATCCTCGAGACAACCTTTCTTCGGCTAGGAGCTGACCGGCTCTCCTGGCCGACTGCTGCTCGTACTGCAATGGGGATGAGTATGGTGTCGATGCTAGCAATGGAGGTAGCAGAGAACGTGGTTGACTACCATCTCACTGGTGGTATGGTGGACTTTAGGAATATTCAGTTTTGGCTGGCAGCTGCGGTGTCGATGGGAGCTGGATATTTGGCTCCGTTGCCGTATAATTATCTGCGGTTACGGAAGTATGGAAAGGCTTGCCACTGAGTTCTTGGGGCATCAAATGTTTTTTGAAGACTACTGGTTTACCCGAAGTATATACGAATGGACCAGACAAGTGGTCTCTAAAACTGTCATAAGAAAGCTAGTGAATTTGAGATTCCATTAGCCAATAGTTTAATTCAACGTTGGGGTCGTGGATGTTTGGTATGTACCAAATGGACATACTGCTCCCCGCATTGGATAATCCGTGGATTTTCACGTCGCATCTTCGATTTGAGAGGCCAAATCTCCAGTGGATACTCACCGATGTGGCTCTTTTGCATAATAACCTCGGTCGTAAAGGCACATCTGAACCTCGGTTGCAGAGATATAAATGGAGCTCGCCGAATGCTAGCATAGAGAGAAGCCATATTTCATTATCGCATTTCCTTTTACAGTGTGCAACTCAGCCAAAAACATGGAAAATCAGAAAAAGCCTTCATCGTCCACGGACGGGTTCTTTCAAATTCTACCCGACGTGCCCCCTGCGTATACACATACCGAAACTCAGCAACAAGGTCGCCATATTGGATCAGACGACACGGTCTTTGCGAGAATCTTAGAGCTGTATCTTCCAAGAGAATCTGCTGAAGTGGGCACCGCTATTCACAAACTTGGTCGCCGCGCTCTCCATCCATCAACCCTACGCCTGGCCACCGATGCCGAGGTAAACCAGCCCGTTCTCCGGCCACTCACCACGTTCGGTGGAGAGAATCGTATCGATCCTCTGTGGACAGGTGAGGGCTGGAGAACACTCAAAGCGATTGGGCAAGAAGAGGGGTTGGTCACTGTGGCGTATGAAGAGGACAATAGTTCCTGGAATCGGCGGGTTCATCAGTTCGCGCTCAATCATGTCTGGAGTAGTAGTGCAGCCATGACTGGCTGCCCTGCGTCGATGACAGATGGGGCAGCGAAGTTGCTGGCGGGGCATTTGGATGATCCTGACGGTGACCAACCCGGGCGCAGCGGGGTGCTCCGCGAGGCATACCGGCGGCTGATATCGCGAGATCCAAATGAGGCTTGGACTACTGGGCAGTGGATGACCGAACGAACTGGCGGGAGTGATGTACGAGAGACAGAAACAGTTGCGCGACGATTGACTGTAGAGGAAGCGTCCCAAGACGTGGAGACTGGACGAGACCTTGACGCTCACGGTATGCCGTTGGGACCATGGCGTATCGATGGTTTTAAATGGTTCAGCAGTGCAACAGACTCGGACATGACTTTGATGCTAGCCCAAACGGATGAGGGGCTTAGTCTGTTCTATACCCCTACACGACGACGCTCCAGTAAGCAGAAAGACGCTGGGGAGCTAAACGGGATTCGCATTCAGCGCCTTAAGGATAAACTCGGCACCAAGTCTCTGCCCACAGCTGAGCTGGAACTGAAGGGCGTCCGGAGCTGGCTAATAGGCCAAAAGGGCAAAGGTGTGAAAGAAATTTCCACAGTTCTTAACATCACTCGACTGTATACCGCAGGCGGATCTGTTGCAGGTTGGGGTCGCGGTCTCGCAGTCTGCCGGGCGTACACTCGGGTCCGCAAAGTGCGAGGAGCCCTCCTTCAAGAAAATAGGCAGCACGTTCGATGGATGGCAAGCGAAACCATGAAGTATTGGGCGGCAATGCATCTCACATTTTTTGGTATTGCATTGCAAGGCACCGCGGAGCAGGATTGGGAATCAATGGTTCGCAACACAAAGGCCACTAACCTAATTCCACGGGATAACACGAAGGCGGCAACCCTTCTTCGACTTGTCACCCCGATTATGAAAGCTGTGGTCAGTGTCAATGCAGTACATGGACTACGTTCCTGTATGGAGTGCCTTGGCGGGGTTGGCTATTGCGAAAACAACGAAGATGGTGGCTTGCTGAACATTGCGAAGATATTCCGTGATACCGCTGTCAATCCCATTTGGGAAGGAACGGTCAGTGTGATGGCGGAAGATGTGGTTCGGGTCGTCACTGACAAACGTCTTGGAGGGGGAAAGGTAGTGGACACAGTTCTTGCGGATTGGGTGAAGAACATCCTCGCTACCTGCCAGCTCAAGTTCGCAGAGGAGTGCGTTGTTGTGCAGCAGAGGCTTGATGCTTTGCGGGAAATAACAAGTAGACTCGGCAAGGAGGAGCTCCTGTGGCGTGGAAGGGAACTTCTTGAACATGTGGCCGCAATTGTGTGTTCCTGTCTGCTCATGTACGATGCATCCTCTGATGGCGATGACATTGCGATAGAGGTTGCATCCAGGTGGATGCGTTCCAAAGCTCTTCAGGGTACCCAAATTCCTGTCAAAGGCACAGATTGGCATCGCGAGGCTGCCATTGATAAGAGAATATTTCTGGGAGAAACCACGCTTCTGTCCAAGATCTGAGAAGCAGTGGCTGCTAGCCTCTTCAGCAATTATTATTTCTAATTTTAGGATTAATTATCTCATGCCCATAGATAGAGGATAGTAACTGCCGGTAGAGCGTAATTAAGAGAATGATAGATGATGGGACGCTTCCTTTCTTTCAAAGTTAACCCTGTCTCAGCCTCAGCCTCTTCGAATTCTCGCCCAAGATGGCTGTTGATAAGGACGGTATATATGTACCTATACGTACTTGTTTTTCTAGAATGACCGTAGCTTTCCTCTTCTGAACACCGCCGCCTTAATGAGGGTACTTCCTGCGAAAAGCTGACCTTTTATACTATAACAACAAAAAGACATTGCGCCACTGGCTTTTTGGTAAGAGAGCCAGCACCAGCTTCCAACACTTGTGTGACGATTCATAGGTGACAGCTCATATATGACGGCTCAACACTGCAGCAATGAATGATACATCGCAAATGCTGCTACTCAGCCATGTCGCCAACAACCTCTATAAAACCCCTTCATTATCTGGATAGATTTCCTCTTCCCTTTTCTTCTCCAGATTCGATATTCCCGTCGATGGTTACAATAGCCTAGATAGGAATATTGGTTCATTTTTATCTACTATTCCGAGCCCGTGATACCAGGAGTATAATAGCCTGATATATTTCCATTTAGGCAGAGGCCGTCGGACCCCAAAAGGCAAGGCACTTGGATGGCTCTGTCAGTAGTTACATCAAGGTAGAGTTACAGTGTAGGAAACGTACAGCATGTTCCGCAGACGCCGGAAACCCATTTCACTCCAATGCGGTCCCCGACTTTGACTTGCGAAGTATCGCGCCCAAGTCCAAGTTTCACGGCAACGCCAGCACCCTCGCGGCCCCCGACCTGCCCTTCCTGGGTTGGGAAAGGCAGCGCACGCCACTGCAATTTGGCAATGTGTCAGATAGCTTCCAAGTGTGATATTCTGTACCCACGGAATTTGTCATTACACCAAAGTCCGAGTGGCAGACGCCGGAATGAGTCCTGCCCGTCCAGGAATTGGCGGTGTCATCCATGGGGACAATTAAGTCGATGTGATGACATTGCAAATACTCACAAATTAACCAGAACCTGGCCGAATTCCGGCTCTGGCGTTTCCACCATTTTCATACTGGTCGATACAGATCCAGGTTTATCGTAGACTGCAGCTTTATGCTGCTTTGGGATTTCGACTGGGGACGACATGGCTAGGGTCACAATATAATAATATCCCAAGTCCGATGGTGGTGCTTTCCTGAGGCTGCATCACCAAAATGTATCTTCGTATTTAGAAGAGTCTATTACAGGGAGACTACCAAGGTGTAAATACTTATGTTATTTTCGAGGAAATAGCGTTGCTGCTGCTCATCATTTTCCATCATGTGTGCGATTCGCACTACTGGTTCCAAGCTCGAGTGAAGTCTTCATGTCTCTGCGCCAACCATAGAATCTTTGAAGGACGAATACGATTCATTCAGTGACAATTAGGATCAAATATAAAGACGTCGAAGGATTGGGTAAACATGTTCAGAGCCATGTGCGGGCGAGTCCTGGAGATGCTGGTCGAGAGCTTCCTGGCTGCCAAACGAACATCCACACAAAGTTTACGCCACGTCGTGGCAACATAGATCGAATGGCCTTTTAACGAGGGTTTGTAAGACATTTAGAGCGTTTATTGTTTGATTTCAGCTACCCCGCGTTGTGGGAAAAAAAAAAAAAAAAAAAAAAAAAAAAAAAAAAAACGAAAAAGTACTACGTTAGTGTTGGCCCAAGTCGCATAACGAAGATAAGTGAATCCCCTGAACTGAACATGGCAGGCGCCCAACACATTCCATGCGCATGGGGTGCAGCGGGACTAACGTGCGGTATGACGAACTAAAGAGAACCATATGGTCACCCATTCGCCTGGCAGAAGCACATTTTAACCTTCAAATTAGTGTCGACGAGTCTTCGCGGTTATATGAACGGGCCACTTGCCCTTCGGCTATATGCGAACGCCCAGAATGCCACGCCGTACTATGGATTTCTCATCAACTTGCGTCATAAAGTGCAGGACAGATTTTATAAGCACTGCTCAATGACCCAACTCCCTGAAGTAGGAAAGATCAGTCAAAGTGTATTGATTTTTTATTTTATCTTGTTTCTTTTTTTTTTTTCATCCAGTGTACTGGCCAACCGTCATAATGACAGTCAAAGTGTTCGTTACCGGAGCCACTGGCTACATTGGGGGTGACGTCTTGTATCACCTACACCAGAAATATCCTGATTTCGAGTATGCGCTTCTTGTTCGCTCCGATAGTAAGACAAAGAAGGTGCTTTCACAGTATCCGAAAGCCCGGATCGTCATTGGCGGCCTTGATGACTCCGCATTGCTGGAACGTGAGGCCGCATGGGCTGATATTGTAATTCGTGAGTATACTTCTTTTCTTTCTCCAGACGTGCAAAGGTACTAATCCAATGGAGATACTGCCGACTCATCGGACCATGACGGTGCTGCGACGTCTATAGCCAAAGGGCTCGTGCAAGGCCATTCTGCCTCTCGACCTGGATTCTGGCTGCACACTGGTGGTACTGGCATTCTGACTTACTTTGACTCGGAAGTCAAGAAGACATTTGGAGAGCCTGATGACAAGGTGTTCAATGATCTCGAGGGTGTAGGAGAGCTAGTGAACCTGCCCGCTGCGGCTTTCCATCGCAACGTGGACGAGATCGTCCTGAACACCGGTATTCAACATGCCGATGCGGCCAAGACAGCTATCATTTGCCCACCTACAATCTACGGTGAGGGGCGTGGACCCAGCTCTGGTCGCGGACGACAAGTATACGAACTTGCTTCCTTCGTGCTGAAAGAGCAGTGTTGCCCTCGCATCGGGAAGGGTCTCTCTCGATGGAATAACGTCCATGTCCGTGATCTGAGCAAAGTGTTTGAACTACTCGTACAAGCTGCATTAGATCCATCTTCAAAGGATGATCCCGAGATTTGGGGGGCACATGGTTACTTTTTCACTGAAAATGGTGAGCATGTCTGGGGCGATGTGTCCGTGGCTACCGGCAAGGAAGCCCACAAGCAAGGGTACATTAAAGGCGGGACTCCCGAGCTTCGAGACTGGTCAATCGATGAGGCTGTCAAATCATCGGCAGGATTCGAAGCGGCAAGTTGGGGCATGAACTCCCGTGGTGTGGCCGCGCGAGCGAAGAAAGTCCTTGGCTGGAGACCACAGGAGAGGAGTCTCAGCGATGAGCTCCCAGATATTGTTCGATCTGAGGCAGCCAGAATGGGACTTTAAATCTGTTGAGGGGTGATACGCCAATGATGTAACTGGTGGCTATTTTGTGAATGTTAACTTTAATCTCCATCCCTTCGCATAAATCGATACACTTGACTCGAAGGCAAATATCATTCCTCTAATTTATGCATAGGGCCACCATTTAAACTGGATTTCAAATAGCCCATCGGGCAGTCTCTCAGTGACAATGCTAAAAGAACCCTCGTTACCCTTCCACTTGGCCCCCCACCATTTCTTTTGCCTTTTCTCTAATACCGCATCGCCTTCTTTCATGAATTTCATAATGATATTTATGATCATTATACCTGATGTATAATGACAAAGATGTCTTTTAATTTAATTGGCAAGAGTAATAAGGGATTCGGAAAGGAGAATAAGGATGATGGGCTGTTCCCATTTGCAGGATCCCAATCGGAGTCTCTAAGTTAGGGAAAGGCTTCTTAGTTGAAGGGTAACATGCTGCAATGGACAGCATCGTTTCGCAACATCGGAGGTAATACAAGCTGTAAGATCTATCCACCATATGCATCTGACAGCACCAAGTACATGTTTGATTGGCTATACCAACGTGTTCAGCAGGTTACTGTTACAGATCTCACTGCATTAATCTCACGTATCAAGTATACAGGATACGACACGATGGTTGAATATACCTTGGGTATACTTTCTGGGGGTATACAAGTGTTATACGGGTACAGGACATAAGGACGCTCATTCAGACACTTAGCTTAGTTCTTCGCGATCAATTCAAATGTCGCAACCTGGCTTCTCTCGTATAGTTCCTAGGGTTCTAGTTAGTTGTATTTCGAGACAGGACACTTACCCTAAGTGTCCTGTCTCGAAATACAACTAACTAGAACCCTAGGAACTATACGAGAGAAGCCAGGTTGTGACAGCTACAGTAATGGTCTTTACAGAACGCTGGGGGTAAAGTCGACTACCTGAGCCTTTTCAATCAACCCATCCAGACTTATGACAAATTCGTGATGCACGGGATCTCTTGCAGTGTAATAGTTTCGGTCTGCGGCGGTTCCAAACTTAACAATAAATGCATGTGTGATACCATCCTGAATAGAAAATTAGCAGTTATACTAACATGAATTTTCCAAGAGAAGATCATAGTTATGGCCTAACAGTCTATTGTCATAGTACTATTCAGAATAATAAATATAATTGGCTAACCTGCGTCTCCTCTGGGGATTATCCTTTCCACCTGACGCTGATTGAATATATGGTTTGCTTGTTGATGGATGGAGGCAGCGATTCTTCAGACTGAGCATTTGCTTGCATGTCTGGGCACTTCTTAGTTATTGCACAAGTGCAGCAGATGACGGTGGCGTTTGAATAAACAGGACTGAACGCACATTTTGCACAGCTTCATGAGCCACATCATGCTTGAATTGAAAAAGAACAATGTGGGTGATCGACATGTTGAAGCGAGGAGTCTTCTAGCTTTTCGAGGGTTTTGTCAAGTTGAATCACAATGAGTGCTAAAACAGAATGTTTTATGATATATATTGCTTTACATTCTGTTAATACAAAACCGCAAGGGCGAATCTTGTTTATATCATGTGCAGGCACCCGCGATTACCAAGTAGGGAACTGACAATCCGCCTATATGTGCGGCTATGTGGCTAACAAATATTCCGAGATTGACAAAAGAGTCGAACCTAATGGAGCCGCGACCCGACTCAGGTTCAGGTTTGAGGTTTCGACCTTTGGAGCCTGAATCGGACCATTTCGAGGCCTAGTCCGTGCGGCTGATCTATGAAGTTTGAAAGAACCTATGTGCCAGGATAGAGCACCGGTAAATTCTAAGGATCTCATATAGCAGTCTGTTCTCCTGCCGAGTCTAGGTCGTGTAGGTGATGGAAATATATTTAGTAAACCCCTTACTTTATTCACAACACCAGAACTGCTGTTTAATAAATTGCATTTGAGGATTGTCCAGAGACAACCTTCCTAACCCTGATACTCTCCTGTGACATGTCCATCACATACTTGGCTGGAGTATATGCAACTTCCTCAAGACTAGCTTACCAGATAATCCCAGAATCCTCTTAAGCTGCAGCGAATGTAAGAAAGACTGTACCCTATTCAGCCAAAAACAGCTCCGGTGGTAGATCGAACAGAGATGACAGCATGGGGTTGCCCTGCCATCGATCATCTCCTAGTAAGGCATTGAAAATGCCTGCCTCGTTTGCATAGTTGACAGCGCTGTTTAAGCCAGGCGCTTCAGCAGTTCCCATGGCATGGCTATCTTGGCCACTATTGGTGGTGGATGATTGCCGCTCTGGGTAGCGACTAGACAGATTATCAAACAGCTGCAAGATAAAGGGACCAGGATCCCAGAATTCGCTGATAGCCTGGAGCACCATCTGGCAGTTGTTGAGTGCAGACCGACCAAGGCGGCCCACCAGTTTGTTAGGGCTTCTGATCCTCTCGTAAAAGGCAGCCTGTGCAAGGAAGATGCCATGGAATAGCTCGTGAGGCACGGTCAGGAGGGCTGATTTCGTGACAAGCGTGCACACTACGTTGGGAATATGATGCGCAGCAGAGTCGACTATCCCTTCGATTTCCTGCTCGTCGCGGTGACATATGTTTTCACCGCGCATGTGGCCGAGGTAAATCAAGATGAGGTGATGGTTGTATTGAACCGACAGGGACATGGAAAAAGGGTTCAAGTAATCAGGCACCTCGTCCTGCCAGGTCAGAGTAGGAACTAGCTGTGCTTTCCACTGGATCAGCTTTGCGTGAAGGTCTTCCGCCCTCGCTGGCTCTCTTCCAGGGTAAAATCGGCTGATGATGATATCGCGCATGATCAGCGAAAGCTTTGTGGTTTCGATCTGATACTGGGCATATCTCTGAGCAGAGGGGTTTTCAGGGAAGTCTGTAGCCATTGCGTCGTGAGCAAAATCCTCGACTGTCAACATATCAGTATCAGCCTGGTCCAAGTCAATGCGAAACGGGCGCCCAACCAAGGCGCCGCATATGCTGTCTCGAACAACCAAGGTCCACCATAATCTCCGCATCAAACTTTTGTCTTGTGGTTGCATGTTGGTTATCGCGATAGTAGAGCGGTGTATTCCTATGGCTTCAGCTATAGTCACCGCTGTACTAATCCACGAGTAAAAATTCCAATAAGTATTGGGGCCGCCACCCCAAAACGATAGAAGAAGGGTGCTCTGGAGTACAGTGATCTTGTTTGTTTCATATCCCATATCAAAGAGAGCTTTCGCCTTATTATAGAAAGAAGAGCGTGCCTCTTGACGGGAATCAAAGCCTACAAGGCTCAGGACGAACCGGGAAGCAAATGTTACCGCAATAAAGCTAACGGCATAAATGAGAATTAATGGCAATTCCTCATTATTGTATTGTTGTTTGAATTCTTGGCGATTGACAATTGGATATAGCGGATACACGCGGTCCAAAAAGACTGATATAAGGGAATCCAGATGGGCCTTTTCCGGCAGTTTGAAAACTCCCTTGGCCCGTAAATATTCGAGGTCCTCGGGCAACATATGTGCAGGCTGGGACTGAAAGGAAGCATTTGCTTGAGCTCCCGGGAATGGGGGGCCTGGATGGTGTAGTTTTGGTCGGCTACCGTCCTTGAGGCCACCAAGTACGATAGCCAGGGGAATGACTCTCCGAGATAAGTGATGGAACACTTATCAATGCAGTCTCTGCCGTTTTCCCGGTTCTTCAAAAAATGGTCAAACATCGCAGACCAGGAGATATCTTGATAGGAGGAGGATCTGAGGCCTGGATTCCCAAGGGATGGCTGGGTGAGAGGAGACTCGCTCGCTGGGGGCAATTCCTGAACAGGCAAGGGTTCAGCCCCGTTGCGAAGTTGGACATGGTCTGTTCCCGCTGAACTCCGCGTCGTAAAGTTCGGAGCAGATATACTGGTTGGTGCTGTTGCAGCAACATCAGACCCATGCAGAGGTAGTGTACCGGTATCTTCAGTCTCCATTTGATAAGTTAAAGATCGCGGGGGCACATCACCGGCGACACCAGCTGGGGTTCTTGCCCGCGGATGATCCCTGCCTATTTTCTGGCGAAGGGCGCTCCGGGTATATGTCCCCCGTTTAGTCTCACGGAGGACACAGTCCGCGTGGCGATCTCGCACACATCGAGTGCATGGCATTTGGTGCATGGCGTCACACTTGGTACGTTTCTCATGGCAGCGCTTACATGCCTTTCCCGCTCGCACACGCGGTCTAGCCGGGTGTTCGTTGGTACTCCTTGCGTCTGCCATCGTGCGATCATGTCGGCAATATCACCTGGACTCTTCCGGCGCATATGCTACCCGGAATTTTTTTTCTTTTTGAACGCCATACTGCGAAAAGATAAAAAGATGGTGGGTCTATTAGTCATCCATATAGCCAGTGGCTATGGCTATATCCACCACCCACAATGACCGGTCCTGCCACAACTTATACTTGAAGGTAGCAAATAATTCAGCCTCTAGTTGGTGCACTCTTGATGATCCACCGAGCACTTCTGGATCAAAAGAATGGCTTTCCTTGCGGGTCTAATGGATACTCCGTTGTTTTTTGATGATGAGGTTCTTGCCGGTCGTATGACGGCAGCTTGATTGATAATTGCACCTTACGAGACTGAAGAAGGCCTGCAGTAGGATAGAGGAATCGCGATGGTGAGTTTGGTACGAATTAAATGGGGAACGGAGTAAACCGAGACCCGGCTCGATGTTGTGGTATCATGTTTCCCACACAATTTAGCCTACCTACTACTCCACCGGCAGACGATCCAGGTAGGCTTTGGGCTGTATTCGCCGGCAATACAATGGTACCCAAACTTGTTAATAGCTTTTAGGAGTGGGTGCCGTGGGCATATGAGATAAGTCCTCAATAACTATAAATACCGACAGAATAAACCATGCGAGTTCTTCCAAATCTCTGTCTTGACTACCGAATTTCATCCTTAACGATCAAGTATGCGCCCTTCGGTGGAGACTGCCTGCTGGCTAGGTGCGAATTGCCCGAGTTTCCCTTTCCACCCGGCATCTACTGATCGTTTTGCGCCAGGGAAAGCTCAGACTCACGATTCTCAGACGGCAGAAGCTCCGCCAACGGCAAATGGCAGGACAGACATGACCAGTGCGTCAAATGAGTGCAACCGCAGCCATCCGCCGGGCATCTATAATCTGGAAGGGCTGCAATTCCATGACACTCCTGGACCCCATGGAGGAGACACCGAAGCGCAGCGTCATCGCCCGCAGGGAGTTCCCCCCGAGTTCCGCGGGTTCGCGGGCGAGCTTATATTCATATTGCTCTGCTCTATGGGTTTGTTCCTGTTTGGCCTCTTCCTAGGGAATGTTGTGATTGATCAAGCTGTGTTCCCTGCCAAGCTTGGAGTGAGCGAAAGCAATACCCCGTGGCTGATTGGATCCTTTCTGTTGGCGAACGGTATCGCCGTCATTATATCCGGATCACTGGCCGACCTGTCGAACCCGAAGATGCTGATGATTCTCGGCTTCGTCTGGCTTGTTATATGGGATGTGGTTGGGGTGTTCAGTATCAGCCCGTCGCTTCCGGTGCTTTTTTTCGTGGTCAGAGCCATGCAGGGGTTGGCCATTGGTGTTCTGCAGGCGACGTCCATGAGCCTGCTCGGACGGGTTTACTCGCCTGGCATTCGCAAGACACGAGTCTTTTCTGTCATGTCCTCAATGACTCCCGTGGGATTCTTGATCGGTTGTCTGCAAGGAGGGGCCTTGACCGTACACCTGCCGTGGGTATTTGGGAGCAATGCCATAGTGTGCTTTATCTGCGCAGTGGCTTCCTCCTTTGGTATTCCCTCTTTTAGCCCGAAGTACGGCGCCTTCGATACTCCATTATCTCTTAAGGACTTCGATGCGCTAGGCGCCCTTTTGGCTGCTATCGGTTGCGGCCTAATTATTTTAGGTCTAACGCAAGGCGTCCCCAGTGGCTGGAGCCCATACACGTACTCGCTGATCATGGTCGGAGTGCTCTTTCTCTTGCTATTTTCCCTGGCCGAACGACGAGCTACTCGGCCTTTGGTTGACAACCGGCTCTGGATCACTCCCGGATTTCTTCCGTTAGCCATCTCATATTTCTTAGGATACGGAGCATATGTCGGAGGATGGATGTTCTTTGCCGTGCGGTTTCTTCTTACTATCCAGGATCACGCTCCCATCATTGTTGCCCTTTACTTTATCCCTAACATGATCTGTGGCGTTTTAGCTACATATATTGTATCGAAAACCCTTCATTTGTTTCCCGGGCATTGGATTCTAATTGCCGGCATGGTTGCAAACACAATGGGTCCTGTGTTCTTTATCCCTCAAACGCCAAATACAACATACTGGGCTCTCTCAATGCCCGGCATTGCCCTTGCTACTTTTGGGCCTGATTTAACATTCGCAGCCGCATCGATTTTTATCACATCTAATGTGCCGCGCTCGTTCCAGGGATCAGCGGGGAGTTTACTTGTTACGATTCAGAATCTATCAGCAGCCATTGTGACGGCGATTGGAGACACAATCGGGAAGGAAGTAAGCAAAGGCGATGGCTATAGTCTGGATCTGGGCGCTTTACGGTCGATTTGGTGGTTTAGTCTGGCGATTTCGCTTGCGGCGGCAGTGGTCTGTATCGGGTTTGTTCGCATTCCTCGGAGCGAAGAGAAGAACCACCTGGAGTGAGTACTATATTCCGTTCATTTATCCATAGCACGACTGAAAAACTGGTCCCATTGAAGCTAGAGAAAGCTGTTGAGGTGACTAGTCGGCTGCTACGTGGGGAGAACGTTGATCATAGCGTCGTCGATTCATTGGACTTGGGCTATCAAAATGTGTCGTTCGAAGTCAGGTAGATACAGACAAATCCTCATTATAAACTTTCATAGGATCCAGGAGTTAGAACTCTTACTCTATATTTTTGCCATTGTTACTGTTTGTTAAATTCAACACAACATCGGTCTTCTACAGGGCCGTGGCCGAGGGGGATTCAGTTAGACCTTGACAAATTCCGTCCATGGGAGTCGAGGGCACTCCCATCTGAGCATCTCCCATGCCAAGGCTCCCGTGGGAGTCCCACGACCTACTTAGTCCCGTCCATGAATGCCCATGAGACTCCCGCCAAGACCGAAATTCTGCATAACTATCCTGTTTAGGATGGATAAATTGCTGAGTTATCAAATAAAATTGCTTTAAACGTAATCGGACACCGAGCGAGGGGCACGTCCGCCTACTTCAGTTAAAAAAAATGTAAGTTAACTAGCAACAGAACAAGTAAAACAAGGCAATTTTTATGTGCAATAATGCTCTATCTAGTAGTGCAGCTTGATCTAATATGTCCTATTTGATGGCAGTTGCTGCAGCGTGGTGGTGCTCGCTTTCGTGGTCTCTCACCACCTTCATTCACCACCCCGGCATGTAAATCAGCAGCTTCCTGACTGCGTTGCTGACCCTCCGCGCCAGTCAGAATACCACCAGCAGCTATAAAGGTCCTAGTAGTATCCCGCTTGCGCTTTTGTGTTTTATTAGCAGCACGTAGCTGCTTAACCTCATGCTCTAAAAGCAGCGCATTCTGCATTGCCATTTGAGCACCCTTGACCACTTGCTCAACTGCCTGATTGATAGGGCTTGGTGTGATGGCCTGGTCACGTTGACGGGCTATCACGTGAGATGCAGTTGTTTGCTTTGTTGATAAATACGGCGTCACCTCCTTTCTTCCTTCCTCATGTTGATTATTCTCGTCGATAGCTACCGAGGTAGAACCCATGAGTTGGATGTTCCATTATCCTAGTAGAGCGCCGTGACAAGTGGCAGGATGAGAAGGGGAATAAGGGAACGCAGGTATCAGCTGGTATGCTTACATGGGTGTGGACTGAGAAGAGCTTTGCATTGGGAGTTAGTTTGCTCTGTTAGCTACGAATTATGGCTGCTGTGTGGATTATTGAGTTAAGAAGGTAAGGGGAAGCTCTGCGGCAGAGAAATCGGAGGCTGAGAGAGAGGATAGTCTCTTCTGACCGTCCAGTCCACTAGGCAGCCCTACAAGCATCAAAGTCTTCGAAGAAATCCAATAAGAAAAGCTGCCCATTATTGCCTCTGAAGTTGTTGAATCTACTTGATTGCTTGCAAAGGTATAAGATCTTTTCAAGGAGTCAGCCTCTTGTCACCAGGAGTCATTGTGCGAGTGTGAGAACTCACAAATCTAGCTGAACTCTCAATAGCCAGGAAATAATCTAATTGTTCCATAGCTTTGAAGTTGACACCCTTCATTTTCAATGTAGTGATCTTACTCATCTGAGGAGCTGTGCTCCAGTCATACTCACCAGTCTGGAAGTAAATTGGACACTTGCAAACTTCAATCCTCCCAACACGATCGCGCATCGAAGCCCCCAGATTGAGTGTGCTGCCATTCATAGAAGATATCGTCAGGGTCATGCCACTGGCCAGTGGCTTTGCGAGCAGAGGTTGATCTCCAATCCAAGGTAACGGGTTATGATAAGGGACGTGTGTATCTCATATGTACCTCAAATTTTGAACCTTGGCCGTTGCTTTCCTTTTCTGGCGGGCGGTCGCTTTAATGAGGACGCTCATCCTGAGTGTTCACTTAGTTACCTAGTATTGCATATATCTACTGGTAGACTATATTCAAGTTTCGCACACCGGGTTGCAGATTCAGTCCATTATTGGGCGATAAGAGCGTGTTCAAGTTCAGCGTCCAAACGGGCTGCGGTGGCTGCCCCAATGCAATTCACAATGTGCTCGAAGATCTTGAGGGTATGTTTTTTTCTTTCTTTCCCTTCTAGCACCGCAGCTCATACTTAGCGGCTCACTGTAACTGGATCATATAGGTCTGATATCTGTTTATACGGGTGTTCCCGAGTAAACGATTACCATTGTCGTTGGGCTAGAGGTTTCATATGACATTGTGCTGGATAAGATCAGAGGGGGGATCGGGAAGACTGTTCGCAATACGAAGGTAGATGGCGTTGCGAAGGAAGTTTGAAAAGCTTCGAATGCTTGTTTAGAATCGTGAAATCAGAGTTGGAAACTCTTTCTGGTAAAGACAAAATTCGAGTGGCTCACTTGAAATTCTCGATTGCTGTCCTACATGTATTCAGACATTAGCAGACTGGACATCTCTTGAATGACTACCTCCATAGATGTTATTCCATAGCAATATTCAAGTTCAGCCATTTAATCACCGATCAACAACGTGACCAAACCATGCATCATAAATTGCTAATCTAACAGACAAGTGGGATATCAGTACAATGAGATCGATCAACTATGACCACCTCCTGCTCTTGACTTCGTTCAACTCATCACTCTTCATCTCGCGATCAAATTAAATTTAGCCAGTCACCTTGAAGATGGACTCGGCCAGGCGACGGACGTTGTCGGAAGTGATACCGGCAACGGAGATACGGCCATCCTTGGTGGCGTAGACGGAATGCTGGAAGTCATTAGCTTAGATTCATATTTATTGGGGATGTCATTAACTTACTTCCTTAGCGAGAGCATCCATCTGCTCGGGCTTGAGACCGGTGAACGCGAACATACCGATCTAGTCAATCAGTTAGCGGTGGACCGAAAAACTATTCAAACTATGTACTCACCTGGCTAGTAATGTGCGACCAGTCGTGCTTGCTGCCGAGATCCTCCAGGTTTTTCTTGAGAAGGGCACGCATCTCAATGATACGGTCAGCCATGCCCTTAACTTCACCCAACCACTGCTGGTTCAAGGCGGGGTCATTCATGATGGTCGATGCAACACGGGCACCGTGGACAGGCGGGTTAGAGTAAAAGGGACGAATGAGAATCTTGATCTGGGAGTCCACACGCTTCTTCTCCTCGGCAGACTCGCAGACAAGGGAGAAAGCACCAACACGCTCACCGTAGAGACCCATGTTCTTGGCGAAACTCTGGCACAGAGCAATGTTGTGGCCCTCCTTCACAAAGTGACGAGGAGCGAAAGCATCCTGGTCAGCGTTTCCGCTGGCAAATCCCTGGTAGGCCATGTCGAAGAAGGCAAAGTGGCCCTTCTGCTTCATGACGTCGCTAATCTGGCGCCATTGGTCCTGGGTCGGGTCGACGCCGGTAGGGTTGTGAGCGCAAGCGTGGAGCAGGATGATGCTGTTCTCAGGAGCGGCCTTGATGTCGGCAATCAGACCCTCAAAGTCGAGGCCGATGGTGTCCTTGTTGTAGTAGCGGTACTTCTCCACCTCGATACCGGAGTCCTTGAAGACAGCGTTGTGGTTGGCCCAGCTGGGGGTGGGGAGGTAGATTTTCTTCGCGTGAGGATAGAAGCGCTGCAAGAAAGCGCCACCGATTCTCAGAGCACCAGTACCGGAGATGGACTGGGTGATTACGAGACGGTCATCCTTGAGAACGGCAGAGTCGGCACCGTAGGCGAGCTCCGCAGCAGCCTTGGTGAATGAAGGAATACCAGTGATGCCGGCGTACTCCTTGTCGAAACGAGAGGCGACAACCTTGTCCTCAGCAGCGCGAACAGAGGGCAGGACGTAGGGCTTGCCTTGGTCGTCACCTATTCAGAAAGAAACAAGATCAGCGTTCATCCAATGACTCATAGCTAGAGATCAGTCGACGCGGGAAATAATTCTTCGAAAGAACAGACTGAAAGGAGCCCAGAAAATGAAGAGAGAAAAGCATACGGTAAGCACCAACACCCAAGTTAATCTTCTCCTTGAACGAGTCGGCCTTGAAGGCTTCGGTGATACCCAGGATAGCGTCCTACCACCCCTTCTGTCAGCAATTGCACCCCAAACCAATGACCCCAATCATAATTGAATCGAGCATACTGGAGGACCCTGGGGAACGTTGGACCAAGCAGAGGCGAATCTGGCACCAACGAGGGTGGTGCGCATGTTGGCCTGGCGCGAGCCAGCGATGCGGGCAGTTCGAAGGGTGGACAGCATTGCGACGGCTAGCTAATGCAAAGGTCACTAGAATAGATCCTCTGGGGGGAGATAAAGAGAATGAGACGAGTGTAGACCCGAACAAAGAGAGATGAGGAGGTGGTTGTAAGAGAGGAAGAGGGGAGAAAAGAAGAGTTCGAGCTGTGCGGGTAAATAAGAAGCGATCCGCTGTCGGAGATGCAGCGATGTCGTTGTGTGGATTCTGGGCTTTGTTTAGTCTCATGTGATGGAGGGCAATTCCGACGGGATTTTCTTAATTTCTCGTATAATTCTCCTACAATTGCTTTTTTATATGCTTCAAATTGCCCGATTCTACGCATTGTCCATGTCATATTCACTCACGCACATAAATAATCGTAAAACCCCAGATACTCAGTTATCAATCTCCAAATCATGTGACTCGCATATCATGTGATGCCGCTTTCGGTGAACTGATCCAGACAGAATCCACTGTTTTTTCTCCTCACGCGTTGGAGAACCTCACTTTTGCCTATTCGGGATAGTTTAATCGACAGGGTGCGCCTGGGGAAATAAGGTACAGTAGCGCAAATCTCCACATGCCAAGTGGGCAATCCTCGCTTAGCCATTGCCAGTCCGGAGTATCTTTTAACGCTCCGGAAAATTCATCATCCATTACCTATGCAATAGCCTCTACCTCTGGTATATAGACAGGAAATAGTAAAAGAAATCAACCCAACCGCACACCTGCCTGGCGGTTCTTCCGTGCAGTCGCCCCCATTGCATTGTTCATACCCGTATGCTGACTGCTGTCCAATGTACTCATTGCCTCGCGTTGCTTCTCTTCGTCGATCTTCTTCAACCGCTTCTCCGTCTTCATCTTGCCGCTGCCCTTGCCGTGGAATTGGTGACTCAAATGCTTGAACGCTTCCTTTTGGTTCATGAGACGACCGTATTCGTCCACGTACTTGAGCTGTACGTCCGGCTTGTATTCGCGGTTGAACACATCGGCCATGTGGCGTGAGTCATGCTGGTCACGCTGTTTGTTCTCCCAGCGAGCATGCTCTTCCCGCTCGCGAGCAGACATGCGGTCGAGCTTGCCTGAGGTACGATCGCGCTCTCTTTGCTGGCGAGCACGCTTTTCAGCTTCAGTTTCAAGGTGTTGCTTTTCATGCAGAAAGCGCTGGCGCTCCCGGAAGAGTGCATTGTTCGAAGCACTGTCAGTTTGTTTCACGAGACCACGTTGCTTAAGCATAGATAATGTAGCTCCCAATCCTTGGTCTAATGTAGTTTCTTCTTCCAATCCGGTGCCACTGATCCCCTGCTGCGCCTTGGCCTCGTCCTGCTTAATGCGTTCCTTGAGCTCCTCCTCGTCCTCAATGCCACTGTAAGTCCGGCCCATGTCCACATCGCCCTCTAGCTCGACATGAGGCGCTTCCGCAGGAGATGATGGCGCTTCTGCTGGTACAGGTGTAGCAGTCTTACGGCTTTCACGGCGGTCGGGAAGCGTGGGTCGCTGTAGGTTAGAGACGAATTCAGAAGTTTCGTCGATAATAAGACCAGGTTCCTCTTCATTCTCTGCGTTTTCCACTTCCATCGGTGTCTGTGACTCTTCTTCCCGGAGCTGTCGCGCAAGGTCTTCTGGCTTGACCTTCTGACGCTTCTTGAAGGCAGCACGTCTTTGTCGTGTAAGGGATGCTTGTAGATCGTCATCGTCTGCGAACGAGACATCTTCGCTTATCCGCTTTCGCGGAGCAGGGGCGGGCGCTGGTGTTTTATTGTTTTTGTCAACTTCCATCGATGTCCCGTCTGGGACGTTGCCCGACTCAGTGGCTGGGAAGGTATCCTCATCATCTAACACAGCACGTTGCTTGGTAGTCTTCGTCTTCTTCTTCTTTGGCTTCTTGATTTTGACTTCGCTGATGTCCATGTAATCCGATACGGGAGCCTGAGGCTCCAGATCTAAGTCAAGGCTGATGGCATTCTTCTTCAACTTCTCGGAGACTTCCTGTCGCTGGGCATCGCGGTCTTCGGCAGTCGAACCGGTGGCATCAAGGGTAAAACGTTTCCGCTTCTTGCCCTCAATTTCCTCGTCGTATTGTGCTAGAATTCCGGCGTTTTCCGCGGTCGGATCGTAAACAGGTTTGCGCTTCTTCAACTCCAATTTCTCAGCCGTCTTTTCGCTGTCCCTCAAAGCAAGATCCTCCAATTCATCTCCCTCGTCTTCCTGGTCGACCGCGGCATCCTTGAGGGTAAGAATATGCTCCTCCTCACCATCAAATTCACCAGCTTCGTGTCCGACCTTCAAACCAGCCAAATCCGCCGAAGTGTATTCCGTCGCTGCAGCCCGTTCCCGCTCCTCGAGTTCTTCCTCGAGTTTACGCGCCCGTTCCTTCTCGATCTTCTTCTGTCGCTTTTTCGCCTGCTGCAACCATGTCTTTGTATCCTCCGCACCACCCGTTTCACCTAATGTCGAACCCTCAAGCTTGGCATTTTTCTGTGCCTGCTCGCGCGCCTTTTTGATTGCCGCGTTCCTTTCCTCTCGTTTCTGCTTCGCCTCGGCTTCATCTTGGAGTTTCTTCCAGTTCTCGCCGGCTTGCGCTTGTCGGGATTCTAATGTGCTTGCTGGGTCTTCTTCGTCTGAGGATGTGTCTGAATCAGAATCATCGTGCTCTTTGAAACTAGGACCGGCAGTGGCGTCGGCACCGGGGACGGGGAGAGGTTTGAGGCCGAGCGCGGCTCGGATTTTGTTGTTCTGTTCAATGGAGAGCGCGTCCGACATTTCGAAAAGTCGGAAATGAGAACGGTCAGGCGCTCAGAAGAAATGGAGGTCGAATGGGCAAGATGTGCCGTAGGAGTTGGTCTGATAAAAGCAGTTGAAGTTGGCCGCAGCGCATCAAAGCGCCAAGACCGGTTTGGATTACTTCAGCGCTCCATCCCCAATACAGTAAAGCGCTGAACTACCGCGCTTAGCGGCTCCACCACCTTAGCGCTGCAAAATAAAAGCCAAAAATTTTCTTCTTCTCGCCCTTTTTCTTTTCTTCTTCAACACACACGGATCTGTGTCCAGCGATCCCGTTCACAGATTATTCATGAATTTAGTCATTCACGGGTATCTGTGTTTCGGTTGATTACTGGGCAGTTCGACGTTATACGGAGCCATCTTTCCTATGGATGGTTTTTTGGCAATCCGGTCGACAGATCTCAGATTAAATGCCAGCTTCAGGTGTTCACTCTGGTCTTGAGTTCCCTTTTGGTGAACTCGGCTGGAGATCCTGGGTGCTGGCGGCGTCATATTCCTGATCCCTTCGCTGAAGCCGTTGGCTCGTGAAGTTGGGGAAAAACCATGACATGCCAACATACCTTTTCCATGACGATGTATGTAGAACACCTATTGTTGCCTCGTAGAAACTGGAATTCATGTTGGAAATACTTCGAAGCTCTTGTGTTGCGTGCCTCTACAGTATAAGTACTTGGAATTGCGCTCAATGATAAACAAGACTATCGTACCAACATAAGCCTATATGCCATGACCATCGTCATCATCACTCATTATATCTAACACTCCCTACGGAGCGTTACAACAACTTCAAATGCCCCGTCACATTATCAACCACGCTCTTCGGCCCCAAGACACCGAGCACTGTCCGACTCCCACTCGCAATCTGCGTCCGTCCAGCATCCTGAATCACACGCGCGCAGAGACCAAGGCTAATCGCCTGCGCCTGGAGCAGCTGCAACTCGTCCTCACCCTTAATCTGTAAGGCAATCTTTGCTTGTCCTTCACGTTCCCAGCGACGCAGGATGGGGGAGTCGGGGGCGTGCGTGAGGAAGTATTTGTAGCAGGCGAGGGTTGCGTGGGAGCATTGGGCGGCGATTTTACCTGTAGCGTTTGCCAGTGTTGTCAGTATTTAATATCAAATTAAATCGTAGATGGAGGAGACGTACCCTTGGTCATACCCAAATCCGTCCGGACAACAAGAACTAGCTTAACCTCTTCCTCGTTGTCGAAATTGGCCAATTCGCCCTGCTCCTCGTCCTCACTGTCTTCCTCCTCATCCTCTTCCTCGTCTTCGTAGTCTTCATCCGACGAATCTTTATGGACCTTCACATTGTAGCTATTCGGCCATCCTTCTTTCTCACCCGAGAAGAGTCGGAGGGAGGATCCCTGGCCGACGAAGTAGCCTGTGACGCCGGCGAGGATGGCGGTTGCGATCACGTACGTGGTCGTTGAGGGGGGGAGGCGTTCAAGTTCAGCCATTTTGTCTGGTTTTTTAGCCTTCTTGTTCGCAGCTCTTGTTCGTGGGAGGTAGGAATATGGTGAGTGTATGGTAGACGTGAGGAGCTGCGATTTTTTCCTGCAGCTGCGGGAGCTGTTCTCCGCCGAATATTCTTTGGCAGATCTGCGCCACTGCTAGACCTCAAACGTTGCTGATTTACATGCTCTACGGTTTTTTATGGGATTGATACGAGCAGTGATGGAATGCGCCTTCGAATAATTATTGTTATGAATTTTGCACTCCCCGCGACTGCTAAAAAACAAAAAAAAAAAAAAAAAAAAAAAAAACAAAAATAGGCATGACCAAGCGTGTTATTGCTGTCGTTATATACATCCCTAAAACTGTAAAGCAAAAAGCAACAAAACTTCACCCATTGAAATGCTCCTAATTCGCTTGAGCCGGGGCAGGCGCAGGCGCCTGGTTCTGGTTTCCAAGTCGACGGCTCCTATAATGATAAGTTAGCACCACGCACAGAGCAAGGAAGGGACAGCCAAACTTACATCATAGACCGGCTGACGAAACTGATGAGGACCATGAAGAGCCACTGAGGGATCAAGCTGAAAGCATAGATACCATAGCCCAGAGGAACAATGAGTCCGTTCTGAGAAACCCAACCGTCCGTTGGGTGCATGGCGCCCTCATAAGCGGGGACATCCTGGTAGGTCTTCTTGGAGTGAACCTCGTAGATGGTGTCGGCCGTAACGGTGGTCGAGTTCAAACGGACGATGTGAAGAGGAGTCTCCGGGCGCTCGAATCCCTCCTGGGCCTGGGGGACCTGGAAGTGCCAAAGGCTAGGTGCGCCAGCGACCCAGGCAGAGCAAAGAACCTGGTTGGCTTCGCAGTCCAAGTAACCGAGATTTGGCGCGGTAGGGTCAGCGGAAAACAGGAGGACGGATTCCTAAAAACCAAAGAATCAGCGATTTTTATTCCCGAAACGGCGTCGCGCCCCTTGAATTTCGCGGTGTCACTCACGTTGAAAGCCTTGTTGGCGCGCTCACAACGGCCAAAGCAAGTCTTATTTCCTCCAGTCACGTAAACAAGCCATTCCTGAGCTGCCCCCGATGGTTCAAGGGTGGCTTGCCAGTTCGTAAGGTTGACCGGGGTGACAGCCTTCTCCTGGACCTTCTGCTCGACCACCTTCTCAACGGGAACCACGGGAGTCGCGGTAGGGAGGTAATTCTTGGCCTTATTGAACCAACCCTGCACACGATCGCCCAGAGGGACCTGCTCTTGCGCCGCAGCAAGCGCGGGGAGGATAGCGATAAACGGAGTGAAGCGCATGGTGCTAGTAAAAACGACGCGTTCGGGTCAGCCACAGACCAACAATATTCTCCGGAAGAAAGGGAAGAACACATCGATTTCCATCGCCAAAGTGAATAAAAGCAACACTTACCTGGGTTAAATTAAAGAAGCGCACTTTGGAGGGAGCTAGACAGGTTGAAAAAGGGCCAAAGTACGGACAGCAGGCGTGGAACGAAGGAGAGAGAATATGTATGTTTCTGTTGTCGACAGTTGACGACACTTGGCCGAAGCGCCGGCAAGGAGATTCGGGCACGTGTCCGGTGGGGATTATTTACTGCTCAATCAGGTATACGATTATGCTCTGCAGCTTGGGTCTTTATCGATAACGTTCGTTTCTCTCTTTTCTAGAACATATACTTTAAATGATATTCAAGGTCCCTTTCAGTGTGTCTCCATGGATGCCCTAGGCTGCTCATCGCGATTCCGGTGGCCATTATCTATGAGACTCTTTCCATTCCATAGCGCCAGCTTGTTGCGACGATTACCCAGTAATACGTTGCAGAGAATAACCAGTAAAAGTTGTATGTTGGATTAACATTGGCCATCACCTATGTACAATGTTATATGCGGATACATTCCTTGAATAGCCGTCAAAAACATATATAGAATAATCGTATTCGATGAAGACAAAAGAACATCATTGCACATCCATATTGCTAGAAAGCACTTAAAACAACCAGCAAGTACGGTAATAAAGAAAACGATTTAAAAAGACACTTCAAAGCGAAAGAAAGAACCCAAAAAAAAAAAAAAAAGGACCAAAAAAATAACTATGGCCAATATGGGGATCGAACCCATGATCTCCCGTGTGTAAGACGGGCGCCTTAACCACTGGGCCAATCGACCGGAAGCCGGGTTAAGTTAACGCACATTTATTATATCACAATATAAGTAAATTATTCAGGCAATAAAACGAATAGTAATCAGAGTCAGGGCTTTGTTTGCATAATCACAATAGGACAAACAACAAGAAAAAAGTAGATAAAGAGATAGAAATGCGCGAGCCCGTCATCAGGTCTCACATTTTTCCAGAAATATATACATGAAGGTTCTAGGCGCTCGAGAAATAATTGCACTAGACTAGGAGAAAAAGAAAGTCGTCTTGTTTTTTCTAGACCCGTACTGGGAGACAGAGAGTTGGCAACATAGAGTTCGATCAGTACTAATGGACTAGGGATAACGCCTATCATCGAAGCCATATTCCTAATGCCAAACCTTTGGATCAATATCTACGACAGAGGTATGCCGTGTATTCCGTGCTGTATCTTAAACCTGCATCAAGATATATCGCAAGGAAGGCACGACTCGAGAAGCTAGTCCCAGTATGCGAATCTTAACCAGCGTGGGAGTTTCCCGTTTTAGCAATGTCCAACGTAGCTTCCCTGCACGTTCCCTTTGAGGAGTTCCTCCCCTCAAAGACCAACCCATCTGCTTCGTTTCCCTCCGTCTACCCAGCTTTTCTCATCCAAATATCCCTTTGCTTATTAGCACCCATCTTTTAACTGGTATCGCTCTTAGCATACACATTTACCCAGCATCAGAAAGTTGCCCTCTTGAATTCTCTGCTACGAACGTCACGCCAATATGCTGTTGACTCGGTTTCTGCTCGCCAGATGGTTGCCAGTTGCTCTCATTGTTATAACGATGATAGAAACCAGCTTTGGTGCTGCTTTGAAGAAGAACTTTGTGGATGAAACCCGTGGTGGTGAGCTATCCACCAGCTTGACGTGAACGCATAACTAACACCCTGAGCAGAGATCAAGTCGACGAACAAGATGGCAACGAACGATACAGCCGCACGTAACGTTACTTCTGCCGGTGACTTCCCTGTCTGTACCTATCATAATGGCACGCTCTCGCCCTTCTGCCTACCACACAACGGAGCGGATGTCATAGTGGATGCGACTTACTATGTCACTTGGAACGCCGACTTCTATCCGTTGAACGCCACGATCACGATCGAATTGCGATACCCCAATTCCACCGAAGGAGATTCGGCTTTCACTTCGGAACGAACGGATAACAGCTACGGATACATTCCCCTTCGCATGCGCAAGGAATGGCTCCAGGGCAAGCCACACAACGAATTGACCCTCTACATCATTGAGCTGGATTCAACCTCGGACCGGAGAGCTCGTGCTCGACAAGGGCCGACTGTTGTGCTTCATCCGAAACCAAAGGAACATTACAAGCCCCCGCCCCCTCTGCCGTTCAACAGGCTGGCACTGATCATCGGCTTGCCGGTCAGTGTAGGAGTGGTGGTTCTCATCGTCGCTGGCCTGTTTTTTGGTATGCGGAGAAGCAGACAGATTGGGGTTGCACATGCCAAGAGGTCTCGAGGCAAAGGCTATGGAATTGGAAAATCGCGGAATGAACGCCTGGGACGAAGTAAAAGTTCGATGGACAACGATGCGGACGCCGCCCTGAAAAAATATTCTGACGCTGATGAGGACATGTCGGAGATCGCAGACTCTGATCTATACCATGATCTGTACCGGTCTGGAAACTATGGATTCGACTCGCGAGTTGCAAAGCTCAAGAGCTGGAGTAATTCCTGAATTCCTAAGGCTTTTGGGATTGATATGCCCAGAAAGAAGGATATCGAATATGGTTTGAACGGGCTTGTGATTTAATTGACCATTGAGTTGTCAACGAGACGACTTAGCACTCTTTTTTTCCATTTCCTGTTTTCGTTTAATTTTTTGGGGTTGTATGGTATTGAGGACTCAAGCATTGCGAGTGAATATTTCTAGCGAATGGACCAGAGCTGTCTCTTCTGCATAGTATTCCGTATACCCGTTGTGATAGTTGACCAACAAGAGACGCGGAAAATGCCATTACCGTTCGTGCGGTGGGCAAGTTGTAAGCCATGACGTCGAGTTTGGATGCAATATAGCGGGGGTTACTGTGATTATGAGGAGAAGGGAAGAATAACCATGGGCGCCTGCCTGTTGATCGATTACCAATGTTTTGAAGGCGAGACTCGGGTTCAGCTACAGAATAACTTGAGACTATGTTCCAAAACAGCAAAAGTGCTGCGTTCGTCCCGCGGTGGACGTTTTTGGTCTATAAGCAACTCCGAGGCCGATGTCGGTCATCTTTTTCGGTTGTTCGAATGAGGGCTGGCCATCATTAGTATACACGATCTGTGATATGCCAATGAACGCCATGGTCTACATAGTAGTACGGGGCACTCCATACTGCTACATTAGGACGGTATTTCATAAAGAAAGAGGATAGAAGATCAACGATGTGGGGGTTGAGGGCATTTTAAGTGGCAATACATTTTCAGATGAAGATCACGTGCGTCACATGGCACGATAGAATCGCACTGTTCGGAAATAATGAGCAAGTATAGTAGCAATAGAGGAATCAAGTACTTTGTAATGGTAGGAATTAAGCCCAAGAATATAACTAATAGCCTTACAATAGAAAGCAATGACTCACTAAGCTGAAGCGCAGGATTGTCAACTCCCCACACGGCGCTGAAATTTTCGCATTTGCCGCACTCAGACCGCCCGCCTTTTTTAAACTCGACCCTCTTTTTCTTCTCGTCCGGCCGATGACTCTTCTTCGTTCCTAGCGAATTGCGATTACCATTTCTATTATTTAAACTATTTCGAAGTCGTCGATTGTGATTCATTTCTTCGAACTTTTCTACTTTTGTTTCTTTTCTTTACCCTGAACGTTGATATCTCCCATATATACTTCCCCTCTCCACTACACTTTTCTTCCACACAATGTGTCCCGGTGCAGACCAAGAGCCCAATGGGCATGCCAATGGGCATGCCAATGGTGCCGGTACCGCTGGTGTCAACCAGAGTGTCAACGGTGGTATGCATGCATTCCCGTTCTTGGGGGGTGTGATCTTCGAGCTAACCGATGTGTCGAAAAAAAAAATCAGATGCCTCCTCGCACCCCGGCTTCACTGGCGTCGAAACTCGCCAAAACCCTCACCCCTCCAGCTCTCGTAACCCTTACGGCCACAATGCCGCTGTTACCGACTTCCTGAGCAACGTGTCGCGGTTCCAGATCATTGAGAGCACCCTCCGTGAGGGTGAGCAGTTCGCCAACGCCTTCTTTGATACCGAGAAGAAGATTCAGATCGCCAAGGCTCTCGATGACTTCGGTGTTGACTACGTGAGTCTCCTGCGAGATATGCGACGCGAGTGGTTTGCGATGGATTGAGCTAACCTGTTACTCTGTAGATCGAGCTTACTAGCCCTTGTGCTTCGGAACAGTCGAGACTTGACTGTGAGGCTATTTGCAATCTCGGTTTGAAGGCCAAGGTATGCCCTTATAGTCTGGCACTGGATATTGTTCGAGACGTATCTAATGATATTACAGGTTCTCACCCACATCCGTTGCCACATGGACGATGCTAGAATCGCTGTTGAGACGGGTGTTGACGGAGTGTAAGTGCTGTTACATTCATCTGTTTAGGAGTGCTGGGAACTAACAATTTCCAGTGACGTCGTTATTGGTACTTCGTCTTACCTCCGTGAGCACTCTCACGGCAAGGACATGACCTACATCAAGAACGCTGCCATCGAAGTCATCGAGTTCGTCAAGTCCAAGGGCATTGAGATTCGTTTCTCCTCTGAGGACTCGTTCCGTTCGGATCTCGTTGACCTCCTTTCCATCTACTCTGCTGTTGACAAGGTCGGTGTCAACCGTGTTGGTATTGCTGACACTGTTGGTTGCGCCTCTCCCCGCCAGGTCTACGAGCTTGTCCGTGTCCTGAGAGGTGTTGTCAGCTGTGACATTGAAACTCACTTCCACAACGACACTGGATGCGCTATCGCCAACGCCTACTGTGCCCTCGAGGCCGGTGCCACTCACATTGACACCTCGGTCCTCGGTATTGGTGAGCGTAACGGTATCACCCCTCTCGGTGGTCTGATGGCCCGTATGATGGTTGCCGACCGCGACTACGTCAAGAGCAAGTACAAGCTCGAGAAGCTCAAGGACATTGAGGACCTCGTTGCCGAGGCCGTTGAGGTCAACATTCCTTTCAACAACTACATCACCGGTTTCTGTGCTTTCACCCACAAGGCTGGTATCCATGCCAAGGCCATCCTGAACAACCCCAGCACCTACGAAATCATCAACCCTGCCGACTTTGGCATGTCCCGCTATGTTCACTTCGCTTCTCGCCTGACTGGCTGGAACGCCATCAAGTCGCGTGCCCAGCAGCTCAACATCGAGATGACCGACAACCAGTACAAGGAGTGCACTTTCAAGATCAAGGCCCTTGCTGACATCCGGCCCATCGCTGTCGATGATGCCGACAGCATCATCCGCGCTTACTACCGCAACATCAAGTCGGGAGAGAACAACCCCCTTCTAGACCTGACTGCCGAGGAGCAGGTTCAGCTTGCCGCCAAGGAGAAGGAGTTGGCCGAGCAGGGCAACACCTCATAAAGTGGTAAAGTCGACACCATTTTCTATATTGCATATCTTTCATTTATCATGTTCCATATACGTCTGTTTTCATTTTTTCTTGCTTTTTTATTGGTCATGTATTGCGCTCCCAGCGACTCTCCGTCTAGGGAGAGATGTGAATTTTGATGATTTGATGCTTTATGTGTTCTGGGTATATTCCATTGTGTATTTAACGGGGATGGGGAGTTCTAAAAGTCTTCGAGATGGTCATAAAAGAATGAGACAAGGGAATTTTATAACGGAAAATGACGCGAGAGACTGGTGTTCAGAGGGCTTATCTATCCTGTATATAGCAGGTTTTGAGTGGCTATATTAGCATTTAAATTTCATGCTTTATCACGCTCGTCTTGGTTCACACACGTAGAATTCTGGGGCCTGGACCAATAACTTAAGGTAGTTTCACCGAACGGGGATAATTCTCACTAAAACCAAGCCTCTATACGATGAAGGTAAGGGCAAAAAAAAAAAAAAAATTGCCTGCCACGAGATGTCACAAATCCATCGGAGTTAGGGTGCCAATACAGGCCCCCCAGAAATCCAGGATTGCCCAAATAACATATTACATACCCATAATCACTGCCTAGTAACTATACCTAAAAAGCGGATCCTGAATATCGGTTATATCCTCACCATCCCGATACTCCCTACCGGCATATGAATGTCTACCCTCATCCCGTCGTCGATTCTCCTTCCAACACAGAAACCAGTATAAACCCATCACAGCGACGAGAAGATACCAAGTCACAATGGCAGTGATAACGCCTTCAAAGTGTCGGGGAGCTGTGTTTGAATTTCTAAAGTTGTGGTGCAGCGATGCAGCCAACGCAGTAGCCTATGAAATAGAGTGTGTTGACAGTGGCGCGCTTGGTGTTGCCTTTTATGTTGGAGGCGCTGAGACTGAGAAGGATAGCCATTACGTCGGATATGCAGGATGCCTGACGTTTTGAGAAATGGGTTTTCTATTATTGAGAGAAGGGGGGTTACTCACCAACCAAGGAGATACGATGAGTCCCCAGCCAGCCGTTAGTGGGAGCTTTAGTAATAAGATATTCCCGATTAGGGGAGGGATGGCCAGAGACATAACCACTAAGCACCTGCTATTGGGGAGTAGAATGCAGCCGAAGATGCCGATCCAGATGGCCACAATCTGCACTGCTCCAGAGGGTGAGGTAAATAGCATAGTTTGGAACTTGTCGTAGTCCAAGTTCTTGATGATCAAGGAAGCGAACTAGATGTCCATGGTTAGATATTCTCTGTAAACAACAGGGTATGAACAAGTGAGTGCCAACCGTAAGCACCGGCGATTGCATGGTCACCAGAATTCCAAACGCGAATATCAGCCAAGCTCTCATGTCCATGATAGATTCTTTGACTTGTGCAATTGAGAAATCAGTCTGGTCACCACCGTCCCGGTCCAGGGCCATTCTTGCCACGATGACCTCTCGTTCTTTCTGTGTCAAGAACCATGCAGTTCCTGGGTTAGATGGGACAACGAAGTGGAAAAGAACCTCGAATCCAGCCGTCAACGCGCCGCAGATGAGAAATAATACCCGCCATGGAGCTAAATGGGAAGATAACGTTTTGCCGATACCGTACATGAGGAGACTACTGAGGATCTGGGCGAGCCCATTCATTATGACCCATATACTGCTGCAGTTAGTATATAGCACTGGCACATAGAGTGAAGTTAATGTTAGCTCACCCTACCCGAGAAGCATGCTCCTTCTTCCTATACCACATGCTAGTCAGTGTAACGAATGCCGGGGAGACGGCGCCTTCACTGAGACCTAGTAGGAATCGCACAGCTGCGAATCCTGCGAAGTTGTGGGGGGCTGCGAGGCACATGCATATACCTCACCATATGACACTGTGTACATGTTGACTTGGTTTAGTTAGATGTTTAGGTGAGTGGGCATTGTGTCTTACATTGTGGCACCAACTAGTCTGGCTAACGGCAATCGGCTCATCAGATAGATGAATGGATACTCGGAGACCAATTGTCCTAGAATGTATTAGTGTGGTGGATTGGGGGTTACCCTCAGGGCAACGCAACTATACCTAGGTAGAACAAGGATGAGCACCAGGAGTATTCCAATTCTTGGAGGGAGAGGTGTTCGATTAGACCAAAAACAGAGGCATAATTTAGACTCTGCTTATCCAAGTCTGCTACAATCAGATGGGTCATCTGTCTATGTTTTGTTGAAGGATCGCTCACATTGGAAGAAGAATACTAGGCACATCTATATCAAACAGTCAGTTAATGACCTCCGACAGAAGGGCCCTATATCGCTTACCATCGGCAGGACAAACCAGTCAATCTTCTTTACCACTCCCCGTTCTTCATCAAGGGAGAATGGTAAATGAACACTGCCACCTTCAATATTCGCATTTGCAGTTTCATTCCCGTGCCTGAGACAAACCTCCTTCTCTTTTTGCAAACCTGCCATTATTAAATATCCCAGGCGCTAATATGCCGATGAGAAGCTATGGACACATACGTAGAGCTGAGCGAGAGATCTATGTGTAAATACACTTCAGTCCTTGCGGAGAAATACTACGCATGGTCTCGCTCCCTAGTTCCCTGATCCGGCAGAAGATCCGGTCTCGACCGGGGTTAAGGCCTTGGAGTTATGATAGATGACCTGTTGTCTGAGATAACTTTTGATAAGACTGTCTCGATGGTATCAGGTTGTTCCTAGTTGATGAGTAGATAACCGGGGCCTATATACATGTGTTACAGTGTCGCAACTGACCCAGACTGTACCGTTTACTGCACATCGTGATCTCATTCTCCACTGAATAAGCTATTCATCCATAGTTTTGTTCTGTTCGGTCTATACGTAATCCATTCTGCTGAAGCGTCGGAAATCGGATGCATTGAATTGGTGACTATGTATATTATAACTACTTATTCTGATAATGCCTATCTACTTAATATCTCATCTTCTTGATCTAGCATTTAAGCATGATCAAGATATAGTGTATAGATACGTCGCCACCCGAGCTCGGGCCGGGCCCATGAGGGGTTGGAGTTTTGGAGTATAGATACCGAGGAAAGAACCAACTACCAGTGCTGAAAGAGGGGCTTGGATAAGGTGACAATTAGCCCAATTGAGCAGGGGTGGGGTGTGTTTACTCGGGGCTTTTTTCTGATAATTGAAACCAATCGTCCTCAGCCACCTACAAGTCAACTGTTCTGATCATCACGAGCAACAGCACGAAGCCTTGGACCTCGCAGGGGCCACACCCGGATATCACTTTTATCAATGCGAATGTTGTCGATGCTGAAGCGAGTAAGGTTATCCCCCATTGCAACGTTCGGGTCAAAGATGGCCTAATCGGAAATATCACCACTGGGGATTCATCGACCATTAATCCAGAGTCAAAGGTCGTCGATCTGCAAAACAAGTACATCTGCCCTGGTATAATAGACTGCCATGTACACCTTACAGTGACCCCTGGAAATGCTGCGCTCAAGGACCTGTATGCAGCAAGCCCAAACGCCATCGCTTATCGTACTGCACATGTTGCACGAGAAATGCTCTTGCGCGGCTTCACCACTGCACGCGATACTGGAGGTGCTGACGCCGCTCTCCGTGAAGCTATCGCGGAGGGACTCATCCCGGGCCCTCGTCTCTTCATCGCGGGAAAGGCGCTCTCACAGACCGGGGGGCACGGCGATTTCCGTGCCAGTTACCAGGACAGTGAGCACAAATGCTGCGGTGGACATTCCCCATCCTTGGCTCGAGTATGTGATGGAGTTCCCGAATGTTTAAATGCTGTTCGCGATGAACTGCGCCAGGGAGCCGATTTCATCAAGATCATGTGTGGCGGGGGTTGCTACACCGACAGATGGCCTTGATATGCTGCAGTTCACAGCGGAGGAGATTCGAGCGATTACCACGACAGCAGCGTATTCCAAGACATATGTCATGGCGCATGCTTATACGGTTGAATCCATCCGACACGCTGTTGACAACGGGGTTCGTGGGATTGAGCACGGAAACTTAATTGACTGCGAGACGGCTGAGTACTGCAAAGAAAGAGGAGTCACTTTCACTCCAACATTGGTGACCTATAATGCCATGACACAGCCTGCTTTTTCTCACTTCCTCGATGAATTCAGCCAAAAAAAGAACCAAGTAGTTCTTAAGGGTGGTCTTGGTGCGTTGGAGATCCTCCGTGATGCTGGTGTGACCATGTGTTATGGGTCAGATTTGCTGGCTGGCTTGCATGTTATGCAGAATGGGGAGTTCTCCATCCGGGCACAGGTGTTAAGTGCTGGGGAGGTTCTAAAATCGGCCACCGTCAACGCAGCCAAGTACATCGGGATGGAGGGCAAGTTGGGTTCCGTCAAGACGGGGAGCATCGCAGACTTGCTGGTCCTCGATGCTAACCCGCTGGAGGATATTGTTATCCTAGATCGTATACACGATAGTATGGTTGGGCTTCTGAAAGATGGAAGAGTAGTTACCTACAAGTTGGATGGATTGTCGGTTGATCGCATATACGATCCTTGTGGGGTTCAAGCATGAATATTACACTTCAGATGCAGCTAGAAAATACCTGTTCATAGTACACATCTACTGGCCTACGTGGTTGAGCATGATCTAGTTACGTAGTTAGTTATTGATAGAAGTGTACCTCAATAATGTGGCATAACAGTTTATTACTCGATTCGGCGATTGCAACCGAGGCAGGCGCATCCCTCAAGTGTAAGTCGATCTCCTGTGAACTTCCTCCTCTCCTCTTCCTCCTCCCCCATCACTCGCTTTTTTCTAAGAATCGACCCTACTCTAATTCTCGCATTTCTACTCTATTGTTCCTCTATTGCTAGTACACTGCGATCCGTTAATACTTCGTGATGGCTTCGTCGGTTTTCCCGGTGGGCTTGCAGAATAGACTGCTGGGCTTCACTAGGATTGCCAACGTGCAGCTGTTGAACCTGGATCTGTATGTGACTCAGTTTCCGTCTACCGCTAGGAAACAAAAATTTTTGTGGAATTCACTAATTATTAGCCTGTATGCAGTATCCGGAACATAATCTTCATCCTTTTCGTTTTCCGATATGCCCGCAAGACTTTCTACTCGGTACGCGGTTACGGCGTCTTTGGCAGCATCCGCAACGTCTACGCCGCAGTCCGTCTCTTCTGTTACTCGATTTTCCTCCGCTCTCCCGGTGTCAAAGGTCAGGTCGATAAGCAGGTCACCACTGCTATCGAAGGTCTGGAAAAGAAACTCGTTGCGAGCGGCCCCGACGTCACACGGTACCTAGCTTTGCCCAAGGAAGGATGGCCAGCCGAGCAGGTTCGTGCGGAACTCGACAAACTCGCAAATTTGGAACATACACGCTGGGAAGATGGCCGTGTTAGTGGTGCCGTGTATCATGGTGGTGATGACCTGTTGAAGCTTCAGGCCGATGCCTTTGGTCAGTTTGGTGTCGCGAACCCGATTCATCCTGATGTGTTCCCTGGTGTTCGTAAGATGGAGGCAGAGGTTGTTTCTATGGTATGTGCATTGTTTGTTCAATGGTTAGGGAAAGTGGAAGTGACTGATATTTTGCTCCTTTAGGTCTTGGCTCTGTTCAATGCTCCTTCCGATGGTGCCGGCGTCACCACCAGTGGCGGTACGGAATCCATTATCATGGCTTGCTTGGCAGCTCGCCAAAAGGGATACACCGAACGGGGTATCAGAGAGCCTGAGATGTGAGTTCTAGTTCTTAATATGAGTAAACCAGAAAGGGTTACTGACAACCACTAGGATTATCCCTGATACTGCCCACGCTGCGTTTATCAAGGCTTCTCATTATTTTGGAATTAAACTCCACCGTGTTCCCTGCCCAGCTCCCGACTACAAAATTGAAATTGCTGCTGTTCGCCGGCTGATCAACCCGAACACTGTCTTGCTCGTTGGTTCTGCTCCTAACTTTCCTCATGGCATTGTCGATGATATTCCTGCATTGTCTCGCCTCGCTACCTCGTACGAAATCCCGCTCCATGTGGACTGTTGCCTGGGCTCCTTTGTCATTGCGTTCCTGAAGAAGGCTGGCTTTCCTTCGCCTTACGAAGAAGAAGGGGGTTTTGACTTCCGTCAACCCGGTGTTACCAGCATCAGTGTGGATACCCACAAATACGGATTTGCACCAAAAGGAAACTCTGTACTATTGTACAAGAACCGCACCTATCGCAGCCACCAGTACTTCATCTACCCTGATTGGTCCGGTGGTGTCTATGCTTCTCCCTCCGTGGCGGGATCCCGACCCGGTGCTCTCATTGCGGGTTGCTGGGCTAGCTTGGTGAACGTTGGCGAATCCGGATACATCAAGAGCTGCCTCGACATTGTCGGAGCCGCAAAGAAATTTGAAACGACTATCAAGGAGCACCCAGTCCTGTCCCAAAACATTGAGGTTGTTGGTGATCCCATGGTTAGCGTCGTCGCCTTCCAAAGCAAGAACGGGGGCGTTGATATCTATGACGTTGCGGATGACTTGTCCTCCAAGGGATGGCATCTCAATGCTCTCCAGACGCCTGCGGCAATCCATGTGGCCTTCACTGTTCCCACGGCGTCTGCTGTTGACCAACTCATCACCGACGTGGTTGAGGTTGTCGAGAAAGAACTGGAGAAGGCTGAGGAACGGAAGAGACAAGGGAAGTCCTATGTCATTGAACGTGGAGACACTGCTGCCCTGTACGGAGTGGCTGGCAGTATGCCAGACAAGAGCATTGTCAACCGTCTTGCTGAGGGCTTCCTCGACACGTTGTACAAGGTCTAAATGTGGTGGCATCTTGTCGAAAGAAACTGTATTTTTATTGTTTAATTCTTGTGTATAAGAATTTGTTCATAATGGACCGAAGCTTCCTGCAAGAGGGTCCAGACTGAACACATACTCGCGGGCGTTAATGGCATGGATGCGGGCACTGCTTTAGTATATAGTATTACGTCTGCCAAAATTCATTTGACATTTTATGACATAAAAGCGTATTAACTTGAACCGTCTTCCCTACTAATAAAATATGCGCAAATGCAATATGTATAATACAGTGCCTGGTAAGAAATTCGTCGACAATGCGCGTGATGAAAATGTCCATGCCATTGTTCGAGTCTGAAGACAAACTCCAGCGTATCAGGTATCACAAACAATCAAAAATAGCAACACTCAAGAAGAGAAAGAAAGAAAGAAAGCAAAACCTTGTTGCCTCCTAGTTCTTTACTCTCTCGTCTGCTCCACAAACTCTGCATTTCCCTTCTTCTCAACATAATAACCCGGGTCCGGCTTCCGCTGCAGATGCACTTCCTGCTTCGTTAACCGCCTGTCGACCTCCTGCACCTCAACGAGCTCCTTGACCTTCATGACCTGACCTGCGACAGACTGCGAGACAGGGTGGAAGACGGTTGCCATGCGCTTTTTGAGGCCGAGGGCTTTGAGGACGTCTGTTGTTCGGCGGGGCATACCGATTGCGGAGCGTAGGAGGGTTATGCGGAAGAAGGTCATTTTGGTTTATTTGGTTTGGTTTATTGAGGTGGGATTGGTATAGAGTGGTGGTGGCTTGAAGTGGGTTGCGGGAGGTGGATTTTTAGAATTGGATTTTGGGCTCGGTCCGGGAGGGATAATGCGAGATCGAGGGCCTATGCAGTAGAGGTATAGCAACAGGTTTTCCCTTTCGTGAGTTCTCTTGAATTCGGGGGTTCGTTATTCGATGGAAGCGCAAATGCAGGAGAATTCGAGGATTCGAGGATTCGGATGGATTCAATATCTGTTCTCTGGACTGTAAAGAACCGTAATTCAATATTCACAAGAGGATTTAAATGTCGTAATTCCCTCGCCCGTCCAATGGTCACAGCTCTTTATATTGCCGGAGTACGGAGGATCTGTATGTGTATACCAACCTATCTCCAGCGGGAAAATTGTCAGTCGGTCAGGCAGGCGGAGAGTCACGTGGGCTCCATTCTGCCGGCGTCTTTGCGGCGGGAGGGACGCTCGACGTTGCAGGAATGAAATATGCAACTGACGAGGGAGCTCCTCGATTTCCTCTAAAGGTATTTTACTTGTCGTGTTGCGCTTCTTTCTGTGTGAATGAATACCGCTGGGGTTTAAAGTGGTGTATGTTCATAATGGTATTGGGGTTACTACTATCACCTGGTGCATACTGACGTTTCGTTTCAAGGTTAGAGAGCTTATAGTCGATCACCGGTGCCAATTGGCATTGTTTATATTGATTAACTGTGACACTTACCGGGATATATGACTGCCGCCCGTTCGTGCTCACCAAATTGATAACCATACCCAACGCGATCCCTCCCTATAACACCCGCCAAAATGGCGCAAGAAGCCGGGTCCGATGGAACGCTGGCCATGCCCCGGCTTGAGGATATCCTACGGCACCCAGAAGATCTCGACAAAATCCCAGGCCTAAAAGCAGAGTATTCGCGTAAGAAAGCCGCCGTCGACGCACACCTCCGTGAGGGTCTCCGCGACCAACTAGAAACGGTACAACGCAGCATCAACGCCCTAACAGAGGGCCAGCGACAGGTCGTGAAAACAAAAGATGAACTACAAGGGATAGATAAGTTGTGCGCGGAGTCGCAGACGAGCGTTGAGGATTTCTCGCAGATCGACAGGCTGGCTAAGATGCAGAGGCATTTCGAGGCAACGCTGATGATTAAAAAGGGGTTGGAGAGTTTCAGCGCGGATCTTGCTGAAATTGAGAATCTGCTTACGGAGGATGATGATAACCTGGAGGATCAGCCGAATATGTTACGGGCGCATATGCTGATTTCGCGACTGAGGGATTTTCGTGATGAGGCGATGGACCAGATTCGCAAGGCGGGGGATGGTAGTAATGAGGAGACCCTAATTGATTACTTTCAAGGGCTGGATTCGGTTATTGAGTGGTTTGACGATCATTTGGGAACTGCGTGCATGAATTTGATTCCGCTCGTGCAGTCGGATAACAACAGTATGGTGGTTCGACTGGCAGTAGTTGTCGCAAACGAAGAGAAAAACGATGAGACGGTGCGTGCGTTGCAAGAGGCACAGAAGGATCATAAAGATTTGGCAAACCGATTCAAGTCCATGAATATCGGCCCCAAGACGGTTCGCGGCTATAAGGAGAAGTTCACCAAGGCGATCGAATTCTACGCGCAAAATCAATTTGAATCGACTAAGGAGGGCTTCCTTGATGATCCTGATAGTATGGAAAAGAGTTTCCGGTGGTACTTCAATGATCTTTTTACCGTCAAGCAGGGAATGCAACAGCTTATGCCCAAGAAGTGGAAGATCTATCAGACTTACACCAATATCTATCATCGGATGATGCACGATTTCCTGGTCGGTTTGATTGATGATCCAGAGTTACCAGCGGACAACCTGCTCGCGATCATTCATTGGTCTGAAAAGTATTATAAGAAGATGAAGAAGTTAGGCTGGGCACAGACAGAACTACAACCCAATATTCTTGATGATCGTGAGCCTGAACTTATTCGACAATGGCAGAACGTCATCATCAAAGCTGTCGGGGAATGGATGGACCGGATCCAAACGGCAGACACGAAGGGACTTGTCGAGCGGATTCCAGACTCTTTGGACACAAATATGGAAGGATACTTCCGGACCCGGACCCTCCCAGACATGTGGCGTATGCTTAATGAGCAGATCATGGCCGCCGGTGCTTCCTCGCGGACAGATCTCGTTGAGGGTATCATCGATGCCATGTTCCAAGTCCTCAAGGGCCGCCAGTCAGCCTGGCAGACGCTCATCGACGAGGAATGTGCTAAGTATAAGGCTCCAGGGGGCGACCTGCTAGACGGTATACAGTTATTGCAGGACTGGCTTGTCGCCGTAGCCAACGACCAAATCGCCTGTATCGATGACAACGATGAAACAGGCCAACTGGGATACCTGACTCGATTCAAGAACGACTTCGAGCCCTACGTGGATCCGAAATATATGGCGTCACGTGCCATGGTAGAACTTGACGCCCTGCGCGACGGCTACGTGGATTTGAGCACGCACTGCCTCAACCAATTTGTGCAAGTGGTCTTCTCCGTCGACCTCCGCGGCACCATCCCCGAATTCTTCACGCAGAAATGGTACGGTGACTTCGCCATGAAGCGCATCACTTCCACCTTCGATGATTACATGGCAGACTACGCACCCGTTCTGCACCCCTCTCTAACCGACATTCTCGTCGAGGAGTTATCCGACGAACTCCTCGTCCGCTACCTTTCCTCCGTGCGCAACAAGAGCGTCAAGTTCCGACCATCACAAGACCCCTACACGGACAAGTTCAAGGATGACGTTCTTACCGTGTTTGCCTTCTTCCAGAAATACCCGGATTCATTTGCTGCTACCATCAAGATGAAGTGGAGGCTTGTTGACTGGCTTGTGCGGTTGCTGGAGTCAGAGAAGGGACCCGCGCTTGTGGCTGTTTACGAGAACTTCAAGACGGAGTACTGGGATTTGCAGCTTACCTGGGTTGAAGCTGTGCTGAGGACTAGGGATGACTTTGAGAGGAGCATGGTTAGTGCTACGAAGGCGAAGGCTGCGGAGTTGTCTGTGGAGGTGGGCATTGAGACGTTGATGAGTCGGGTGAGATGAGGTTGCTTCCCTTGGTATTATGTGAGGGCTATTCCATCAGCGAGGCGTTTGGGACTTTCTTTTCATTCTATTTCTCACGTTCTAGCATTTAGATGTTTGTATATAGCTCTATATACCTCGTTAGTTATCCAATTTACCAATATGGTATACATGCATCCCTTGAGACAGTTAATTTGTGACTCTCACACCACCATCCGAGCTCCCATCACTAATATTACCATCAATCATGACCTCTGAGCCGACCATAACCTCAGTAGCTGGCTGAACGCTAGGATCCCAACTAAGACTCCTCTCCGCAACAACCTTGTATTCCTCTCCCAGACGGGCATTCAACCCGCCCTCATCAGGATTGAGTTTCTTTGCGCCCATCTCGCAAATGCACACGGACTCCAAGGGGAAGTCCTTGGCCCAGACGAATGGATATTTGACTTCGTCATCTGATCTTAACCCATCAGATTTAGAAGACGATCTCTTCCGCTTCTTTTGTTCCGGGTCATCTTCGAGTTCTTCTGCGTTGCTAGTACCCCGCAAGTTGTTTATGTCTTCTGCAGGTAAGGCTTCATTGCCATATGGTGTATTACCTGAAACCGTCACCGCTGCAGACCGTGGCGTCGTCCTATAACTATCGAGATAGTAATTCCGATATTGGTCAAGAATACCTCTGGCATCGAGTGTAAACCGGCTATTCTTCTTGCCCTTGGGGCCACCCTTGCCCTTGAAATCATCTTTGTGTTGCCGACCTTTAATGTATATCGTGTTCACGACAGTGGCGTGTAAAAGGAGTGGTCTGGACTTGAGCTCGGGATTCTGGGGGGTGTGGATTGGTTTGATAAGGGGATTGGGGGGTTGGGATTGGGGCACAGCTGATTGTTCTTCTGCGAGGGTGACGGGCAATTCCTCAAGGAGAGATGATGACGTAGTGTCATTGATACACAATGGTTTATCTGTTGCGGTGGTAGAGTCGTTCCCATTGCCGACCTTGCCTTCTTCACTTTTATCCCCCCCGTTGTGCCGAAAGGCTCCCTCTGTTACTTTTCTCTCAAGGGTTTGTTCTGCCTGACGCTGAGAGGGCTTTTTGTATTCGCCCTGCAAGAACCCAGCTTCGAGGAACTTATCTCGCAGCATCTCGCAAAAAGGGTACAACCGGGACGTAGGATCCACCGGTGCAGCATGCAGAACTGTAGCAGAACGTGCTCGTGGAAGAGCATTCAATGACTCGAGGGAGATATTGAATGGTCGAGGCATGGTCTGCGAGGCCATAGTAGTAGGACCAGTAGCCTCCTGCGCAGTATCAAACTCGCCATCATCACAAGATTCAGGAAGAGATGGAGGCAATAGCTGTTCTGTCCTCCCCTTTCTTGATCTGATCCTTTCTGCCTTCGCCCCCGCTTCGTGCATCATCGCGACTAGGTCTAGTGACTGGAAGAACTTCAGGGCTTCTTCGAACCGTTCTTTCGAAGGAAGGCTCATGACGCCCAGGGTAAGGTGGAGTGTTCCCACGGGTCGCAATGCACTATTTGGAATGAGCGGTCTTCCTTGGTCGATGCTGGCTTGTTGGGAACCATATTGGCCTTGTTTTTGCTGCGCCGGTGATGCGGGAATAGCTGCTCTGAACGTCGCAAGAGACGATTCGAGCTGCGGGAGAGAGATGGAGTTGACGAGCGGTAGACAAAGGAAATGGGTGAGTTGAGATTTCTTTTCTTTGTGTTGAAGAGGCCGGAAGTTTTCTCGAGGTTTGTTGTTTGTCTTCGGCTTTTCTTGCTCGGACATGGTGTGGAATGCTTGGTGGTGATGGTAATGACGATGATGAAACCGGCCGTTGTAATGTGAGGATTGCAATAAGAGAACAGGCCTCTTAGGCCTGAGGAATTTCAGCATTAATCAATCGTGTATGAGCAGGGAAAATATCTTTGAACGAATAATAACAAATGTAAATAAAATTAAGAGTTAGTCTGGAGCAAAGAAAGAAGCGATGATGTTACTTGAGCAATGACATTTGTGATCCGCACTTCTTCCTCCGCAGCTTTTTGACCTGCTTTCTTCTCTTTGCATTGCCAACTGCCACCTTTCTACTCCATATTTCCAATCAAATTCTCTAAATAGCCATTTCTACACAATCCACCATGCTTCCCCGCGCCCCTCGAGCCCTCCTCTCCGCCCTGCGCCCATCCCTCCGCATCAGCCGGATCCTAGCACCAGCCGCCATCCACCCTCAAGTTCCCCAACAATCCCAACTAATCCTTCGCCAGAGCTTCCACTCCTCCCCTATCACCCGCAAGGGCATCCACCCCGAATCCTCCGAGCCCCCGGCCCCGAAGCCGCAGTCTCACAATGTCGCCGGCGCAGCAGTCCATATCACAGAGCCGACGCCATTGACGGATGCGCAGTACTACGAGTACTCGGAGCATTATCTTGAGTCGCTGCTGAATGAGGTTGAGCGGACGGCGCAGGAGGACGCCTCGGATTTGGAGGGGGAGTATAATGTGCGTTACGCCCCATCCAATCTATGAGAGCGTTGAGGGATTGACATGCTAATGTTTGTGTGTTATTGCAGGCCGGTGTACTGAACATCATCGCCCCCGGTATTGGCACCTTCGTCTTGAACAAGCAACCCCCGAACAAGCAGATCTGGCTTAGTTCCCCGATTTCCGGGCCCAAGCGGTACGACTGGATCGTTGAAAGCGAGGGGCAGAATGAGAAGCAGGGAACTCGGACTACTGTCACTGGGCAGTGGGTTTATCTGCGCGATGGGTCGAACTTGACGGATTTGTTGAATTCGGAGTTGGGGTTGAATTTGTCCAAGGATATTTATAGCGAAGAGTTATATTAGGCAGAGCGGATGGACTGTATTATCTACACAGGAAAATGAATTGATCTTATGTATATCGGTTGTTGATTCCAATTTCATGTCATGACGAAATATACCAGTATTCTCTCGTGGATGGTGTGGCTGATTGCGTCCGAGCCCATTCATCATATATTTGTGACCATGATTACAATCAAACCCATATCTATCCCAGCAACCTGTTCGGTGGCAGGCTGGTCGTGGCCAGGCCACATCAAGCAATATCCAGTATCCCAATCCCAATTTCGTCGAGACGCGCACGGCGCAGTGGAGGATAACCAGACGGGATACAAATCCCTGTGACCATTGCCAGTCTTCTCGCGACGTAGATCTTGCGGCCCTCACACCTCGAGTGACCCAATCCCGAACTTGTTATTTACAAGCAAGAATGGTTGTTTGCCGTCTTTAAACCGGGTGTAGCGTCGTCCGGTTTGTATGTTTCGTCGGACCGTCGTAAAATATAGTCTCGTGAATAATCACGCCTTAGGAAGATCGGCCTGTCACATCAAACCACTCATTAGCTTCGCCCTTCACATATCCCACTTAATCCAGAAAAGGAACCAACCTCATCAAAAATAACCCTAATCATCAAACTACAACTCGGACACACAGCGATCTCCTCCCCATCTCTCAAATCGTCAATGCAAATCTCGAACCGATCGCCGCAGGGACATGGATAGTGGTAGATTTGGAGGTTGGGGTCGAAGGTCATGTCTTCGATTTCGATCTCGTCGTAGATGGAGAGGGAATCGTCGGCCATTTTGATTCTTTTGATTTCTTCTATTTCTCCTGATTGTTTCTTCCAACGGGCTGTCCTGGTTGATGCTTGTCTGGTGACTGGTTTAGATATCTTGGTGGCGCTGTCGCAAAAATTTTGGAGCAGGTCATGTGACTGCGGGGGTGCCTTATCAGATCTGCATATCATCTGGATTGTGTGCCTGAGGATGGATGTACATCCCATTGAGGGTATCGAAGAAAAACAGCAGGAAAAAAAAGTATCTACTTCTCTAAACTCTTCATCTCCATCTCCACCGCAACAATTTCCTTGATCACACTAGCATACTGTTGTGCAATATCACCGAGTAGACCGGATCCAGACTCCCCATTCAACTCCTCCGTGGCAAGTTCTCGTCTCTCTTCGAACTGTTCGCGCACCGCCTGGAGATGTTGATTATATCGCACAAGGGCGGAAATCGTTTCGGGGGTGTATATGGTAGATCCAATGTCTAGTTTCATCACGCTTTTCAGGGTTAACCTTGCTCATCCAAGACAATATTGAGAACGGTGTATGGACTAACTTCAACTTCCCCTCAATACCCTGCGCAACCGTAGCCAAATGCTCAGCCTTAGACTTCATAGCCCTAGACAATGCCCCATGCTTTGCACGCTCCAACAGCACAACCGTCCGCTCTAACACCTGCGCCCTCATCGCGAGTACCTCCGCAGCGGTCGCGGCCATCTGCTTCCTTGCCGTGGGTAACTCCGACAATTGAGCCTGACGTAGCTGCCGCAATCGCTCGCCAAGTCGTGGGTTCAGCAGCGCCGGCTGTGTAGGTCTAGTCGTGGCTTGCCACGTACGGACTCGAGGGGTTCGCGGAAGATCTTTGGATTCCGCAGTGGACGGGTCGGTGTCTGTTATGGCTCGGAGGTCGTCGACGGCAGATGCGAGGGCGTTAGAGAAGGAGGGGATGAAGACTGGGATGTTGGTGTAGAATGCTTCGATGTCTGGAGCGAGGAGTGAGGATACCTCGCTGCTTTCTATGCCATTACCGGGGTCGTCGGTATCTTTACCGACCTGGCCTCGCGGAGTCTCTAAGTAGAGCACGATTATAGCGACGATATCTCGGTACTATACCACCCCCCGATTTTCGTGCAAAAGTGAGTTTCCGATCTTCCACAAAGAATACTCGATCAATGGTAGGAACTGACCTCATTTGCCAACCCACTCTCCGGATCAAACGCCAACCGCCTCAACGTCTGTTTCTCAATCTGCCTTTTTGCATGTCGTATGCGACAATTCTTCAGGTCCTATTTAACATCGCAATAAGAGATTCCGCATCAATAAGTCGCAATAATCATGGCTTGCTGCTGCGTACTTCCAGGACTTCTTGTCTGGCCGGTTGCGCATCGTTTGCGCGTGTGGACCCATCGAGGTTGAGGACGGTAGTTGTCAGTTGTTGGTACAGTTTTTTGAATTGGGGATTGCTTTCGAGGATCGTGGGATCGCAGGGAGGGATCATTGCGGTTATTGCTATGTTTGGATGATGTGGTTGTTGATGCGGAGGTTGAAACCGTCATCTTGACTCCGCACACCGCCTAGACTTTCTCTACTCATACTTTTCGGTGTCTATAGAACTTCAGTTTACAGAAGTGGACCGTTTTTGTTTGATATACTTCACTTCCATTTCACATTCACATCGTAATCATACATACATTCAGTGCCATCCAAAACCCACAGCAAGAAAATCAACATAGCGACTATTCATCGCATGGGCATGGCGACAAATGATAAAAAGACAGCGGTTCCAATAAATCCATCACTCACTGCTCTCCTTCCACATTCCGAAAATAACTTCCACAATGTCTCAACTTCTTCGAACGTCCCCATAATGACATCTTCAGACAGTCGTCACATTATTCTCCCTGTCTTCTGTATCAAATACCCACACGCAAGAAAAGGGAAATAAGACAAGCCTGAAAGCTGAAGAATGCTTCTCAAAAACACGATGGCCAAGCCATTTGCTGGTTGGCGACGAATCCACGAAATCGCATGAGTACTGAAAGAAGCGGAGATAGGTGCGGTAAAAAGAGAAAAAAGAAAATGAAGAGCACGAAGATGATCATATATGTACAAGAGGATATTCAGAACAAATCCGCTTGAGTACGCAGTACACTTCAATAAAGGTATCGCGTGGCAGCAAGAGATATGCAGAGCAGACCCCATTATTAGTGTAGAAGAAAGACATAAGAGGAAAACGGCAAAAGCTGAAGGCTTCTAATTGACTCGGATCACTCGAGAGTAATAGAGCGAAGTTAGAACAGAGAATACATAGCATCTTAAAGCAAAAAGCTGCATTGCATTGCATTTATTCTTCCTCGCTCTCTTCGGAATCATCATCTGAATCATCGCTACTCTCATTCGGTTCGACAGAGGGAACCGGATCCGGCGATTGACCGCCGCCACCCTCAAAGCGCGACAAGTTGTTGGCAAGCATGTTAATTTGTGCTTCTTGCTCGTATTTGCTCATCGGCTTATTCTTCTTGGGCTTCGGGCCAGCAGGATTGTTCGAGATAGCGGGCGCGGGCTCATCGTCATCCTCCATAACATGCGGAGCGTTCTTCCTGACGAACTTGAGCAGCATCAGCAGAACATCATTGGGAAGCTCATCGATATCCAGCTCGATCTCAGTCTCTTGGGTACCCTGTCGTAAATTAAGTTAGAACATGTGTTGGAAAATAAGAGAGGCGGGAGACATACCTTGAGAGCCGGAACGTTGCTTTGGATAATCTTAAGCGCCTCCTGCATTTTCTTGTCGGGAAGACTACTGATGCCATTGGAGATGAGCTGCTTCTCATGGTAGGTAACGAAACGCTGCTTCTCAGGCTTGGGCTTGGAACTCTTCTTGTCCTTCTTGCCAATGGAGATGGACCCGCTCTTCTTCGGATCCTTCTTTCCAACAGGCTTCGACTTGCCAACCTTCTTCGATCCAGGCGGGGTCTTCTTTTTTTTCTGGGTAATCGCTTCAACCTGACGGGACATTTCCGCAATCTGCTTCTGCAGTAGGGTGAGTTTTTCGGTGTCCTCATCACTTTCTTCCACGTCTTCATCACTGTCCTCGTCAGAGGAGTCGAGACTTTGTTGCTCGTGTTGAGGCTCATGAGCTTCAAGATAGCGAGTCTTTTGCGCCCACTTGTTGTTGAAAACCTCCTCGAGTGTCTTTCCGGCCATAAAGGTCGGATCACCAGGAATGTTGAACTTGAAGCAATTCTTGAAGATCTGACGCATGTCTGTTTCGAAATCCTTCGCATTTTCATATTCGCCGGCCTTAAGCTTAGCCGTCATGGTTCCGAGATCCATCGGCTTCTTGATGATGCTGTGGTAAGTCGGAATATTTAGCGCGACAGGGTCAACCGGGTAGTAGAAAGGCATGGCGTAATTGAAGTGCTTGTGTTTGTAAACTTCATCAAGAACTTCTTGGCAGAATCTCAATTCCCACTGGAACTTCTTCTTTTTCGGCTTCGTAGAATATGGAAGATCCCGTTTGGGGGGGTGGATGGAGCGCTTAGGACGTCCATCGGCGGTGGTCGAGTCACGGCGGATAAGAGGCAACCCTTCAGGGCCCAGAGCGAAAGTCGTTGCTTGGGGAGACCCGGTTGCACGTGGACCAGACAGGCTGGGCCGTGCCTGCGGTCGAGCGACTGTGGTCTTGGGAGATCCCTTCTTGGACTTCTTTTCCTCGACCTGGTCCCGCCGGGGGAGATTGACCATCTGTTTATCGAAAGTGGCCTTGAGCTTCTGACCCTCTTGGGCAACTAAGTGATCCGGACCATTAAAAGTCATGGCGTTCTGGACCATTAGGTAGAAGTCGTCAATGACGTTTTGTGCGGTGGGATACTCATTGGCCTTCAATCTGCGCTCAATGGTTCCAAGGTCCATAGGACGTGTAATGAATTGAGGGTAGTGAGGAATGTTCATCTTAATTGGATCAACAGGTTCCCGGTAGAATCGCGCGTCGTTCATACGCTTCAAACTCTGGATTCCTTTCAAGAGAAACTTGTGTTGCATCTTGGTCATGGTCCTACCCTCGTTGGCTGGCGGCGCAGCAGAAGCATCTGTGGCAGGCGTAGGCAAGTTTGCAGCACCCGTGTCATTCGAAGCGGGAACGGGAGCCGGAGTAGGTGCTGCACCTTCAGTAGCAATTTTTGTACGCTTCGCAGCTGGCTCATCGCCATTGTCCGGCTCACGTTCTCTGGAAATCTTGGTCGGAGAAGCTGGAGGTTCCGGTGCGTCCTGCATCTCCTGGTCGTTGGTCTGTGGTTGATTACTAGTGACATCAAAACTAGGCGCACTGTCCAGCTTGGTATCAACGGAAGGGTGATGAGGGAGTTCAGCCTTCACTGTGGTCGAATCCTGTTGGTGCTTAGTTGTCTCTGGATTATCTTCCACCTTTACTTCCGACGAAGGCTCCGCTGCGGGCTTTGGAGCGTCTTGTGGTGCTGGAGCTTCCTTCGGAGCCGTGCTGTCCGCATCAGCATCATTAGACGAATCTTGAGAAGCTGGCTGTTTGACAATGGGTTTTTCCTCAGCAGGTTCCTTCTTGGTCTCATCTGTTGTCGCAGCTTGTTCCATGTTCGAAAGTTTTGCGTCTTCGGCCGGAGGAGTTGCCTGGGGAGCGACTGGAGGGACAGCTGTATCAGTAGCGGGCTGGGCGGAAGACTCGGAGTTGGCGCCGTTCGTTGTGGCGGAATTGGCGACACCATTCTCAGTCGCACCATTAGGGACATCGAGCTTGGAATCAGTCACTGGAGGAGCTTGCGCGCTGAAAGCAGTGCGTCAGTGAATAATTCCCGCGGACTGACAACACGGGCTGGCAAAGGTGAATACATACCCTGTGACAACATCGGGAGACGATATTCCATTTGGCGACGGCGGCAGTTGAGGCTTCTCCTCCTTTTGAATGGAGGGAGCCTCGGCAGGCGGCGTCGCCATTGAGAGCTCTGGGTGTGTATGAAGAAAGATCTTAAAACCCCTCCAGTAGAAAGCGTAGAAAGAAGAAAAGGAAGCCGGAATACAAGGACTCTAGTAGGACACAGCGACACAAGCGATAAGCTCGACTCAGCTATCGAAGAGTGAGAGAGATTAGGAAGTGACAACAGCAAGACTGAACTGGAATAGGTACTCTCTGCGCTATTATCACAGACTAATAGAATCGAATTCTCCGTCGAGCGAAAATAAGAAACGGAATATAGAAAAGAAACCTGATTAGATGACAGAAACCAAGGTCTCCAGCGCTGGTTGTTGTTATTTTTCTGAGGGTCGCCAGAGCCCGAAGAGATACAAAAAGAGAAGAAAGAGTCGCAGAGTGGAGAATGCGACAGGAAAGCGAATTTATATTGCCAAGAGGCGGTCAGAGACGAATCACGTGGGCGACGACAGTGGCAAGCTCGATGATTTGCCGGAAGAGGAAAGAAGAGTGAGCAAGGTCAGGTGATCATCAGGCAAGGATGCAGCAGCGACCACAAGAGAAGAGTGAATGCCTCAGGCTTTCAAGATGAGAGAGGGAAAAAGAAAACAGGATCAGCCACTCCTGCAGGCACTGTGGCTGGAGAAAAAAAAATTAAGGGAAGATGACGACGTTGATAAGAGTAGGTCAGGGGCACAGACAAGAGAGCGCGACGCGACGCGTTGTTATGTAAGCGGTAAAATAAAAAGGGTAACCGAGGATACCAGGGGAGGGGGAAGGGGGAACAAATAAAAAAAACACTCTCTCAAGACAAGAGAAAAATCGGAGGGGGTGCGAGAATGCTTAAGTACGAGCGCCCGCGTCGCGCTCGTCCGCCCTCTGCCGCTAGCCCCATCAGTCGCGCTATTCCCGATTGTTCTAGTTCAGGCCATTTAGCAGTTTCTTATTGGCTACATGATGACGCGTTCTACGGGTACACGTTAATGATTGGTTGATGTTAGCCCCACTGGCGGGTACCGGAATCTTTCGTAGTCGAGAGCGGTAGTCATCGTTTTTTTTTTTTTTACTTCGTAAAAAAGTTCTTTCACCTTCGTAGCTTCAGCTGGGTATGCACGGTGTGTCAAGATAGTTGCAAAGAAAACCGTTGAATCACATCAAACAGTGCCCCGTGTATCACCGACCAACGAGCGAGGGTGATCAAAATGACATACCCGAAAAGACGGATACCAGGCATTCATGTAAGAGTGGTGACCCAAATGCACTCCTGACCGTCACAACCCAGGGTTGAGCCCTAAACCCTTCTCCTTACTTCCGATCGGGTCTAGGGTCAAGCCTGTCACACTGATGCAACCGCCCTTGGACGCTCCACCCGCCAAGGCATAAACCAGAATTTGGTCATGGCACGCGATTAGGATTCCCAATGCTGCCGGAAACTTAAATGTAAACATCACATCAAGCGGTATCCATCCAACTCCATTGATAGGGATGCTAGGTTCCACAAGTATCTCCGTTTGATATTCTCGTCAAGCGATCTGCACGTACGAAGTACGGTGCATTTCATATCCGATAGGTTGTATTCAACGAATTCGCTAGTCGCTGCTGTAGAGTAACAAGCGTTGGCGGAATCGGTTGTTCATAGTTCTCCGTAATAATCCGAAGTTTGCAATGTTGTACTCTGCAGAGGCCACCGTTTACCTCCTGATACACCCTGCTTCTTAATCAACCAAACGAATATGCCAATTTAAGTTGTTTGCAAAGACGCCACCATATCAGGGACCTGAGGTGTGGACAATGCGCAAAGGTGTCATCTCGAGAGGAAGTCGTAGAGCAATGTTCTGAACCTGCGGCTAGAGTTGGAGGATCTGTTAGCATTGGCGCATGCCATGGCCGTTGGCATTCCCGACGACTAGCACACTATAGTGGCATTTCAATGACAATAGTCACGGCGTCCAAGTTAGCCACATTCCGACGATTGGTTAGCAGGACATCAAAACTAACAGCAACAAGAAGACTGTTGCTGGTTAGACAAGAGATAATGCTGACTGGAGCACAATTGACACATTGACACATTGGAACTGAAATGTGTTTGCATCGACCACAGCAGTGCCCCAGCAATCTGATATGAATGCTTTGTTTTAGGAGATGATGGTTCACACTCCAGGCGGAGAGAAGAGACACCGTGATTACTTAAGCAGAAACGGAGCTCCCCAGGCCGCTAAACCGCATTAGGATAAGCGTGTCTACAGCCTTTTACAGAACTTTTTTTTTTTTTTTTCCCGGTCCTCAACATCGACACGGACGACGGTCTGCAGCTTTTACCCCCATAATATTCAGCATTTCTAGTCAAATCAGGGCTAGCGTCATCTTACCGTCCAGTCTCTATTTTTGCGACTCATTTTATTCCAAGTTGGTCGCCTGTTTTCGCGGATTTCGTACAGAAAAAGATGGGCAAGAAAGCCTCTCGGGCGCCGGCCTCGAAGACATCTTCGGCCGCAACGCCAGCGGTTGCCAGTCAAACATACACGGGAAATAAGTCTTCGGTTTTGCGAGCTGCTTTTGCGCCATCGGAGTATCAATTGGCCCTTTTTGCGTCCGTTATCCAGGGTCTCGACGCCCAACACCTCCGCATCCATGACACAAACACGGGACGATTGCAGTGCGAACATGTGCTAGCTCCGAAGGAAACAATAACGTCGCTGGACTGGGGTTACTATCCGGGCCGCCAGCAAAAGGACCAGCAGTCGAAGAAGAAGAGGAAGCGCCCTTCCGACGTTAATGGAGCCGGTGGATCCGATCTGGGCGATGTGGTTGTTGCGTTTAGTACAAGTTCCTCCGACGTTCGGATGTACTCGCCTGCTGAGGACAAGATTGTGGGATCGCTTGTGAATGGACACGAGAAAGGTGTTAAGGAATTCAAGTTTACTGCTGGCCGGTCGAACCAGGAAGGCTGGAGTATCGGAGGTGACAACAAGCTCGTGCAGTGGGACCTATGCACCAGTCAAGTTCAAAGGTAGGCATGACATGATCACTCTTTGAAAACAACCGTCACCTAATAGTTTGATTCAGAACGATCAACCTCCCAACTACATCGACATTTACCTCTCTTTGCCGCCCATTCCCTTCTAATCCTCCCGTCATCTGCGCCTCTCAGACACCATACATCATCAATATCGAAAACGATGAATCTCCGATTGCATTCCCTGCCATGCGTAATACGATCCAAACAATCATCTCCTCTTCGACGGACTCGCCTACAGGGCTCTTCCTTGCCTCCGACAAAGATCGTTACATCAACGTCTTCGACTCCAAGACCCATAAGCTCGTTCTTAATCTTGTGGCAGACAAAGAGGTCTCCTCATTATCGCTGTACGCCGGTTCAGACAAGCAGACGTCTTTGGAAAAACAGGTTCTCGCAGCTGTGACGGAGGACGGCACAATTGAGCTTTTCACGAAGCCTTTCGTTCAGGCTCAAGGATCAAAAGAAACTACTAGTCTCAAGGCTAAGGGAAGACAGATGACTCGAAGAGCCGATGCTTCGATTCAAATTACTCGCTCAGAAAACTCGGATGCTCTTGTCTCTGTGGTGGCTGCGTCCATCCAGGGATCCGATGTGGTGATTGCTTATGCCGAAGGCGGTGTTATTCCAGTGTTTGAACGGATCAGGTGGCAAAACGAAGAGACTGACGAGCTCTCATTTACTGGTACGAAGAAGGTACCGAAGACCAAGTCAAGCAACTCCGTACTCGCTTCGGTATCTACAAACAAGGCGAAGAACGCAGGTGAAAGTCAGGTCGATGAGTCTCGGGCCATTGTTAAGCAAGGAAATATCGCCGGTGATGATGATGATATTGAAATGCAAGACACCAAGCAGGGTGATGTGTCGGAGTCCGACAGTGAGGAGGAAAACTCGGATGAGGAACAAGAACCCAAGAAGTCGGACGAAAAGAAGGACACCCCGAAAAAGAAGGTGAACGACAACGATGTCGAAATGCAGAACGCATCTGGCTCAGACGAGGAAGATGGAGAAGAGGAGGAAGAGGAGACAGGCGAGCCATCATTCGGTGAGCTAATGCGGGCAAACGCATCGGAAGAAGTCGACGTTGAGGCCGAACTAGATGACGAAGTTGGAATGGGCGCTTTGGTACCGGGTAAACCTAATGCGACCGTCCAACAAATCCCCACTGGTGTCTCCCTCTCCACCGTCCTCACCCAGGCCCTCAAGACCAACGATAGCGGTATGCTCGAGTCATGCTTCCACACTGGCGACCTCTCCATCATCCGGACTACCATCCAGCGTCTCGACTCCTCGCTGGCAGCTACCCTTCTTCAAAAACTCGCCGAACGCCTTTCTTCGCGTCCTGGCCGGTATGGTCACCTTCTCGTGTGGGTGCAGTGGACATGCGTGGCACACGGAGGTGCTCTTGCCGGTAAGCCCGAGCTTCTGAAGCGTATGACTACGCTGTTTAAGGTGATGGACCAGCGCTCCTCGAGCCTGTCCTCGTTGCTCCTACTCAAGGGCAAGCTCGACATGCTCGATGCACAGCTGAGCCTGAGACAATCCATCCGCAGCAACGCGGAGGGCATGGACAGCGAGGATGAGGACAATGTTATCTACGTTGAGGGACAAGAGGACGAGGAAGACGAGGACAGCGATGTGGAAGCCAAGAACGCAGCCACGCCGCGAACGAAATCGATACGCGACCAAGCCATGGACGATGATGAGTCGATGATCAACGGCGTGCAATCCGGCTTTGATGACTCGGAGAACGACGAAGAAGAGGGAAGCGAGGAGGAAGAGGACGAGGATGAGAACATCCTCGACGTCGAGGCGGAGGAATCCGCCGGCTCTTCGGACGCTGAAGAGTCACTCGAAGAAGACGAAGGCGATGAAGACGAAAGTGCTGAGAGCGAAGGCTCGATTGCTGACTTTGTTGCTGACTCCGAAGATGATGGAGAGTCTGATGTTGAAATGCCCGCGCAACCCCCGCCGTCCAAAAAGGCCAAGGTGCAAGGTAGTGCCAAGGGGAAGAACAAGGGGGGAAGGAAGTAAGATATTCCTTTTTTTAGAGCATGAATGGATATGTAACTTGTGTATTTACCAAGCAACTCACTACCTACCTACTTGCCTATACCCTGTTCTTCTTTTTTCATATATGTAATGCTTTTATTTGGTTAGTCTACAGGGAGAAAGAGAGAGGGTTTTGTTTCATCAAAAGTGACGTCTATTTCATTTCTTCTATGTGTCTATTATTGTTTCAAAATGCAGACCATACTAATGCATCAGCCAGAATTCTTTAACAGTCAAGTTCTCTGAGTATACGCAGCACGGAATTTCTCCAGTCAATGCTAGATAGCGAGTATTAGAAACCATGATGGAGCTATGTTGGCTTTTACTACACGATATCTTCTTCAATGGCCACATCCAGCACCAGATTCAAGAGCAAATTTCGCATGTCTAGTCAACTATGTTATTGATGAGTCAATGAATATGACACCGGCAACTCTGCAAGCAACGAAAAGCTACGATACGAGTATATGCATACTCTCTGCAAATGGAGCACTCCGACATTCTTACAATTGCAACATTATCTTGCCCTCCCGGCCTCTGGAGATAACCAAGACGCTGTGATCCTTGCGGCAGTTTATTTTAAATAAGCGGAATCTTACCTAGGAAATGTTACGGGATTCTTGGATCAACCTGAGCACTGAAGTATAAATATTTCGATACACCCTTACATGCAGTCACCAAAGGCAAACACTACGATCTTGTCTACGAGCTTCTGCAGCATAAAGCTGATGTCAATCAAGATAATATCTTGATGTGAGCCATCTCTGATGACCGTGAGGATATTGCCTACCTGTTAATACAACCACAAAATGGAATCAATACATCCGGTCGTGACTTCGAGTGGTCAATAATATTTTCAATACAGTAGAATTATCACGACTTGGCTTGGATACTTTTAAATAAAGTAACCATTCTTATATCAGGATTTTGGTATTTGCTTTCTGAAGGTCTCTGTGCGGCTTGTCGACTGGGAATGATGGATATTGTAAACCGATTACTTGACAACGCAGGCGATCCGAATGTGACTGGAGCCTATGGAGGAGCATCTTCTCATGTGCCGCTTATTGCCCAGGCTGCGTGGACTGGGCAGGAAGAGGTCATACATCTTTTACTTGAGCGTGGAGCAAATGTCAATTTCCATGGGAACAAAACCATATTCGCAGCAGCATGGGGAGGCCAAATAAATGCCGTGAAAATACAAATACTTATCAATGCTGGACTCTCTAATGCACAGATCGATGTATGTGGATTGCTCACTCGGGCCATGCACAGCATGAAGCCGGAGGCAGCAGAGTTCCTGCGCTTTTTTCAAGAGAGCGGATTGATTGATATCCACCACCTTGACAAAGACCCATCAAGGCAGAGAAGAGCCTTGTTGATGTGTTGGTATATGCTGCCGCAATGGATCGAATCTTGTATGAGTACGGGGTTGATCTAAATATGGCGCACTGTACTCATGGTATGAATGCTCAGCGCTGATTGTCGCCGCAAAGGCGCGGGGCCAGGAAAAGTGGTGGAATATCTGCTGAGCATCCGAGTCAAGGATTTAAATCCGCTTGATACCTGTGTAGCAGATGATTTCAGGAGTGGCAAGTTTCCTGCTGAGCCTGGGCCATTTTCGACAAGCTCCATGCCATATAGAGCTTAATTCTTCATCCATTTTCTCCATAGAGCCTACCGTCTCAATTGGATAAGTAGTAAAACGAACAGCATTTTTTTGTTGCGTCTGGACGTGAGCCAACGACTGCTGTTTATGATAAGAAAGGATTTGCAGCCTTTGGTACCTGCGGCCCCATCGGACCCCCATTACAACGAAACCTCTTCCCCCTTACACGCACCACCATGTAAAATTTGGTGCCCTGGCACCTTATTCCCCTGCAACGGCACTTGCATCGCAACCGTAACCTCATCTGATGGATACTTGGTGATGTGTCCATCACCACTAACCTTGGCCGTATCCAGCGCTAGAATCGCGCCCTCCTTACCACCTCGGATCCAGGCTTCTTTACCAGAGTGCGGGAGGGTGATATGCGCAAGGCCGGAGAGGAAAATCACCCATCTAAATTCATTGTTAACCATAAACATCACGACAGAAGGTCGAGAAAGGGGACGGGAAAGGGAACATACTGCATAGCAGGAGCGTTATGTCTCCCACCGTCAAACTTTGCAGGAAGGACAGAAAACGATGCATTTCCGCTCACGGGACCCAGATTGAGTACTTCAGAGCCTGCGGTGCCAGCTTGGGAGGACTCGGTGAAACCGGGTTCAATGGCCCAGCATTCCAGGGTGGATTTGTTGTTGTGCGCGCCGATGACGGTCACGTTGAGGGTTTTGAAGTCTGGTGCTGTCGCAGTTGCAGTTGCAGCTACAGCTGCGGTGCTTGTGAGGAGGGTTGTGAGGAGCTTGACTGAAACCATTTTGTGGGTGTACTTGAATGTGTATGGTGTTGTAGGAAGTAGTAGGAGAAGGAGAAGGGGGAGAAGGAGAAGGAGAAGGAGAAGGAGAAGGAGAAGGAGAAGATGGAAAGGTCTACGGAGTATTTATCCAGCTGGGCTATGTACTAAATCATTAGTACGGCACTCGGTATTCTTGTTGAGAGGGGATTCCGATCGGATATCCGAACTGTACTGTATTCAGTGTTTTGATCGGCGCGAGATCCATCAGCTGGGCGATCGATATTCCTTAGCATGAACCACGGTTCGCCAACGAAAATAAAACACAATTCATTCTGCAAAGAAAAAAAAAAAAAAAAAAAAAAAAAAAAAAAAAAAAAAAAAAAAAAAAAAAAAAAAACTATTATTCAATTGAACTGTAAAAATAATATGCTGGGTATCTCAAAGAATATCCTATCAGTAACAAACCAATGTCTCTGTACATGCACCGGGAAGAATATTAGGAAAAGGACAGGAAAACAGGACATATATCGGTCCATCCAATCAGCGAATAACCTCGTCTCCAAGCGTTTCAACACCCTCAAACTCCTCAAGAAGCGGACTTCCGCCAAGGGGGCTAGAATCATTTGCCGTCTTGCCGGTTCCACCCCATACCTCATGGAATTTAACCGTCCTATCGGTAGATGCGACGATAATGCAGCCCTCCTCCAACGTGCGTGAACACCACAACCCTCCCTCCTTGGCCTTCGGTTCTACTGGTGTTCTGAGACGTGGACAAAGCACGGTCGACCCATCTCGGCTCATCACGTTCGGAGTACTTGGTCTCGAAGTGTCGAGCGAGCACCTTTCTCTTTCCTCCGGTGTTAAGTAACGCGGACACCCGGGGTAACGAATTGCATAGAGGGCCCGTCCGCACTCAACAAATTCATTGTTCGTCACGCCGTCCCAACTAGTCCCACCAGGACCCCATGGTATTGCAGCAATTTGCTCACAACTGGGCCACGCAAAGACAGCAATCCGAATTGGATGCTCGGGTCGTGCAAACCCAAATGTCGCAACAATCTCTCGGTGGGTGTTGCTCCAGATTAGACTGGTCACTTGAGAGTGGACATCGATCGTGGCCAAACAGGACCCAGACGGCGTGTGAAAGAAACGGATTGTTCGATCATTCGTACCGCCTCCCGTCGCGACAAGAGACGGTTGCCAGGGAGCAAATGCGATGGCCTTTACTGCTGCAGAATGGAATAATCGATGTTTGTGTCTGTTGAGTGGCACAAAAGCCATTTGATCTCCAGAGATCACATTACTGGTATAATTAAGAATGGGTGGCGCCAAGGGACTGAATCGAGATTGAATCCAAGAGGGGATTAAATGACTGATGAGGCGCCGTCCGCTGAATGCATGTTGCACAGTGGTCTGCGAACTGTGGCAAGATACAGCGCTCTGGCATCGCGTCGTAGCAGAATGCTGGGAATGGCAGGAAGACCGTGATTCACATCGGACTTCCTGAGGTTCCTGCGACGGGATAATCTCGCGGAGGTCAAAGAGCAAACAGGAGTTGTCATTTCCACCAGTCGCAAGATAAATGTCGTCGGGAGACCAGGCAAGGCCACAGATCGACTGAGTGTGGGCAGATATTTTAGCAAGCAAGGTCAGGGCTCCGTTCCAGTAGTATCTGTCCCGTACGCTGTTATCTGGCCATTCCACCGAGTAGTACCAGACATTACCGCATTCGTCACCAACAACGAGGTCCTCGACGTCCACCTCGAAGTCGAATTTCTGAGAATATCGGCGCGAATGGGTCGGTTTGAATGATACACACGTAATTGGGTCCGGTTGATCAATCTCAAATCGCACGTTGGTAGTATCGAACGGACTCCACAAGGTCAACGTGCGTTCTCGTCTACCAACAGCCAATATGCTTTTCTCACCATCTTCGGAGGAAAAGGACAGAGATGTCACATAATTTGAGGGGCGTTGTTCTTGGAGTGGTGGATGCAGCAGTCTCAAAGCTTCGTTCCAGAGAAAAACGCGATGACCAAGGCCGACTGCTAGGTATCCTGTGGTGGCTGAATATGCCAAGAGCGAGCAATAAAAATCATCGCGAAGATGGGGAGCATCCAATATCCGGAAAGGCTGAGTCGGTACGGCTTTCTCATTGTGATCTCTGGTTGCTGCCTTTGATCCTATAGAATTTGATAACGGTCAGTTACGCTGCAATATGGATAATAAAGCATGGTATCATGTTTCTTTCTCCACAATAGACGCCTTATTACCCAAGCATGAATGCAATTGTATAGCAAAATACAATCACATGCCTCCCAGGTGGACCATCTCACTGAGTTTGTACTCTTCACGTAGATACCATTTTTTAGGACTGTGGCAGGAGTGGAATGTTTGAACTTACCCTGATCTCCATCTGTTCTTATCCAAGCACCATCTTTCCAAACAGAAGGAGAAAATCGGTCATGGCCAAGGGAGGATGGGCTTGATGTGGCCTCGGATGGCGGGCTCAAGTTGCATGTGTTGAGTAGTCGTGATGCAGGGTCGATCTCAAGCGCAACCGCTAGACGAGACTCGTGTCTCTCAGGCGCCTCGGGTAATGTAGGCTGCGAGAAGAACTCGGCAATATGCATAGGAGCAGTCGTTCCACTGTTTAAAAGGCCACCATTACCATCAGGTACTGCCACAGATGGCTGGTTACCTTGCGCTGCTGATCTGCCCCCAACGTTCCAAACAGCCCCAAAGCTCACTTGTCTACCAGCACTCCTGGTCCTTTGCATATTAATTGAACCCGCGATAACCGAGTCATTGACCAGATGGGGACTGTAGTGAGGGCTGCGTACGTGTTGAGGGCCTCGTCTCGGGCTTATGGGCCTCATTCTGCGAGCGGGTCGAAATGGATCCACCCGTTTCGAGCGTCGTCGTAGAAGCTTTTCGTCAGGTGATAGTTCGCGAGGATGTTTAGACACCTGAAACGATGTTGAAGGAGGGTTTGTGAATTCTCGTTGGGGAATGAACCGGTCTGGAGACATTGGGCTTCTCGACTGCTTCATGAGGCGTGCGTTTGCATAGCGTCTCGTCTTGCGACGACCTCTGTCTTCGGAAATATTTGCATCACGCAGCACGTGCTCTATTGATGGTAGATTGCTGGGGATGCGGCCCGTTTGGCGTCTGCTGTTTTTGCTCAGCGATATTTCAAAGACGTCACCAGTATCCACAGGTGTCATCCAAAACGGTCGATACGGGTGCACACTGATATTTGGAGGAGAAGGGGAGAGCCCTGTCTCGGGTATCGGGGTTGCAGGTCCGGATTCATCTTCGCTTGAGCTATCCCTTATAAGCTCGGGAGGAGTTGAAGGACTGATTGGGGTGTCGAAAGTAAGACCTTCCCAGGAATAACCTCTCGAGTGTGTTGCTTCCGCAAAGGAAGGCATTGGAGTTTGCTGTGGATAGACGGAATGAGCAAGATAGTACTATGTAGTAATGGCCGGCAAAAGCGCTGTGAGCCCTGGACAATTGGAAAAGAGCGTTAACTGGGCCAATCGGCAGCACTCTGGGCCATAAAAAGAATGCTATAAATTTGCGAGCGTTTAGAGAATAGAAGAGCCTCCCTGTAGACTCTCAGAAAGACCGTGAGATGGAAAAGAAAAGGAAAACTGGCCTAAATAGGAAAGCGTTGTAGATAAATGCACGTGACTGCGGAGGAGGCAGTCACGTCCCCTGTCCCGGTAACTCTCCCATATCGTGAATGGGCCAGAGAAAAACCAGTGTTATTTCCCCAGAAAATATACAGGACATCAGGTCACAATGGCTAGTGTAAGGCCTCACATATCCTTATTGCGTTTCTCGATTAACGATGGTTGCGGCAGCATGGTGTTCCCCGCCAACGCTCCGTAGAAGAGCGGTCCCAAGAAGCCCGTCAGCAAGAGATTCGCAAGATCGAGAAATATCAGGAGTTGGATCGGTCAGTCCATGATAAGGTGACTAGATTTACATTTATGTGGTTTTACAGAGTCACTGATTGATCGTGACCAGATTGATCAGCACCAATATACACCGGAAACCCTCCAGAATATCTCCGAGTTGCTGAGCAGCAACCCTGAGTACTATAGCGTGTGGAACTATCGACGGCAGGTTCTGCGACATGAATTCTCGCAAGCAGCATCGTCCGACCCAGAAGATGCAGGCATTGGTCGGATAGTGGATCTCATTAAGAGCGATTTGCTGTTTCTGATCCCCCTCCTTCGCAGTTTTCCCAAGTGTTATTGGATTTGGAACTATCGTTTATGGCTGTTGGAAGAAGCCAAGCACCTTCTCCCTCTCCCACTCGCGCGGAGGTTATGGCAAGAAGAATTGGCGCTTGTTGGTAAGATGCTGAGCTTAGACAGCAGAAACTTTCACGGTTGGGGGTATAGGCGCTTCGTGGTCGAAACACTGGAGACATTGCCATCAGAGGGAACGACAAGGAAGACCATGGCGCCAGAGGAATTTGAATACGCAAAGAAGATGATAGGCACCAATCTCTCCAATTTTTCGGCTTGGCACTATCGGACGAAACTGATTCAACGGCTTCTAGATGAGAACTCTGCTAATGACCAGGAGCGGAAAAAGATGCTCAATGATGGTTTGTTAATCGTTTCCCGAAAGAAGTCTTTTTATATGCTAATGTCACGGCAACAGAGTTGGATCTAATCCACCGCGCTCTATGTGACCCGTACGACCAGTCTCTTTGGTTTTATCACCAGAACATAATGTGTACTTTTGATCCGTCGCTAGCGGGATCGACCATGGCGCCCAATCTAAGCACCTCGGAGCGTTTAGAATATGTGCAGCGGGAGATCGACGAAATTCAAGAGCTGTCAGACGGAGCGGAGGACTGCAAATATATCTACCAGGGATTGATTGACTGTACTCTACTGATGTGCAAGATCCAAGGGACGATGCCCAGTGGAGAGCAAAAGAAGAATATCTTGAGCTGGCTCTCAGAACTAAAAAGGCTGGATCCACTACGGCAAGGACGATGGCTGGATTTCGAAAGGTCGCTAGAAAAGACCAGCAAAGACACCTGACGCAAAGACTCGCCTCTCAATCAATTATCTCAAGCAATGGAATGCAGGACGGTCGCACATAGACGCCGTATCCTGTACACATCCTGCGGGCTCCGTGCATATGGAAATCTCTCTTGAAGACGCGTTAAGTGGCGGGAAGCAACTGTTATAGGGATCCTTAGATATGGAAGATTATTATACGAATTAAATAATTCTTCCTGTATTGTATTCTAACAAGAGAGAAGCCTCTTCAAATCTCCTTGTCAGCATCCCCTATGCACACCGATAAGTGTAGACCGTAAAATACTAAGCTTGTCCCTGAACCGCCGTTGAGTGGGCGGTGGGCCTCTTACAGCCAATAAAAATCCGCCATACCCCGTTTCTGCCGTCCTCCATGTTCCGCTATAAAGCAAAACGACAACCGCCGGTCATAAACAACAACCAAAATAAACCCGATCCCTTCAAACGATTCGAGTCGTTTAGATTATTGACTTGTGTGCCGTCGAGATATACAATTGTTTGATATTTGCATCCCTTGTTGCGACCGGTAGCATTTTCGCAGCTATTTTCTTCCTCCCTCTTGCCCCTGCGGAGTTGCTGCTTCCGCCGGGTCTCTTCCTTCGTTCTCCGGGGTCTCTTCCCCTGGTCTTCCTTCCCATGGATGACTGTTACGATACGTAGACATTATACGGTCTTTGGAATTGAGTTCCTCACACTTTCTTCTGTCGTCGTCTGATTGAGATTCCGCTGCTCCAGCTGGTCGGGTTCAGCATGTCTTCGTCCAGACGCAACAGCAGGGAATATGAAGGGGTAAGCGCTAAGCGAGAATTACTGAGAAACATAAAAGCTTATAAAATTCGTCCATCAGGAATCCTACGATGACGCTTCGGAATCACATCACCGTCAAAATGAACTTACAGTTACCATCCCTCAATCGAATTCGACACGTTCCTTGACAGATAGCCCTCCGAGTGGAACGGGAGCAACACCGCAATTCAGCGAAGCCCCTTCCTTCCCACCAGCTCCCCATCAGAACGAGGTGGAGGATAAAGCAAGCGACGAAAAAATGGATGAGATTGATTCGGAAAATGCGGTATCAGATTCGGAGGAAACTCCCCGGAAGAAAAAGTCCCAGAAATCCCCCTTGTTGACCGCTCATCGCCTATCTACCACCTCCCTCGACGACGTGAACTTGACTGGGAACAAAGAGGACGAGGCTGTGGTTGACGGAATGGGCCAGGAGCCCAACACAAATACTCCGCCCGAGCATTCGACGGAATCTCCTGTCCAGGGCTCACGTCTTCAGGGCTTGTCTGGAACTCTCCCATCCGTCCCATGGGGACCTCCTCCAGTCAATAAGAACCCCCCTCCCCCTCCTGCTGCTGCCGCTGCGCCGCCGCCGCCTCCGACCAGAAAATTAACCAGCCCATTCGCATGGCTTTCGCGAAGCTCGACGTCAAAAGAAACCAAGTCTCCGCCGCAGTCTACGGACGGCAGCCGCAGAAACACCGCTGCCTCGGTGTCTACGGTCAACAGCAATCCGGAACTGGCCGGCCGATTCGGAGAATGGGATGATGCACGTGGTTCGAAACCTAGGAGCAACAGCCTGAAAGACCAATTCAGATTGCTGAGATTGCGAGAGGAAGCCGCTGCCGTTTCGGAGAATGGAGAGGCAAACGGAACCTCGGGACAATCTGACGGCCCTCCCAGCGTCCCAGAACAAAGCGAAAATGATGCCTTCACTTCACCACCATCAGCGACTACTACATCTCCGCCAAATGTGCCGCCCACAGTCAACCCCAACCTCGCTCCAGGAACAGTCTCGGGATACTCTACCTCCGCAAGTGATGCGTCTGTCCCAGTCGACTGGGAGTTATGGCAACAACTGGTAAACCATGGACCACAGGCTTTAAGTAGCTCCGAGGCACTGAACGCTGCTATCAAGCGTGGTATCCCGCAAACCATCCGCGGGGTAATTTGGCAAGTTCTGGCTGACAGCAAGAATCTTGAACTCGAGGAAGTCTACAGAGATCTTGTTGTCCGGGGCACTGATAAAGAAAAAGAGCGCCATAGGAACTCCAACGGTCAGGTCAACGGCGAAAAGGAATCTCTGTTCTCGTCACGTTCTTCTGTTCGATCAGACAACTCCGCCTCTGGTACTCATTCCAATAACGGATCGTCGCCCAGTCCCACCCAAGACCCTGATGCTGAGAAGCAGGCCAAGGAGCAAGCAGTAATCGACGCTGCCAAGAAGAAGAAAGCAAAGGATGATGCTCTTGCTCTCCAGAAACTGGAGAAGACTATTCGAAGAGATTTGGGTGCGCGTACCAGTTATTCCCGGTACTTCGTCTCTCAAGGGAACCAGGAAGGGCTGTTTGGTCTTTGTAAGGCGTATGCCCTATATGATGAGCAGGTTGGGTACGCTCAAGGGATGAACTTTATCGCCATGCCATTGTTATTCAATGTAAGTTTCCGCAAAGTCATCTTGAGCGTCTGAAGAAAGCTGATCGAGTACCACAGATGGACGAAGTTGATGCATTTTCGCTACTCGTCAAACTTATGAACAAATACGGATTGCGAGAGATGTTTGTTCATGACATGCCAGGCCTACACCGCAGCCTTTTCCTGTACGAGCGTCTGCTAGAAGATGTGGAGCCAGCTGTTTACTGTCACCTACGCAGGCGTGGTGTCCCACCGCAGCTTTACGCAACGCAGTGGTTTTTGACGCTTTTTGCTTATCGATTCCCATTGCAACTGGTTTTGCGAATTTATGACCTCATTTTTGAAGAAGGGCTTGAAACCACGATCTTGAAGTTTGGTGTGGCAATCATGCGTCGGAATGCCCAGGGTCTTCTTGAACAGAAGGACATGAGTTCCTTATCGCTCTTCTTGAAAGAACGAGTGTTCGATGCGTACATTGACAAGCAGCCGTCAGCATCTTCGATATTGGAATCTGGTTTCTTTGGAAGTTCCGGTGCTGCTGACAAAGAGGTTTATCGCGCAGATATCCTTGTCCAGGATGCCTGCGATGTGCCACTCACACCCGAAATGATCAAAGAATACACGACCGAATGGGAAGAAAAGGTTCAAACTGAAAAGGAGCGTGAAGCGGAGCTCGAAGGACTGAAACACACCGTCTCCATCCAGAGCACTCGAATTCGAGTACTCGAAGAGCAGGCTGAGACGTCTGACAAGGAGCATGTGCAACTAGCATCAGAGCTTGTTCATGTCAAGGTAGAGAACGAGGAACTGAGCGACTTAACTGACGCCTTGAAAATGCAAGTTGGCGAGCTTAAGGTAGTGCTTGACAAGCAGCCGACTGAGGTTGAAGAGAAGCTTCAGACTGAGATGGACCGCATTATGAAACGTAACCTCGAGGTCCAAAATGAGAACCGATCCATGGTGGAACAAATGGCAGAGATGGAGAAAGAACTCGTGGAGGCGAAAATGAAATATGCCGAAGTAAGTCAAGCGTCTCAAGCAATGATGATCCGGTCTAATGCGTTGTTCTCTAGATCCATGAGAACCATGAAAGCCTGAAGCAGAAATGGAGTGACCTCCGCAAAGCCCTCGGCTAATGGACTAGCTAGGCTACTCGTCTATTTTGCTCTATTTGTTTCCCCTCCGTTACGACTTCCTTTCCTTCCTATGTACATCTAAACCCTGACGACCTGCTATCAACATATTCCTTGGAGTTCACTATTCTGGGAGGTGTCAACCTCACTCAATTTTTCTCCACTTGGTCCCAAAATTGGTCCCAAAGCCGTCCATTTCGCTTATGACAGCTCATGTATGTGCTGGTATCATGTATTGTGTGTCTCTTTTTGCCTCCCTTTTATTTTTTGGATGGCCCACAGGGAGTTTATTGTCATGTCTGTCATGTTTTTTGCAAGCATTGTTATCAATGTTTTGTAATGGGATGTTATTCAGTTACCTGGACGAGCGAAACGAGCATGCCTGCGGTATGCAAATGTACATCATGAAATAAAATAGAGAATTGTTATATCATATCCACAAATAAATCTGATATTCACAGAACGCTCTCATAATACGCCATAAGGAAATCCTCTCTCACAGGTCCAGCAACAGCCTTGAGCGCCTTATGCGCCTCACACTCCGAATCGTAGTACTTCATATCGTCCAACGAGGCGAATGTCGTCTTAACCGAGAGATTGAATCCCTTATTCCGGGGATCAGGGAAGGACTTTCCAACTGCCGTGCTGAGGATGTAGGGTTTGCCGTCCTGTATTTTGTCAGAATCATGGATTGCAATAGCAAGAGTAAAATAGTAAGGCGAGGAGGGGTACTTTGACGGCGGTTTTTGCAAGGGTTTTGTATTGTTCGAGGACGCGATTGAGGTCTTCGTCGTTGGGGATTTTGAAAAGGGTAATTCGTTCGATGGGGGCCATTTTTATTGGTTTCCAGGCGTTTTCTTGAAATTGATAGAAATAGATATAAGGGAAGATTGTTCTACTCTGTAATCTGTAACTGCGGGGGAGCTCTCATATGTACCCGTGGAGTACTCTATAGACTTAATTCCGACGGATGTCGGATGTTCGTCCGGCTGTTTCTTATCGGAAGTCGCGACGCAACAAGTGGATTATAAATGCAAGAGTAAATAATTCGAGTGCTGATAGTGAGAACGTCATTTACTTGTCTATTTACACGGGTATCTTATTTCGTTCTTCCCTCGTATTCCAGCAGACGCCAATAAGAGGTGTATCGGAGTGCGGAATATTTGCTCATGGATGCGCAAAATTCCGCGCGGGTATTTCTTTTGTCGCGGAATGTTGAGAGTTGGGCATGATAGGCAGGATGAGCACGCCATGACAATGGTAGGAAATGATGTGCCCTAGATAAAATCCGTGCAATACAATATCACCCGACTGCATGGTGCTGACATGGTATCTCGCACATTTTGTCACGGTGTCGTCGCTATTGGTGGCTGCAGAGTGTCGTTCGTGATAGTCGAAGGGTCTCTAGCTGGAACTGATGAATGCTGGGAATGGAGCATCGGGGGGAGCACATTTTAAAGAAACTCGGGGTAGTTTGGACTGTCGTCTGCGTTTTGCAAAGGGCGCCGTTCTCTTGATTCCATAACCTCGCTAGCCGTAGATTTTGTGGCTTGTGACCATCCTTTCTGCTCCAAGCGTACTCAGGGGCACATGTGTGATGGAAGCCATTGCCTCTCGAAGCTTAGCCCACGGAGTAATTGCTCCTAGGCACGCCGTTGCTGTGCGCGAAACCCTTCCAACAAGCATCCCCGTCCTCAACCCCAAAGTAGAGCGAACACGCGACTCAACTATTATTCACCGGCTCCGGACGACTCTTGAAGATCATCTTAAATTTCACAATCTCCCGAATCTCCAACTCATCCGTTTCACCTCGCCGCTGCACAATCGCAATCGGCTGCGGTAACTTCTTCACCTCCCCCGTCATCCTTTGATACCGACCAACGTACAGATAGACCCTTTTCATCCAGCTGGTATCGTCTTTGTTTGTAGTTTGCGGGGCGTAATCCGGGAACATCAGTTTACCGAGGGGGGTTTCGTAGGTGGCTCCTGTAGCGGTAGGGGCAGTATCATTGTCGACTAAATACTGATCCTGCGACTGTTGCTCATCTAGTTGCCGTTCCCCCGTTGGGGGCAAGTTGATTGTGCCCTGGAGTTCGAGGAGGGCGAGGCCGGAAGGCGTTTGGAGGAGGTTTGGGAGGGGATTGTCATGTGGGTTTGAAGAAGAGATTGCACGCGGATAAAGGGGAATGGATGGCATTTTAATTCGATGGTCGATTCTTGATATATTGTCGAAGAGTAAGTCCAGACGTGAAGAGCTTCTCCTGGTACTGAGAGTCAGTTGCGACGTGGAATATGGAAAAGACGGAAAAAGAAACGCGTCGCATCGTGTCGGCCGGCGATAAGGATTGATAAGATCTCGGTAGTATGAAGTATAAACGTCTCTACTTCTTGTAGACATCTATTCTTTTTGCTCTACGATGAGGTGTCTTGCTTTGGATTGAATTCACGCATTGGATTGGCAGTACAAATCCTCCGTCGTCTTTTGTTGGCGATGCCAGAAACAAACGAGACCTCTTGGCCACCAAACAACTAAGTATAACCATGGGGGTTCTCCTTTAGCATTTGGCGACTTAGGAAGAGAGCTTTCATTGAGAAATAGATAAAAGATAGCGTTGTCCTGGTAGAATGACCAGAGCTCAACACTCAGCGGTGAATGCAAACCATGAAAAACAACTAAACCTTCATCATTCACTGCCCTTAGCAGTCTGGCATCTTCCTTCAGCCCCTCCTTTTCACAGCCATTCATCTCTCCTTTATGTCTGAACTCTCCCATCATCTTGTATATAGTGACTTAATAATAATTTCGACCCTATACGTGCCATTTTCCGTCGCATTTTCTGAATCGTTGATATCCACGGAAAGGTTTCGATAAACGAATTCACAGCCACCAGGGATTCGAAGACAAGCTGACCACATGGCACCAGGTGTCAACAGACAACGATTCGCTGGAAGAAGACCGAGGCATCCGTCCAAAATGTCCCACACGGCCTCCAAGATGTGGCGTTCGGACCAATCTAAAGAATACGAAGCATTTGCACGAGCTCGCTGCAACTATACCTACATCGCCCCTCTTTCACCAGTCCTTCCCCGTACCTGGCCCGAGTGGATCAAGCACCGTCTGTTGATCCAAGAAGAAGTGCAATCTCAAGAGCTGCGACGTTTGGCGATTAAGACATTGGTGAGCAGGATCCAGGAAACTATCGAGGAATACCAGCCTCCGTTCGCGGATAAGACATTTGAAGACCATCTTTCATCAGTGCTGGCCCGAGAATCCATTTGGCTTCCTTCATACACTGCTCCACCGGATAGAGAACAGGCTCCGTGGCCAACTCACGACGAGATGAAGCGTGAAGGAAACCAGAAAGGCAAGCCGGGGTATTGCAGTCTTCTGCCCTTGCCCCGTACCCCAGGAGAATCCACATCCACTTGGAAACAGCGTTCTCCTATTGTGCCTTTCCATTTTGACGAGGTTGGTCATCTCAATGCGGAGGAAGAGGGCAGTCCTGAGCATGAGACCGATGAGAACATGCTTCTTCTCGTTGGCAGCTTTTTGCTGAAGGAACTGAATTGTTGAATGGATTGGTGACAGAAAGAGAGGGAAAATAGAGAAAGGGTTCTGGCTGGAGAGTGTTATGTTGCTGGCAACTGGTCTCTCTGATGTTGGGAAGAACTTTGCTTCTGAATGTTGCCTCATTTGTTTCAAAGAGAAGAAGAAAAAGGGAAAGAAAAAAGAAAAGAAAAGAAAAAAGAAAGGGCGTTTCTTGTCATTAAAAGCATCCCCATATCCATTGTAGTTCGTCATCACGCCGCACGATAACAAGCATCTTCTAGATTGGCAAGGCCCTGCATTGCCTGGTCCACAACATCGCCTGCACCGCCAGGGCCTTGCATTTTGCCGTATCGCAGGTCACTCAAATCACCCACAGTCGTGTCAATTTCGGACATAATCACAGTTGCATCCTGATCAATCCTAAATATGTCATGCTCAATGTTCGTACATGCCAATTCCATTTCCGATAACAGACTCGACACAGAATGATATTCCTCAGAAGACACGACATCTGTCTTCTGTCCGAACAGCTGAACGTCCATATCCATTTCTCGTCGATCATGATCATTTATGTCCATGATGCCGGACTTCATGATGGCCTTTCGAAGTTCTTCTTTTTGCTTTTCGCCATCCTTGGTTTCTTGGTCAATATTCCCGTTGACTACGTTCAGATCCTGGTCTCGGATCTCCTGCAGTTCTCGATAAAGAGTTTTGACATGCGGGTGAGAGCGCAGTTTTTTAGGGAACAGTTCCGTAAACTGTTGCAATGAGATGACCGTTGGTAGAGGACCGGGAGACAAAAGGAAACTGCTCAAAATGTATGCTTCTGAAGGGGCCATAGTTGGGTATATTCCGTTTCTTAATACACCAGATAAGGGATGACAAAATGGATGTTATGCAGTAATAAGATATCCTTTGCTTTTGTTCTTCCAAATAAGTATATCGATAGACGCGTCTGGGGCAAGATCCCGAACGGACTGATGCAGGCGTGCTCAACTGTATGACAGAAGTATCTCAATGGAACAGAGGTCAATTAATTAACAGCAGAACAAGCTGAAATGCTGATCTTAGTATTTTGTTGGGGAAGAAGCAATGAAGCATGACAGGAATAGGAGACGACGCGTCTTTTTTCTGCCCTCCGAAAGTAGAAAATCTCGTTCCACCGCCATCACCACTTCTTTCCTTTTCTTCGGCTTCATCGCTACAACTTCGGCGCTGATTCCAGAAATATTGCCGGAATAAATACTTACATTGTCTGGTCTCGTCTGCTTCTGCTATTCAAATTCATTACAACATCTGCTATCATCGACTTCCATTACTCCGTGTCTCTTCCACTATCAAGGGCGTATTCGTCTGATAACAGAGCATATCGAGTTAGAGGATAATCAGTTGTTCTCTTTCTGCTTGTTTGATTCATTTAAGCGCCTTTATTTCAACGTTATTTGCTCGTTGCGATACTCTACTGGCGATTACCGTCTTCTTGCCGTGGTGAGCAGCTGGACACACCGGCATCCCCTGCTTTCCAACTTCAGCGTTTGATCTCGCAAACTGTTGCCACCTTGCTTTATCATCAAACTAGCATCAAATCAGCATCAAAGCTGCTGAAAAAGCAAGAACCTCTTGTTGATTACATATAGAGTATCTCTTTCTTCAATCAGAATGGCGCCAGCCAACCAACTGGTTTACCACAAAGACGAGAAAGTTCTGTGTTTTCACCACGAGATACTATACGAGGCCAAGATCCTCGATATCAGGCATACTGATCAAGAGGACAAGAAGAGCCCACTGGAGTACGCAGTGCACTATAAGGGCTGGAAGAGCACGTAAGTATTACGATCTTTGCAAGCTCTCCTTATGCCAGACTGTTCTTTGTTTCCCTATATTTGATATTATCTTTTGAGCTTTATTTGCGTAACTTCGCAATCGAGTTAGTCCATTGGCACTATTAATTCCTTTCTTTTCACCCAAGCAAGAATTTGCCATTGTGGCGCTGCGCATGAATTATAACTAATCAGTTTTGCAAGTAGATGGGATGATTGGGTACCCCAAGATCGTCTCCGGAAATTCACAGACGAGAATAGGGAATTAGCCACGACTCTCCGTCGTGAAGCGGAGTCGGCCTTTCGTCAAAGAAACGCAAAGCCCACCCCTTCTTCTAAGAGACGTGGAGGTTCCGACCGCAGCTCCGCCCGGGGCAGCGAAGAACGGCAGATGTCTGTTCCTGCCCGCGGGACCAAGAGGGGGCGAGACAATGAGATTGAAAAGGTGTGTATTATCTGTTGACCCTCTATTTCGATTTTCGTAGGAGCAGCGGGCCTGTCCGCGGTGCGCGAAGAAAGTATCTTGATACTGACACCGAATCAGGAAGAAAGTTTCTATAGTCGGCCCTCAGTGAGGATTGTCATGCCAGATAACCTCAAGTCTCTCCTTGTGGACGACTGGGAAAATGTGACCAAGAATCAGCAGGTGGTTGCATTGCCAGCCAAGGCCTCAGTCAACCAAATCCTTGACGATTATTTCAACGAAGAGAAGCCGAAACGGGCTACCTCGGCTGATCTAGATGTTCTCGAGGAAGTCATCACGGGCATTAGGGAGTACTTCGATAAATCCCTCGACAAGATCCTGCTCTACAGATTCGAGCGTGAACAGTATCGTTCTCTCCGCAGCAAGTGGGAGAATGGGTCGGGCAACTTCGCTGATAAGGGTCCTCTGGATATTTATGGTGCAGAGCATTTGACCCGGCTTTTTGGTAAGCCTTTTTTTTTTTTTTTTTTTTTTTCCCATTCGAAACATTGTACTAACTGTAACCAGCTACGATGCCAGAACTCCTGGCACAAACGAATATGGACCTCCAATCCACCAACAGATTACGGGAAGAGCTCTCCAAGCTCACGATCTGGCTGAGCAAGAGTTCAGACAAGTATTTCGCGACCAAGTACATGACCGCGAGCAACGAGTATATTGAAAAGACACGAGGCGTTCCCAATCCGAACCCGGGAACGGCAACGTCACGTTTGCTCTAAGGTGGTTCCTTTTTATTATTGGAGTTGTGCAATAGGAGTTTTTCTTGTGGAGGAGATTTGGTTTCTCTTTGACATTCTGTATGGTTTGTGTTGGTTCTAATAGTATTGTTGTATGCGGTTCGAGGTTCTGCAAGTTTAATGGTGCTCATACACAAGACTTGTTTTTGTAACATTAGATCTAGTTTTCTGGGGAAATGCATCCATTTCTTATTTTATTCATGTCCTAGAAGATGATAGAGAAATAAAAATCAATACCTAACCAACCAGCCTGGGTCGTTAGGTACAATGCCACCGACAATAATCGAATCAGAGAAAGACTCGAGAGACACTAAACCTACGCAACCAACACCCTAGCATCCTCAACCGCACACCTCGCCGACCTCTTCAACTCTGTCTTCCAATCTGCCTCCCGCCACCTCGTCCACGCACTCAACCCTTCCGGCGGCTGAATACTCAATGTATCATATCCCTGCGAGATAATTCGATGAACCTCCCTCGGGCTCAGGTTCTTCTTCCGGGACGCCGGAATTGGGGCCGCAGACTCGCCTTCCCCTTCCACAGGCGCGGTCTTCTCCTTGTCCTCATGGAAGAGTAGCGTATAGAAATGCGTAGACACAGCGATCAGGGTGTCAATAGCGCCGACATGGATGTCTTTATCGGCTGATTTCTTGTTGCTTGGTTTCAGGGAGTAGACGTCTCGGAATTTAGAGATGATGGGGCTTGTCTCGACGAGTTTGTAGAAGAGATCGTCGTAGGAGGCTGGGTCGGGGAGGAAGGTGTCGCCTGCGGAGACGCAGAAGGCGACTAGGTCCACGAGGGAGGTGCTTAGGGTGGTGATGCGGGGGTTTGTGGCGAGGTCGGAGGAGTAGGTGGTTAGGAAGCGCATTAGGGAGAGGAGGGTGCGCCAGAGTTCAGACCAGTGGTAGGTTAGGCGGATTTTGTTCATGGAGAGGTAGGTTAGGAGGCGAAGGAGGATTGCGATTGTGTGACTGTTATTATTAGCTTCAATCTCATCAATGATATAAGTAGAGGTGGTAATACCTGTACAGATTTGCATCGAGGCGTCGTCGGAGGTTGTGAGAAATGGCGTCGATCATCACATCGAAGATGACCGTAGCAAGGACTCGATCGCCAGCGACCAATGGAAGATATGGTTGTCTATGGCGGCAAATGCGAACTGTTCTCTTCGTGTCTTCATTACAGAGGAGCTTGCATAGAGTAGAATCCTCAGTGAGAATGCGAAGGGTGAAGAGGTTGAGCTCTGCATAGTGTGACACCCTCGCGGACCGATACGCATGCTGCAACAGGTACGAAGTTACGGACAAGAAGCTTGCAAACGGTGACTCCTCGTTGCTGTTCTCCGGTGCAGCGCTGATGAGATGAACACCAAAGAGTTTGTTGGCGTTGGTAAAGTCGTAAGTAGACAGGAAAATCGCTGCTTGTTGCGCAGGTCTGGTATCATTAGCTTGGAAACGAAATGAAGGTGGATAGTTTCTTACAGGTGCGCGAACAAGTCTTTAGCTTCTTCTGCAGTTGGGAGATTTGCCCTATCCTTTGTGCCTGGCTTTAGAGCTCCCAGACCAAAGTACATCAGGGAGCTGATTAAGGACCAGCCTTCAGGAGCATCGTCTTGGACAGCCACATAGCCGTTTCGCAGGGCAGCGCACGAAGTGCCGACCCCCTTGACAATTTTTTGGATGCTTGACTCGTTCACAAAATCGTCGAGTCGTAGTTGATATGGATTTTGGAATTCGAATTTGTTGTAGTTCGCCAGCAACCCAAGAAGGATAAACGGTTCAAACACTTGAATCGGGGTATCAGAATCATGAACAAACTGTTTTAGTCAGTACTAAATCCATGTATATAGGTATAAAGGCCGTCTAACCTTCATAAGCGAAGGAAATAGGTCACGGTGAGCAAAGTACGATACGAGGCTCGTTTTGTATGCCCCGCTGACCATTGCAATGGCAGCTCGAATGGCTTTTGCCCGAACATCGACTGGATGACCGGTTATATAGTGTGCTAATAGTAGATATCATCCCATTCAAATACTTACTGCTGCTCCCTTTGCGAATGATGCCATCCAACATAGATACGAAGTCCGAGATAACATGGTCGACCTCATCGAGCCCCGCAAGAACGGTGATGACATCTGAACTAGGATTGGTATACTTCTTTTTCAGGACGCAGGCCAGGAAGACCATCAAGGTCTAATCAAGAGTTTTAGAAAATGAAGAAAAGTGCAAGTTGGACAGTCAATCACGACTTACCTCTAACGCAAAGGCATCAGCGGGACTGACTCCAGAGGTAGCCTCCCGGATGGCACGAGAAAAAAGTTGTTGGGTCTGCACCTGTTTGAATATTAGTGAGACTGATCCATGGGTTGGATCATGGGAGGTCAAGTACCTGTAATTCGAGAGTATTATCAGGGCTAAGCTGGTCCAAGATCGAATGAAGTTGGGCTCGATCCGGCGCCAGTAAGAAAAATTCTCTCCAAAAACCTTCGGATGGTTCTGCGAATTCTTGTGTCTTGGAATTAGTTAGTATTTGAATATGTCATTGTTGGTTGTGTTGCTATCTAACTTACTCGGAAGAGATTCTCGTATAGTTGCACAATCTTGGGCTTGAAGATGTCGGGTCTAGATTGCTGGGTTAAGGGGGAGGCTTCCATTTTGGGCGAACATGAGGTCGCTTTGCTACAGAGTCTTAGACAACGGCGGAATAATCTCCTCCTCACTAGGATACCAAGAATACCTTAGGATTCTCCCGCTGAGATTGGATGATTGCTGTTCTCTTCTTTCGGATTGGGTTCTTTTTTTGGAACTGCCACAGTTGGCGTCTTAGGTAATGCCATGCCGTTTCAGCCACACACTAGCCACGGCACGTGCAGTAGTACTACAAGGTGACACTACATGGTTACTTGTACTCCCTAAAGTTTGTAGGCGCTGTCCCAGTGGTACAAGTGAGAATGGACATGTTAGTATACATTTACCAGAAGGTTCATGGTTATTCTGTACCCGAACAAGGGACAGTAGCGGCTATATGCAGGTTTAATGAATGTACTCCGGAGTACTCGTACATAGTAGTAAAGAAGAACTCTAGTAGAATAAAGCAACGCTAACGCTAACAGTAGTGGATCTCCATATATGTCATTCTGGATTAGTCTCTTACAATCATATGCGAACCCAAAGAAGATCCGTAACTCGTAATGTCAATACCCGCATAAAGTGTATTCCGCGGTTATGCACACGTGACTGCAGTGGGAATAACCGGACAGAATCCCGTAGAAGCGCTGCATTGGATGATTGTCAGCCACGCCAGTCCTGCATACGATCTGCTTCCCACTGACAAGCTGTTATTCCGATTTTTTTGTATTGAATTCAATAACATAAAAGATCAGCATTAATTGGTCATCTTTGAATAATTGCATTCCTGCAGGGGTGGCGCCACGGACCTGTGTAGAAACACCTCGACCCTGATTGGCCGATTCCCCGTCCGTTCTCCCGCCTTACAAAACATTTTACCGGACGTCGACTCAAACGTCTGTCCGGCTCCATCTCCTAACAACAACTCTTCTTACTCACTACATAAACCTTACCACGAACGTTCTTATAAAGATAAATTTTTTATTTTGACAATTGAACGACACTGTTTAACACTACTTACTGCTCCTATATATTTCCCTCCCACACCATGCCATTCTGCAGAGCTGTTCACCCTCCGGTGACATCATCCGCCACCATGCTCAGATACGTGAGCAAACCGTCTAGCCAGAGTCTTCGGGCTTTCTCGTCGTGTGGACGCCTATACACCTCGTCAAAGCGTGATATGCAAACCGCTTCAGCCTATCGTCCTCACTCGCTACCGACCTCCTTCCCCTTCCCCCGAAACGCTGGCATTCCCGATACATCTATTTCAGCCGACTACCCTCCCAACCTCGAGAACATGACACAACAGAAGCAACAATCAGTCATGTCGCCTAACGTGAGCCTGAGAGAAAAGGAGGCACAGCAGTCCAAGCCTGTGGAGTCATCCGCCAAGAAGCCCGCCGAAAAGCCGAGAAGAAAGCTGCGCCCTCGCAAGGCCGCCATGAAAGTCACGCCTATAGCAATTGAACAACTACGTAAATTAGTTGCTCAACCGGACCCCAAGTTCATTCGTGTCGGCGTGAAGAACAAGGGCTGCTCTGGTCTCGCATACCATCTTGAATATGTGGAGAAGCCCGGTAGCTTTGACGAGGTTGTAGAACAGGACGGTATCAAGGTCCTGATTGACAGCAAGGCGCTATTCAGTATTATCGGAAGTGAGATGGACTGGCACCAGGACAAGCTGAGCCAGAGATTCGTTTTCCGCAACCCCAACATCAGTAAGTTTCTGCGTGAATGTGGAGTTTATCAAACAATCATTAACATCTGAAACAGAGGAATCATGCGGATGTGGTGAATCCTTCATGGTCTAAGCCGGAAAAATACGAATCTCGATAACTTTCTTTCGACTTGATCTTTTTCATTCCTGGATGCATCGAACGGCGTTTTACGGCAAGGCTTTTTGGGTTACATATTTTCTCTGTACATTGCTCGATATACCACGTTGATTTTGGGAGTCCACAAATTCCCCGTTCTACGATATACCTTCGTTCACTTCGCCCTCCCCCCCACGCCCCCGCATGTCGGGTTCTACGTCAGTTGGTCTCGGTGGCAATGCCCTACAATCGATGGCGAATTTATAGTGCAGATACAGACCAACGAGAACATGGTTATTTACATGTTTACTTTGTTGGATTTGCTGGGTGGTGGGATTGTGGTACGATTTCTTGTGACTTATGATATGGTCATGGGGTTTTCCGAGGAAAACGATCGGTCTGTTCATGTGCGGGTCGGTTTGTCTTTCCGGTCGTCTTTCACACGTCTTCCCGCAGCAACCGCACAAAAACCGTCACTTACTTCCTCGGGACCATGCGGTTTCCTTTGTAAATTAATCCACCATAAAGATTGGCATTCCAGTCATATAGAACGATATCAAGTTACTATGTCACATGCTGTCTCTAGTTTTTTATTCAGATCTGAAAATCTTGGCCGTAAAACCACGCCTAAACCAAATCTCCGTAGAAAATAATACAATAATTTTGTAAATGTGACTAGCTATTCAATTCTCTTAACAGAATTAGCATGTACGTTCAGCAGCAGCGTCTAGGAAGCAGTGGTTCAATAACGAGCTGAGTCATCGTCGCCATATCATAGCCGCGGCGATAAACGGCGATAGCATCAACCATCAACTGGTTCTATGACCAGACACAACACTGGGGAAGCTCTCAGACAACTATGTCGCTTCCCTATTTCACCCCAGAAGACAATGGAACCTTAAGTTTCGGATTCGAATCTGAATGCGAACGCAATATAAACGCAAACCTTCTCCTTACGATCCGCTTCTCCGCTTCAATACCAGACCTCTACCTCGATGTCCAAACCCCTGAAACCACCACAGCTGCGGGCCTCAAGCAATTAATCCGTGCACATCTTCCTTTCCATCTCTCCACGCATCGCCTCCGTCTCATATACGCTGGACGAGGTCTCGAAGATGCCACTGCGTTGACGATATCGTTGAGGTTACCACCGCCACCACCCCCGAAGGTTAATAAGGATGAAAGCGCAAAGGATAAGGGTAAAGAACCAGTTCGCGAACAGCCTCGTGTTTACATACACTGCTCGATCGGAGATATCATTCTCTCGGAATCAGATCTAGCAGAGGAAGCGGCTGCCGCATCAACGCTTCTACGCAAGAGACAAGATAGTTCCGGTGGCGAATATGAAGCGAAGAAACAACGAGAGAAACAAAAACAGCAAGTTTCAACGACAACGCCCGCACCACGCGGTTTCGACCGTCTGCTCACGGCAGGCTTTACCGCCGCGGAGGTGACAGCCCTCCGCTCGCAGTTCATGGCTGTTCAATCTGTCTCCCGTACGCCGGATACGATGCCTAGTGGTGCGGAGCTGCGCGAGCTCGAAGACCGATGGCTAGATGAAGGGACGACGACTGTATCTGATGCTATGGGGACTGGGGTCGGTGCTAGGGGTGCTGGGGGCGATGGGGATGACGATGGGAGCTTCGGGACTGGTTCGCGAGGAGCTATTGATGATATGCTTTGGGGTACGGTGATGGGATTCTTTTGGCCTATGGGGTGTGCGATGTGGTTGAGGAGGGAGGAGGGGGTTTGGAGTTGGAGGAAGGGGTTGGCGGTGTTTGTGGGGGTGGTTGTTAATGCCGCATTTGGGGCTATGAGGATTATGAATTAGACTTGGTTGTTGGTGTTTTATGTTTATATTATATTTGTGCAATGATACCCCTGTTTCTGTTAAGAAATCGATAGTCAAAGCAATGCGATTCAACTGCAATATCGGAGTATTGAGCTGATAAACGCTATCATACAAGTGGATTCGTAGATTGCCTGTAGTTCAGACAAGATGGACTGTGTGTAATTCACATAATAAGAGCGATAAAAATAAACCTGTATTACGCCTGCTGGATCCAACGCTAATGGAACTTGCTGTAGATAACGGCAAAAATCAAGAGAACCAGAACGGTGATGATCGCAATCGTAATCAACCGATTCGTAGCCATCCTAAACACAGGTCAGCATATCAGATCTGGCAAACTCCTCGTGTGGCAAGGGGATCATTACCTACGGGCCATTCCCCGTAACGTCTTGATACTAGTATCAACATAACCCTCACTCTGCTGCAACCCCGACCGCGTATGCTCAATCATCTGCCGCTGCTGATTCAAATCCGCCAACGTACCCCGACCAATATCCTCCGTCTCCAACGCAAGCCTCTGACTATTCTGCAAGCGCGCCGAACTGCGCTCCAACCGCTCCGTCCCACTCAACAATTGCTGCCTCTGCTCCAAATGCTCATCCTGCGGATCATCCGTGTACCGATCTCCAAACAGCGCCTTACGATCATCCGACAACGACTTGAGCTTGCGCTTCGACTCATCGATTTCGGTGGCGTAGTTGCGGAACCGCATGTTGACCTTTGAACGCGACGCGGAGGGGATGTTCTGCTTCTCCATGCGCATCTGGTCTAGGAGTTCTGTTGCTTCGTCCATTGCGCGCTCGGCTTGGCTGATGGAAGACTTCCTTTGTTCCCCGCTCGCCTCTGCGATCTGGTCGAGTTTCTGGTTTAGGTCCGCTTGCAGGAGTTTGAGTTCGGTTTCGTAGCTGCTGAAGAGCTCGGAGCCCGCGTCTGTGTCTAGGGGGTTGGACATTGTGATCATTGATTTAGGGTAAATAGCTTCGATCTGGAGATGAATGGTTGATTGGTATGGTCCTGATAAGCCGGTCTATGTACCCGATCTGGGGCGGGCAGTGTCTTTGCCGGAGAGTGCAGGAATCGTTCAGCGTCAAAATCACCGCTGTCCTCTATTTAAAGTCAGAAGATGATATCAGCAAGAGACCGTGAAACGATTCATCAGTTGGAGGCGTAGAAAAGGAGAGGAAGGAGGCCGGCGGATTCCCAGACGGACCGGCGATAATGGAGTTATCAGACACGTGATTTTCCGGGTCGTATCGTAAAGATGTCTATTCTATCTGACTTGGGTATGAAAATTTGGCGAGGACTTTATGTATTAGGTGTTCTATAGAAATTACAGGGTTCTGATCATAAAATAGTGTGGAAAGATGTCAGATGCGCATACAGCTGCAATTCAAGTACGGAGTATACTTGCAGAAGATTCCCGAATAATCAATAGACCCTGGGCCCTAGCACAACATAATCTAAGCCCATTTCCCCCTTTCCTTAAGCTTGTTAGAGATATGAAAGCTCCTGAGCTAAACCCATAGCTAAGTTGATCTACCAATGCTTACTCAGTATGTCACCTGACATCATTTCCACGAGGGGAATGACAACTTGTGATAGCATTCAGTACTTGGGAAACATTGGAATATCCGGTTCACATTATTATCGATACTTACATTGTACTGTTACTGTCCTCTCCCTCGGTCGACGGAAGACATGAAAAGGCGCGGTTGTATCCCGAGTCCCTCGGTACAGATTTGATGAGCAGCACTCGATTCAATTATTCCATGATTTCCAGTTATATAAAATTCATATTTGGATTATTCAACTATTCGAGTTGAATTGACATTTACAATCAATCCTAGTTCATGAACTTGGATTCAATTCACATACAACCGTGGCTATCCACTTCCCCGCTTAGCTCGGTGGTATACCATCAGACGAGCTCCAACTGATATCTTCGAGCTCTGTCTAAATAAGACCTATGCCACTTCCACAGCCCAAAAGAGTCGCAATCATAGGAGGTGGTTGCACCGGTGTCACCTCCTTTTGGGCTTTGCAACATTCGGTCCACGATGTCCATCTCTTCGAGACTTCTTCCGAATTGGGTGGGCGTATCAAGACAGTGCCCTTTGAGTATGACGAGGGTCGAGTCGATGTGAATACAGAATCCCCGTGTTTTAATCTAGAGGAATCTCGTCAGTTTTCCTTTGTTTGACAGGGTTTCTGAGAATCAACTAACCTAAGAATAGCCAATTTCGTCTCGCTTCTACGGTGTCTTAGGATATCTACATCTCCGATTCCTCTCAATTTTGGTGCATCCGATGGCCTTGACACAAACCAATGGGGATGCAGCGTCTTAGAAAATATGCTCCTGCATCCCCGGTATCTTTGCCGCTTAGAGACCTATCGGATCCTGTTTGATATTATCCGGCTCAGATACTTGGCTCTAGACGTATTAGCAGACAAGGCTTTGTTTAGCTCACAGCACCGCTCACAACATTCTTTAGATGCTTACAATTACCTATTAAATGAAGGGCTCTCGTCTAGTTTCCGGGATAAGTACCTGGCTCCTCTGCTGTCAACATTATGGGCCACAAATGCTGGTCGCTTTCTTCCCTGTCTTTCAATAAGGGATCTAGCTCGTTTCCTGCATGATCATGATCTGCTTCGCATTCGAAGGTTCTCGACAACATGGCGGCGTATGGATGTAACTGCCAGTCAGTTTATCCAACGCATGGCAGGCAGCTTTCCCGCTAGTAAAGTCCATCTTGGGACGAAGGTCCGGCAAGTCGAGAGAACTGGGAATGAGAAATACAATATCTTCACTTCCGACTCCGAGAAGATGAACTTCGATCATGTTATTTTCGCTGTTGATAGCGACGAGACTATTCGGCTGCTCCAGCCAACAAAGAGCGCCAAAGAGAGGGAGATCTTGCAAGATATACGGATAACGAAGAACATTGCTGTTTTGTATTCTGACCCTCTCGTAAGTTAACAAGGCCCTAGCTTCTATACTCATCTTTGCTGATCTTCTACAGTCAATACCCAACGCTCACTTTAATTATATCATATCCCCCGACCACCACCCTAATCACCACCCGCCAATAGCTTGCCTAACTCACAACGTAAATACCTTCCAAAACATACCAACCAGCCTCGCTGGCCCCATCTCCATCACCGTAAATCCCTTCGCCCCTCCGCATCCGACCCTCGTCCAGGCTGTCTGGGAATTCACCGATTCCGAAATCAGTACTACGACTCTCCATGCCCTCCGTCGTCTACCATCTATTCAGAATATGAACGGGTTAAGTTACTGCAGCACATGGACAGGACGTGGCTTCTTTGAAGATGCAGTTACGGGTGGTTTGAAAGTCACGGCGGAGCATCTAGGCGCGGTTGTGCCGTTTGAGGTTGAATTGCACGAAGGGAGTTTGGATGATGGGAAGTTCGAGGCTGGATTGGCTATGGGGATAAGGGATCATTTTGTTCTTACCGCTTTGGGGTTGGTAAAGGTGTATGTGAGGGTTTTCGAGTTGGCGTCCATATTATTGGGGCTCTTTTGGGCTTGGATAACGAAAGGTCGAACTTGGAAAAGATAGATAAAATAGATGTTTTGAAAGAAGTGAGCAAGAGTTATATGGTTTTATGCAGATATTAAGAAAATAAAGCTGAAACTCCGTGCAATAGTTAACATTAACGTAAACTTGTCTCCTAAGATAAGGGAACTTTCGCCTTTTCTAGTCCCTGAAATAAACTCGCGCATCAAACGTGGTATACAACTGATTTAGATATGTCCCATCATAACTTGCCAGCACGCCCGAAATCACAGGAAATTCCCACTGTCCTTGTTCACAATCGAAGCACTCCGCTTGGCATCGAGGAACAGATCCTCGCACTCTGCCACGTCGGCCTCCTCGATACCTCCTGGCCGACCGTTTACCCGTGCAAGGATACTAGCCGGTGTCAGCAATTGCAGAGCATACCGCATGCTGATCTTGCTGCCATGCTCTGCAACCTTCTCCAGCGCGGGATCGGTGATGTTGAGGCCTTCGGTCTTTGCACGCAACCGGACAATGGTCTTGATCTCTTCGGGAGCGTAAGGCTGAGTGGGGATGATGAGGAGTCGGGCAAGGAGGTCGGGAGGAATGCCGTGTGCCGCGGTAATGTCGTCGGTGCCACGGATGACGGTATTTCCACGGTTCGAAGCGAGGATAACGATGGGGGAGATGGAGGATTCGAGGGCCCGGTTCAGGTAAGTGAAGCATTCAATGTCAAGCATGTGGACCTGGAGAGATCATAGTTGTTAACCAAGTTATACCATACGGATGGTGTCATGTCACATACCTCATCAATGAACAGAACGCCAGGAACAAGCTCAGCGACACCCTGGTCGATGTAGCGGTTGACCACCTTGTTGATCTCCTGGCGCAGCTTGTCCGTGATCTCCGTCTTCTTCGGCTTCATAAGCTGTCCCATCATACTCATAACGTCCTGTCCACCTTGTGGCCGAGCGTTGGCCATGTCCAAGTCATGTAGCGTCACATCCTGGACAATTTCCTTCTTCTTGTGAACTTCTCCCTTCGGGACTGGCACGTATTCCTCCGCCTCAAGGTCGAATTCGGTCGCATAGGCATCCGATCGCCCAACTCGCTTGCAAGCTCCGGTGTTGGCTTCGATGTAGATAACGTCTCCAACGGTAACTCGCTCCTTCTGGATCGCTTCGTAGATACTAGGGTCGAGACGCAGTTTCTTGGTGCCCTTGGCCGACTTCAATCCAATGATCAAATGACTTATGGTCCGCCCATATCCTCCCAACGGGTTTTCGGTTTCCTCGGGTGTGAGTTCTGTGACTTCGCCTTCGTATACTTCTTTGGTTTCGCGCACTCGCAGACCTAAAGACCATTAATCCTTCCGTCGAAACCGCAGGTTCTGATTATTTTCCATACCAATCGCCCTCCGGAAGTTTTCCATAAGCGCTTCAGTCTTCTTGACTTCAGCAGAATAGATCTCACTGCCCACGATCGGACAAAACGGAACCTTGGTCCCCAGCTCCTGCGACACGGCGAGAGCAAGCGCTGTCTTTCCAGTTCCAGGTCCACCTGCAAGAAGAACAGCCCGACCAGCCATCTTCTTCGCTTTGATCAAGTCTACCACGACACCACATGCCTAGACGGAAGCGTCTCCAGTTAGCTGAAATAGTCGTGAAGAACAAAGCTCAAGGGAACGGGGTCACGAACCTCACGAGCAGCGGCCTGTCCAATGAATCCATCACCAGATTGTTCTGGTGTTCCATCCAAACGCAAACCAAGACCCCTAATGTGCGTATGGGCTGCCGTCCGGTTCTCGCGCGAATTGCCCTTCACCTCGCTGATCTGGACCATTGTGAAGGGATTGCGGCGTCACTCGCAAGCCACGAAAAGGTACGTAGGTTAGGGTATAGTAGACAAATAGAGATATAGAGAAGCAAGATAAAAGAGATGCAGCCCTGTAAGAAAGAGTAGCAGATAAAAAACAACGAACGAGCTTGAGAGAAGGTGATAATGCAATATGCTTCTGGCCGAAATTCACGGCGCGCAAACCGGGATCGGCGAATCAAATGCCATTATTTTCCAGGCGGTGAGCCTGCCCAAATTCTTTCCCATATTCGGAACCCACCACTCTCTCTCCGTCAATTAAACGATCTTCTCCGGTTTCTTTGGGCTTCCTGTCATGCCATAGTTGCTTATCCAACACAATGGCAGGATTACAGACCCGGTCCACCATGTCCCTCCCATTCTCGCTCTCTGCGGCCTTCCGCAATCTCTCGTTAACATCCTCCACTCGCTCATTCTCCACCACTACCGCCGCTCAAAAGACGAAGACACTTCCCGAGTACATTCCTCCTTATCCCTGCGGCCCGAACTATGTCTACAAGCAATCGAATACAGGATTGTATGGGGGTGCGATGATCCAGTTCGGAAACAAGATCTCGCAAGGGCGGAATGAGGGCAAGACCCGACGCATGTGGAAACCAAACGTCCGGCGAAAGAAGCTTTGGAGTGATGCGCTTGAGGACTTCGTGTTTATCAAGATCACAAGGAAAGCATTGCGGACGATCAGAAAGTCTGGTGGACTCGACAACTACCTTCTGGACGACCGGCCGGGCCGTGTGAAGGAGATGGGTATTTTCGGATGGCAATTGAGATGGCAGTTGATACAGACCCCGAAGATTCAAGAGCAATTCCGGGTGGAGAGGAAACGATTAGGATTACCGGAGCCCCAGTCCTTTGAGGAGTTCGTGAAGCAGAAGGAGGCTGAGGCGCAAGCGAAGGGCGAGGACAAGACCAACATCAAGGATGAAACGCAGCCAATCTACAACGAGAAGCTGTACTAATCGGCTCTCTTGACGGGGGACATAACATGAATGATCTGATGGTTCTCAAAATTCCGGCGACAATCGGATAGGCGTCTGTATTACTATTTCGACAAATGCTATTCATGACTGTATGAAGCGTGTTTGGGCTTTTGCAGAATAGCGTGGAAACAATCACTCGGAAACTGTTACATTTGTTTGGGTTACAAGTTTATTAGGCCCTTTGATGTATGTACTTATATTCTCAATGGTATTTCTGGATCTCCATGACGTTCTTGTCAATTAGCTACCGCCATAATCCAGTGGAATGAAGGAATGGATCTAGGATCTCAGGGCTTCGTCACTTTCTAGATTCCAAAAACATCGAATGATCCTCATCTATCCGGACGGTCCAATTGCTCATCGATTGCCAGGCCAGCCGAACCACGAATTGGTAGTACCGCTAATGGTGATCGCAGACGAATCATTAACCGCCAAAGACTTCTAGTCGCCAGGGATGTACGTCTGAAGCAGAATTCTATTGTTAGAGTCGACGATAGCCGGGTTTCCTTTTATGTTGAATCTGTCCTTTAGCGCAACATGATAGTCGATCTAGTTCGCCGTGGCTTTCTTGTCATCGCCGATTTTGGAGTTTCTTGAATAAAGCCGTTGCAGTATAGCCAACCTCCAGACGGACATTGAGCGACTTAAATTTGAGGGTGTCCTCGGTCTTGTTGCTAATGGTGATTTGAATCTGAGTGGAGTTGGGATTGGGCGCGATGTTGGGGTTGGCTTCGTATGTGAGAAGCGCCTGGGGTCGGGCGTTCAAATCTTTGGTCATCGTCTCGACTTTACTGTTGATATAGTCCTCGGCGGGGCCAGATGGAGGGGTATGTGGGATGACCCATCTAGCACATGCTAAGCCAGATGCAAGGGCAGAGAGGCGTAGTCTGCAGAACATACTCGAGGATGGTCATGACAATACGAACAATGGCGACAGCAAAATCGACAGCCGGAACAATGGCGCTCTCAATACCAGACCCAATTAACGCAATCTGAGTGAGATCCACTACCATCCGCAAGGCGACACTCGCCATAGTGATAATATCCATGGCGATGATTCAAGGCTTTTCGTGTCTCCATGCGTTCTTGACCTGTTTAATCATCGATCCAAGGATGGCAGCGTTGAACAGAATAAGTATGCTGCCAAAACCAACGGTCCACCCTTCTTCAAATGAAAAGAGTCATGTTGATAAACATTCTTCGAAATCGGCTTCTGTCACGACGTGACTTATCTGAAACTCAACAGTAGAACCCTCCTGGTGCCTTTGCGTTGACCCTTACTAGGCCTTCATCGTTGATGGAATTGACTTGCTCTCCTTGGGATCCGTTGCCCTGCACCTTGGGCATCTTACCTCCCACAGTTCCGTTTCCACAGGCTTTCCGGATCTTCGACAAGTTAACACCCGCTTCATTCAACTCCAATACTTCAGACTTGAGGGTGCCAACAAGTATAAAGACAGATTTCAATACCTGTATGACAATCTGTCTCTTTTCGTCCCGACTGGTGTTATCCCAGTCCATGAGAGCTTTAATCGAAGTGTAAAGCTAATATTCTTGCATCCTGTATGGGAACCGACGTCAGTCTCAAGTAGGATTCTGAGGAAGTAAAAAAAAAAAAGAAAAGAATTTACGCTAAGTTGTCACAGAAGTTGATCATGCCCGAGGCCTTTTCCAATCTGGACCTTTGGTATGTTGGTTGGTTCTAATATCAGTCTGCACCTCCTCCATCGCCTTTGGCATCTTACTAAGGCTTCGTCTCGAACTTCCTATCTTCTCAAATGACGCGAGTGGGGAATTCTTGAAATAGCTTGACGTGCTGAACATCCGATTCGCCAAGTCCTGTGCTGACGAGACCTCATGCCTGGTGAAGGCCGTTTATATCTGTCGTGCTTGGAGTCCATCAGAAATAGCAGAATAATTGTCTTGCAATGATTGAAGAAAGCTTGTGACGCATTGGGAGAAATCAAGGAATCCACTCATGTAAAGCCTCTGCCCTAGTATATTGGGAGTGTTATGGCGTTTTCTCTCACTCACTCCCTTCCACAGCTTTGTCATAGTCCGTCCCATCTTTTGTCCACTCAACACCATACAATGCTGGTTAGTGACGTTCTGTCTGGATTTGCTCTTGTCAGCCGCGGATGATATCCTAGGGGTTGTTGCAGAACATACATAACGGACCAGATTAGCACGCCTAGCATGCAATTGTCAATTAGAGCATTGTGTAAATGCTTGGCCCAGTTGTGCTTGGGGTCGACAATATAACCCTGGAAGTTGGGCAATTTTTTCTGTGGCGTGCTTGATGAAAGATGGAGCATGTGCAATGGATACCAACTCATTGAAGTCTTCGCTCTAGGCCAGGGATTTTGTATCCCAAATCCAGACTTGCCAGAGCCTGTATGACTTCCGTGACAAAATCGTCCATCTTTTTCGTTTTGATTTATCTTGACCAACTTTAAATTGTCAAATGCAATCCTGTCTGCGATGTGGGAGGCTGGTATTGTACTTTGTCAGCATAGTGAATATAATGTAGATGTTATTAAGGATTTTGTGGCGTATCCATATTTCTCTCACACCTAAATTCATAGCAGAAGCGATGAGCTGAATCTCCCTTTGTTGACTGCTTCCCTCAGCTAGCAATATGCATAGAGCTGAATGCATTAATTTAATGCGATGCAGTCTCTCCTCTCAATTATTACAAGCATAGCCTATTATAAGAGCCCAACAGCAGGCTTGAGACAGGCTGCTGTTTTCAGCTGGGCTCATTGATATGAGGCATCCAGTGACACATGAATTAAAGCATTGATTAGCTGCAGGGACGTGCATTTTGGAGCTTCATGGTACTTGAAAAAACATCAATTTCTATCTTAGGGTTTCTTAGATGTTGCAAAAAACCACAGCTGAATGAAACATGTACAAGTATGCAGCATAACGGTGTTACAGACCTAACCACATCAGCCTCACGTGATCAGGCGGGGAGTCAGGGCAGAATCATTGGATGACATTCGATGGTGAATGCAGGACAATACAGGGATCAGATAAATGTCGCACTCCGAATCACGTGACAATATATGTCTTGGCAATGATAGATATATACCATACGGCAACAATATACCAGGAAGGCATGGAGGATATATAAGGACACTCATTCATGCACTTAGTTTAGTTCTTCGCAATCAATCTAGTTAATCAAGCATTGGTTACCCTCTAGTTTCTGACTCGTCCGCACTTAACCAACAACCCAGCATACGTGCTCGGTTGGCCTTGTTTCTCTATTCGTTACCTTTACCGATTCTACCTGTTGACTACCTTACGGAGCCTGGAGGGGGCGAGATACCTTCGACGTGGTATACAGAGGACCTGGATGGTCATTGAGCATATGAATGCTTGGAAGGCACTTAGGGTAAGTGTCCTGTCTCGAAATACAACTAACTAGAACCCTAGGTACGATACAAGGGAAGCCAGGTTGTGACAAACGGATATCTATTTCCACTTAAAGGCTTAGTTCCTCAAGGCCACGTTAATGGAGTATGCGTCTATGATTTCTTCAACCAACTGCATGCGCTATGTCAAAGCGAAACCAATTCGAAAATATCGCATACCTTATTGATTGTTTTCAGAAGAAATATATCTTTCTTTGACCTGGATATTTTGATATATATACACCAGTTCCGGCTAACCAAATGAATTATCAGTGTACTATATTATGTATAACAATGCTAAAAGACGAAGTCTGTCCCTAGGAATATTGGTGCTCTTTCTTACATATCATTCTAAAGATGAGATGTCTAACCTATGTTGCCATACAATGCTATAGAGCAAAACCGGGCCGACTCTAATCCGTCACCCATTGTCCGATTCAGATGCGACACCAGACATCAGTCCTGAAGCATCAAGTTACCATGCCAGATAAAATAAAGCCCCCAATCATTTTTGCAATCAGCCAGTATTGAGTTGTTGGGGGATTGATCTTGCCCCATGCAGTTCGCGTTACCTCCTCGGGGCGGTACTCTTCCGCTACATAGCGGCCGTTCTCGACTCTCGTATCAGCGCCGGAGACAGTTCAAGGTGGCTGCGGTATTAGGTCTTGCGGTCATTTCTCTCTTTCTTATTTTCTCTTATTTTCGATCGCCGAGTATAATATCGCCCATACCTGCAGGAACTTCAGGGATCATTATTGTGACAGTATTGGATCGCGCGGCATTGAGCGAGAAGTACATCCACCGGATTAAGAAGAACAGGGAAGATTATGCCAAACAACATGGTAGGCTATGAAAGCTCTTCCACTATAATCGGATTAGATAACAATGGGTTGTACCATAGGATATACGAATTTCTTCGCGGATGTCTCTGACTACGAATCTACGCTTGACAATGCCCCACGAAGCTGGGCCATGATTCCTGCCCTCCGTCATGCCATGACGCTTCACCCCCACTCAGCTTATTTCTACCATTTGAGCCCTCATGCCTTGATTATGGAACCTTTCAAATCCTTGGAATCGCATCTCCTAGACAAAAACCGCCTCGAGTCGTTGATGCTCAAGAACGTTCCTGTTATGCCGCCAAATAGCGTCGTCAAGACCTTCTCGCACCTTACATCGAAGGATATAGAGCTTGTAATCACTATCGACGATGCGGACTTGAACACTGGGAGCTTTGTGATTCGACAAGGGGATTTTGCGAACTTTTTCCTCGATGTTTGGTTCGATCCATTGTATCGGAACTATAACTTTGTGAAAGCAGAGACACATGCCTTGGTATGTGGCATTTGGTCAATTCTTCTTGCCTGTATTTATGACTGACATATTGCTCATTTCTAACAGGGTCATATCGTTCAATGGCACCCGACAGTCCTGGCTAGGTTGGCGCTGGTTCCCCAGCGGACCATTAATGCCTACAGCAAAGATTCCCCGGGCGTCAGCGCAGATGGGATCTATAGGAATGGTGACTTTGTCATTCGATTTCATGGCTGCGAAAGCGATCCCGTGCGAAGCTGCGATAAAGAAATGGAGCTGTATTATGATTTGTGGGAAAAGAAAGTGGACGATGAATAATTGGTTTTGCTATCTGGCAGACCAGAATTTGCATCTTGAGGTGGATTGTGCAACGTTTGCTTGTTTATTTTGATATCCGGGGCGTTTAGGCATTGACTTTATGTTGAGATTTGCGCTTAGTTTAACACAATATCCGTTTCACGTAGTACAACATTCATTAAGTATATCTAGAAATCATAAGTCTTTCCTGTAGTAATCGCATTCATATAGGCTAGAAACCATGAAGACAGTGTCCAATAGCCTTGAAACTCCCTGACAAAACCCCAATTCAACAAGAGCTGGAGAGCGGGGCGTTCAAATATCATCCATAGGCCTAGTCACGAAGATATAGGTACCTTCGCGAAAATGGTGACGCCTCGTTATCGCACCCTGTTTGCCCCGCGTTTAGAAAATCCCAGGGATCATGACAAAGCTCTTGCGCTTGTATTTGTCACCGAATTCTTTGCGGTAACGGCGCTCCTTCTTGGCAGCCCAGACAGCCATTTGTCCGCCGCCCACAGCAATGAAGAACAGGACACTCCAGCTCAAGCCACTGACCAGGTAGACGCCAGCCCACGCGAGGATCTCAAACAAGTAGTTAGGGCAAGTGACCAGACCAAATCCAAAGCCAGATGGGATACCCCGCTCGGTGGTACCCGCGCGGCGAAGGTTGCGCAGGACCAGGTGGGCGTTCAAGTTGGCCAACTCCGAAAAGACGAAGAGACCCAGGCCTGCATACAGGAGATTCTCGTTTGGGGTGTCAGTTGCCGCAGTCGCATCCGGACGGAAGGCCCAGTAGGCGATGTTGAAGCCTGCCAGGAGCCAGTAGTGAGCACTGTTCTTGAAGATGTTGCGGGCCGGCATGGTGGCATTGCTGAAGCGGTGGATGAAGATCGTTTCGAACTCGCGTTTCAAGAAGTGGGCGCTCAGAAGTGCGCAGACCAGAAGTTGGGAGTCGGAGGGGTTAGGGAGAGGCTGATCGAAGTTATAGTAGATGTACGGCCGCAGAGGGAAGAGGAAGAGGGCGGGGATCAGGAGAGGGCCGAAATATTCAATGATGAACACGGTCCGCCATCCGATCTGAGGGCCTGTGCAAAGAAAGAGAGATTATTAGAAAAAGCTTTGGAAAGCATTGGGTCTAAGCTCGATATTTCACGTACCTAGGTCTTTAACTTGGATCACGCTCTGGTCCTGGAGTCCTGCATCGTTGACTGTACTATCCTTCGCATTGGGCACCACACCGCGGTCGCTTGATTTGGTGATTCTCAAACGATGGATATCGAAGTTGGATGCAGTCGCGAGCCGGCTGTAAATTTCCTGGGCATAAGCATCAGGGCTGACCTGAATTTCCTTGGGCAGCGCCTTGATGGGCTTTCCTACTAGGTGTTAATATCCTAATTTCCAAACATTATGCAGGTAATTGGTCTCATACCCCGTGATTCAACCTTCAATGTGACCGATGCCATTTGGAATTAGGACTCAAATTATTCCCTTGATGAAGACTGAGCAATGCCGCGTGCCAGGTGCGTCCTACGAATAAAAACACCGTGGGTGTTCCATCGCCGGCACCTCGATCCCCGATTAGCCACGTGATTTTATTGCCTCAGGTCATAAGAACCGCACTGTACTTATGTACGAAGAACACATTTCTTCAATGCTGCTGCGGACAAGACAGCGAGGCAACCATTCCTGTCATTTCCAGATCATTTATTTTTTCCATTTGAGATATGGTCATAGGTCAATAAGCCTCGTATCCTGGCTCTGATGACTCCATTCATGCTAGTACTACTATCATGCCTCTACTGAGGCAATGCTCCGCTCTGGACCCAAGGATAGAAATACCTTGAAAGAAGCAAAAACAACGATGACAATCATTGAATCAGCTGAATGGGTAAGCAGTGATGAGCTAGTTACGGCAATTTCATTCCGGTCTCAGCCTGGCGACCATTTAGACACCGCTTATTCTCAATTTGACATACCACAAGGTCTCGGGCGAGGCTTGTCGGTTACGACTCTTGCTGGACGACGTACTATGCGGCTCCTGTCGTTCGACAGTGACACTATTCCATGACCGAAAACCGGAACACTAAAACGAATTGTGATGATCAACTCGTCTACGGGACTTGATGGGTGAACGGAAGCACGGCCCTTTGCATCAGGTATAGTTAACCACTCCTGCAGCCCAATACAGTAGCTACATACAAATACCATTGTCCCATACCTATGTCCTGTTGCCGAATTATGTGTCAATGATTTACAATTGGCACTATTGCCACTACTGCATCCAGTAGGACGATTGCTGAGCCACAGCGGACCATCCGCTGCAGATCGCCCTGTTCTTTCAGTTTTACTCCGACGGACTGGTCCGTATGATGGCCTTGACAAATACGGGAGCAAGGAGACAGAACTCTACTTTACGAAATACCACGAACCGGAGATCAATAGGATCACGAGACTGCGCGTCCGTCCAAACTATGGCGAAGCAGGCTCTAGCAGAGCTTTTTTCTCGGAAGTAGGTGAGAGATCCGCGAATCAGAATCCCCCATCATACGCACACCACACATATGCCGGCAGTGGGGCGGTCATTATGTCGAAAAGTGGACGGTGCTTATGATTGAACAAGCCCGATGCTGATGGGCAATACGGCTGCCTCGATAACGGCCAGTTCAGCCGCACTCATGCCCCGTTCGTCTGCAGCTTCGTTGGCTTATCCTAGTCAATGATATAAGAACGTGGCTTTCTTCCATGAGTCGATTGATTGTATTTACTTCATCAGTATACTATCTCTTTCTCATTTCTTGTATTGCTGCGACCTGAACCTGTATCTATCAAGTCTACTTTTATAGTCCTCCTTCGTCTATACGTATACGAAATCATATCCATTTGGTAAGGATGATTCACATCACAGCTTCTTAGAGGCGCTTCCTGTCGCATATACTAATTGCCAACCAGTAAACGTTCCGCATTTGTCATTACCATCCACAATGTCCGACAAGGGAGAGAAGTCGAAGGTCGAGAAATCGATCTCCCAGATTGAAGAAGTCATTTCTGCATCCCTACGATCCATGCCCACTGAAACAGGGGATGGTACATATATTAAAGAGCCCAAAACCACAGGATTTGCCGAAGATATCCCTCATCTCGAGTTGGACGATGTTAAGACTGTGGTGAATGTCGTCAAGGCTGGTGCGACAGGTGAGCCCGTGGATGACAGGGAATACATTATGGAACGAGTGATTCAGGTCAGCCATTGCCCTTTTCCTAATATTTTTGCACCCTGCATTCTAAACGTGTTTTAGATTGCCGCCGAGCTGCCTTCAACCTCTCGAAATGGAAAACAATTGACAAATGTTTTCCTCAACCAATTATGGAATGACCTGGAACATCCTCCAATCTCGTATGTTATCCAATGATTACCACAGTGCAACTGTGCATGCTCTGACTTTACATACAGCTTCATCGGTGGTAATGCTAAGTACCGCAAAGCTGATGGCTCTGGGAATGTATGGTGTTTCCCAACCCCATGTGAGAAATTATTGCTAATCGTACGACAGAACTTGCGTTGGCCTGAACTAGGTGCTGCTGGAACCCATTATGCAAGATCTGTACGGCCGAAGACTGTGCAGCCCGCCGTCTTGCCGGAGCCAGAGACTCTCTTTGACAGCCTGCTGGCCCGGAAGGATTTCGAAGAACACCCAAACAAGATCTCTAGTGTCCTGTTCTATATTGCCTCTATTATTATCCACGGTAGGCTACCTGAAGGATACAACTGTTTTATGTGCTTTGCTGACGTGAATCAAGACTTATTCCAAACGGACCGCGACGACCCTAGTATAACCTTGACATCGTCATACCTTGACCTCTCACCGCTGTATGGTAACAACCAGGAAGAACAGAACACAATAAGGACTTTTAAAGACGGGAAACTTAAGCCGGACTGTTTTTCCACAAAACGCGTCCTGGGCTTCCCCCCGGGTGTGGGTGTTGTGCTGATCATGTTCAACCGCTTCCACAATTATGTCGTTGAGCAATTAGCAACGATCAACGAAGGTGGTCGATTCACGAAGCCAGACGAGTCTAATCATAAAGCGTACGGAAAGTACGACAATGACCTCTTCCAGACTGGTCGTCTGGTGACTTGCGGTCTCTACGTCAACATCATTCTCAAGGACTACGTCCGTACCATCTTGAACATCAACCGAACGAACAGCGCTTGGAGTTTGGACCCTCGCGCTGATATGAAAGACGAATTGCTTAACAAGGCAGCGGCTGAAGCAACTGGTAACCAAGTTTCCGCCGAGTTCAACCTTGTGTACAGGTGGCACTCGTGCATTTCTGAACGAGACCAGAAATGGACGGAGGATCTGTACAAACGGATCTTCCCAGACGAGAATTCCAAGGAAATCAGTCTGCAGAGGTTCATGCGAGGTCTAGGTCAATGGGAAGCGACCCTACCGGAAGATCCCGAAAAGCGTCCGTTCGCTGACGTGCAGCGCAAAGAAGATGGCACCTTGGATGATGATGGCCTAGTGAAGATCTTTGAAGAGAGCGTCGAGGACTGCGCTGGTAGATTTGGCGCATCTCATGTCCCAACAGTTTTTAAGAGCATTGAGGTCTTGGGTATCAAGCAGGCCCGTTCCTGGAATGTGGCTACCTTGAATGAGTTTAGACAATTCTTCAACTTGGCTCCATACAAGACATTCGAGGAAATCAATCCCGATCCGTACATTTCTGAACAACTTCGGAGACTGTACGACCACCCTGATCTTGTGGAAATGTACCCGGGTGTCAATATCGAAGCAGCCAAAGACGCCGTGACACCGGGTAGTGGTCTTTGTACCAACTTTACTATCTCCCGAGCCATTCTTTCCGACGCTGTTGCTTTAGTCCGTGGTGACCGTTTTCATACGGTTGATTTCACTCCGAAACATGTCACAAATTGGGCGTACAATGAAATCAAAACAGATACATCAATTGATCAGGGCCAGGTTTTCCACAAGCTTGTCTTGCGGGCGTTCCCGAACCATTTCAAGGGCGATTCCATTTACGCACATTACCCACTTGTCATTCCGTCCGAGAACCACAAGATCCTAAGGAAGCTTGGACATGTTAAGCAGTACAGTTGGAATAAACCCAGCTACACGCCTACACCTCGAATTATCAACTCCCATGCTGCTTGTACCTCCATACTGGCTGACCAGGAGGCGTTCAAGGTGACATGGGGAAAGAAGATTGAGTTTTTGATGCAGAACCACAACCACCCCTATGGAAAGGATTTCATGTTGTCTGGTGACAAGCAACCCAACGCTGCCTCGCGTAAGATGATGGGAGGCGCTCTGTACCGGGAACAGTGGGAGAGCGAAGTCAAGAAGTTCTACGAAGAAATTACTCTGGAGCTCTTGCATAAGTACTCATACCAGATTGCTGGCGTAAACCAAGTCGATATCGTTCGAGATGTTGCTAATCTTGCACAAGTGCATTTCTGTGCAAAAGTTTTCTCACTGCCATTGAAGACTGATTCAAACCCAAGGGGCGTCTTTGCGGAGTCCGAACTGTACCAGATCATGGCAGTGGTCTTCGCCTCCATCTTCTATGACGCAGACGTTGCAAAGTCATTCGAGCTTAACAATGGCGCTCGGATGGTGACTCAACAACTAGGAAAACTGGTAATGACCAATGTTGAGGCAGTTGCCAACACTGGGATTATTGCAAGTATTTTGGATCATCTACATCGTCACGATGTTCTCAGTGAATACGGCACCCATATGATCCAGCACTTGCTCGACAGCAAGCTACCACCTGCTGAGATTGTGTGGACTCACATTCTCCCCACAGCTGGCGGGATGGTCGCAAACCAAGGACAGTTGTTGTCGCAGTCGCTTGACTACTATCTCTCTGGAGGCTCGGTCTATCTGTCTGAGATTAACCGGCTAGCAAAGGAGGATACTCCTGAGGCTGACGAGAAACTACTGCGATAGTGAGTACACCTACAATTCGTGTCGTTATAACTATACTAATGATTTTTAGTTTCATGGAAGGTGCTCGACTGCAGTCGTCTGTCGCACTGCCTCGAGAGGTTGCCAAAGAAACGGTCATCGAGGATGGTGGCGAAAAAATTACTCTCCAAGAGGGAGAGCAAATAGTGTGCAACCTGGTATGTAAATCGACGTCAATGTGTTACTAGTATGCAGAGATTCTGATACAAGTCCCCGCTTTATAGGTATCTGCAAGCAAGGACCCTGTTGCCTTTGAGGAGCCTGAGAAGGTCAAACTCGACCGTGACATGAACGCATACGCTCACTTTGGGTTTGGGCCTCATCGGTGCTTGGGTCTTGGACTCACTAAAACAGCTCTCACTACCATGCTTAAGGTCATTGGACGGTTGGACAATCTTCGTCGTACACCTGGAGCTCAGGGTCATTTGCATAAGCTTGATGGACCTGGTGGTATCGCGAAGTATATGACAGCTGATCACAGTGGATTCTCTCCCTTCCCAACCACGATGAAGATTCAGTGGGACGGTGATCTGCCAGCTCTGAAGGACTCGTGAATGGGAATGGAGCAGGGGTTGCTCGCGTATAGCCACCGTGCACTGAATGTTCATAGATACTTGTGAATACCTACTGTCATTCACTAATGCTCTGTGACGCAATAAGAATTGTCAACATGATTACTCGTATCCTGCCGGCATTGTACATGCATGCATTAGTTTGGGCAACTGTGTCTCGCTGCCTGACGGATGAGTAAACGTTGCGATCGGATAGCTTCTAGTATCCATAACCCCGATGGCCATTCAATTCCTGCTGTTTGTACTCTATAGGGACTGTTTAGTACCAGAAAGTTCCTGGTTGCGCTGTGCTGTTTGTTGCTCGGCGGGGAAAAAGAGCCGCTCCGGGCGTGACTAACAGCGGGAGCGTCACGACGAGCTTCTCCTCCGCCCGCTGGACAAGCCAACCTCCAAGTGGTGGGATTTCACGAACCTTCCAATCCTGACACACCTTTTTTCTTTTCCCTCTTTCTCTTCCATCTCACCTTTTATCTCATCTTCTACCGACAGATCCCGATATCTCCCCGTAATCCCTTTCTTACATTCTTTCGAGTTATTGAGCCGTCATAGCTTCAGGGTTGAACGACCTGCACCGTTTTCCCTGATCTTTTGCTTAGTGGCTCCATTCTCACATCACCTTCACCTTGGTGATCTTCATCCATCGAGAAGTTTCTGGATCGAAAAGAGGCTTCCTTGGGAGTTTGATGTTCTCTAAATCGTCAATTTGAAGATACCGGCAAGCTTTTCTCAAAATTTTCTTGTGGAGGGACCGAAAAAACGTCATAAGTGCTCGCGGCTTGCTCCACGAACCCGGTCTCACGACCCCCCCTCTCTCCTCTTCTAGGAGGCACCCTCCTGGAATCTTTTAGACACCCTCATGTTTGACTGTTGATTCAATCGCCATCATGGGGAGAATTAAAAAGGTGGCCAGCCAGAAGCACGAGGCTACGATCGTAAGTCTACCTTCGCCCCGCATGTTGGGCATTCTTTTGGCTTTAGTACGGCGGACTAAATTTTCTTCCGTTGCAGTCACCGTTTTTGTCGGATTTCATAGCCCGTGCGACGACGATTCCAATCCCCGAGCTTCCTTCCCACCTGAAATCGTTTCCTCGGATATGGCCTTTCCCTCGCGGTGACTTCTATCACTGGATCAACGTCGTGAATCGCATCGACGAGATTCTAGCGACGGTCATCGAGAAATATGCTTTGAACAATGGTCCACAGACAAAGCCTTTCGGCAGACACGTTCTGGTGGATTCGTGCTCGGAAGGTGAAAACAAGGCCAGTGGTGAAGACATCGATGCCAAGCTGAATGCTCTGGGATTTGGCCCTGAAGGAGACAGGGAGCTTGTGGAAGTACTCCTGAATTTCTCAAAGCTTTTACTAGAGAAATGTGGCAACCGCAGCCTGTACAACAGCAGTGAACGTCTAGGTGATCTCCTTAATACCACATCGCTTTCTCTCCTGCATAATACATTGCGGCTGGGTCTCTGCTTGGCGCAGAGATACTATTCGCGCCAAAAGGGTGGCTCGCATATTCAACAAAGCTTGCTGGCTGCTCACTATAACATCGAATTGGAAAAGTTGCTGAAAATCGCTGTACCATTCCCCCGCCCATTTACCTCCGGCAAGCCTAGCTCTGCGTCCCCCGCTGTGTTAGCCAAGAGCAAAGAGAAGGGCATCCAAACAAAACATAACGCCAACGATCTTGTCTCGCTCGTACGCGAGAACGATGGATGGGATGAATGGGGTCACGCTCGTGTGCTCTATTACCCTCCGGGCTCCTTGGAACAAACGAAACCCACAGGCGACAGTGGACATGGGCAACAAGCCCCGTCCACGCCAACGCCGCTGCGTAGGAGCCACACCCATCCCACCCCTCGTTTGAGCCGCTCGACTGTTGCGGAGGACTCGCCTGGTATCACCACCAACAGTCCCTCTGGGAAGCCGGAGGAGCCGATGCGAGGCGGAAAGGTCCTTGATATTCCATACTCAAAGACTTCTTCCTTGGCAACCGAGGGCATCCTTGCGTCGCATTTGGACGAGGTTCCAGCCGATTCAAAATACGAATTGCTTCATAAAGTCCGTATTGCCCAAAGTCTGGCAGCATCTCATGCTGGACGTGAGCAGATCCTTGCAATCAGGATCCTTGCTATCGCCAATTTGGCTTATGTCTATCCCGAAGCTATCTTCCAACAAAAGGTTCTTCTCTTTGACATGGAGCAACCCAAACGTCTTCAGCTTGCATACCAGCTGGCTGAATTGGTTCACCTGGGTGCAAGTGGCGATCTTCCCGTTTCGAGGCATGTGCAGGCTTTGGCAATCTTGGCACTTGATGCGATTGCAAAGCACAAAGCGCGCGCTATGGACGTTTGCGCAGCCTTGAGCGTTAACGTAAACCATGGAATTCTCATGTTCTTGGCTCGCAAGGCAGTTAATGAGCTCGGCACAGAGGATGGCTCTGAGGATGATGCTAGTCAAGATGAGTGGCGTGATGCCCTACTTGCTCTTTTGCGGACGCTTCCTGGCTCAAGCTCTAGAACCCCGGAAACGCTCGTCTCTGCCGGTATCATCCGACTGTTTGTCGATGTTTTGAACCTTCGAACCGAGAAGGCTCGCCGTGTATACTCTCGTACCATCGAGTTCCTTGATACCTTCGTCCACGCGGTTCGGGATGCACTCGGGACTCTTACAGCTGCCAAAGGTTTTGATGCCATTTCTGACCTGATCGAATACGAAACGAAAACGGCTTTTGAGAACGTCTCAAAAGGCTTGGGCATTCCTTCCCCTCACAAAACCCCATCGATGGATTATCAGATTCCGTATTTCCAGCAACAGACCCTTAGATGGATGTTTCGTTTCGTAAATCACATCATGCAACATGCTCATGGTGGCTTTGACCGTGTTCTGCGAAACCTGATCGACTCTCCCCAACTGCTGACGTCTCTAAAGCTGGTGTTCGAGAATGCTCGGGTATATGGTTCCCACGTTTGGAGCAATGCGGTCAACATCCTCAGCAGCTTCATCCACAATGAACCTACTAGCTATGGGGTCATCGCCGAAGCGGGCTTAAGCAAGGCTCTCTTACAGGCCGTTATGCAGTCTGAACTTAAAGTCCAAGAGAAGCTACCTGCTGAACCTGAAGAGACCGAAGCCGAGGGCGCCGTAGCTCAGGGCGAAGCTCCATCTGAACCCGCAGCTATCGAACATACCCAGTCGACAGGTGTGCGCGAAAGGTCTCGCGAATACCCTCTTGTTCGACCGAAGGGGATGCCGCTTGCACCTGGAATTTTAACTGCTCCAGAGGCCTTATCATGCATACCCACGGCTTTTGGTGCCATTTGCTTGAATTCATCTGGCTTGCAGCTTTTCCAGTCGTCTCACGCACTGGAAAGTTTCTTTGAGATCTTCGAGAACCCCGAGCATGTGAGGTGCCTGAAAGATGACTCGCATCTTGTTCGTTCGCTGGGCACAACTTTCGACGAATTAGTTCGGCATCACCCTGCGCTCAAGTCTTCCATCATGTCTGCAGTAATCGTGATGGTTGCTCGTGTTGCTCTTCTGTGTAAGAGTAAGGCGTGGTCGCATGGGATGGGAACGAAGCTATGGACCGAAGACTCACAGGGCAAAGCATCTATTTCGGGTGATCTTTCGGTCTTGTTCAGAGAAGTTGGACTGCCCATTGACGGATCTTCCACGGGTGGTGTTCAGAGCCTTGGAGTTCCTGAGCTCAGCGCTACGACGCTCCCCAACGGTGGCCACCTCACAATGGGTGACCTAAATCAAATAATTCCGTCTTCGAACGAATCCTTGGAACCCAAAGATCAAGACGACAATGGGCTTACTGCGACGGATTACCTCTATCCTGCATTGCGATTCCTCGGAGCATTCTTTGAGAACCAAAGTAATTGTGCGTACTTCATCGAATCTGGAGGTGTCGAATTCATCCTGGATTTTGCAACTTTGCAGAGTCTGCCGTTTGATTTCCACAACACGGACGCCAATCAAGAACTCACCGTTCTGGTACACATGCTTGTGGAAACCAAACCGCATCTTGTCCTTCCTTCTCTCGTACATCGCGCGCAGTCTGTGGTAGATAACCTCTCTGGTTTCTGCTCCGAACCTAAGGACGCCGGTTTCTTCACGTCCCTGATCAAGCCACCGCAAGAGCAGGTGTCCGAAGAGAAAGGGAAAGATGTGCTCAGTTCTTCAAAAGAAAACGGCACATATTTCGCTAAGAATATGGGCGCGGCTTTAATTTTGACCGATTTACTCCGCGAAGTTTATTCCATGCCGCTGTACCAGACTCGGCACCATACTTCCGCTTTTCTCCAAGTAAACTTGGCTGATCGATATACCTCGCTCGTGATGGCCCTTGGAAAACTGCATGCGGCTTGTGTCTGGGAAGAGATTTTACTTGAAAAGAATATCCCAGACACCTGGGATCAAGCGACAAAGGTCCAAGCCGTCGGTAATGCCATGGAAACGTCACAGGATACTGCTCGGTCCTCGAGCGCAGGAGAGAGCTCATCCCAGCCTACTACTGGGTCTCAAGGAAAAGATGACGATACTACTCAAATTCCTGCCAATCGGGAGCCCAAGGATAGCTCCTCAAAAGCGCCTGAAGGTGTCGCATTCAAAAATGTGCGGGCATTGCGTTATCTTCTTAGTTCCCTGCCCACTTCCATAACGGGCTTTTACCACAACCTTGGTCTGGGACTCATCGGAAAGAGAAAGGCAGAGTCCTATCCGAGACAAAATGCGAATATAGTTGCTGAATCCATCGCCACGGCTGTTCTCAATCAATTGCAGTTCAGCCCACCCAACTCCAGCGATAACCCAAAGCATCGGTTCGCTTACCTGATTGTCATACTCTCATCCTTTTCACATCTGCTTTTTGAAGGTAAGCCTTTCTCAGCCATGGCGTTGTACAATTTGAAACCGAAACTGACAACTCATAGCATCCGCTGAACGCCCTCAAGCGCAATATCTCACCCTTGTTC